GCTCTTCCTTTTAAAGACAGAATCTGCATTATTCCCCAAGCTAGGCTCAAACTCAAAGCAATCCTCCTGTCTTAGCCTCCCCAATTGTGGGATTATAGGCATGTACCATACCATATATGGCTTGTAGCCCTTTTTAGCAATGATTAGGACACTGGGCCATATTCGTTTTAGAGCATTCCCAGATCCTGATATTAAAACAGCATCTTTAACTACACACAGCTCATTTTTCCCTCACAGGAAGGTGTGTTTCCAGTGGGATCTAAAAGTGGCTTCCCTTTGGTAAGAACCAAGGTTTGCTCTTATTTTAATGTGTCATCTGGGGGTTGAGTCCTCTTCCTGTGAAGGAGATAATTAATAGCTTGCAGAGTGGTGTGCTCTAAAGTGAGTCTAGCTTTGGCCTTTGGCGCCTGGAACTTAACAGGAACTACTAGAGGCTAGGTTGCCTGTGCTATGGAGATTCTGTTGGTGTGTGGAAAGAAAGGCCTTGAAGGGAAGTGGACTCCACCGTCTCTGACTTCACGTGAGAACTGTTTAGACAGCGTCTTTATCAGTGAGTTAAAACAGGACACAGGTCAGTGGAGGAAGGTGCTGTTAACACAAGAAAGGCAGCAGGGTGCTTTAGCCGTCAGGACCTTAGCCTGCACCCAGGGAAAGCTGTCTCTGAGGAGCCCCACAGCTGGGCCATCTTCACCAACTTCAATGCTGTGTGAATGGAGAAGCAATCGTAGAAACATTAAAAAAAAAAAACAAACTTTTTTTTTTTTTTGGCTTACCCCCTTTTTCTGTGTTAATTCATAATTGAGGAGAGGTGTTAATGGAGTTGATAAATACCAATGTCCCTCAGCGTGTGAGCTTTGGACCGTGGTATTCTCCTGCAGTATTTCTTTCTCTCTCTCTCTCTCTCTCTCTCTCTTTTATTTATTTATTATGTATACAGTGTTCTGTCTGCATGTATGCCTGCATTCCAGAAGAGGGCACCAGATCTCATTACAGATGGTTGTGAGCCACCATGTGGGTGCTGGGAATTGAACTCATGACCTCTGGAAGAACAGCCGGTGCTCTTAACCTCTGAGCCATCTCTCCAGCCCCCAGTATTCTCTTTTTTTTCACTATTCTATTTGAGTTTCAGGCAGACATGTCTTCCTGAAAAGCATCAAATGTCTTAAAGCTATTGTAACAAAATGAAGCCCGGTGTGGGGGTGCACACCTATAATTATACTTGGAGTTGAGGGAGGAGCTCACCAGTTTGAGGCTAGCTTGGGCTACATAGAAAGATCATATTAAAAAAAAGAAGCAGGTGTTGGAGAGATGACTCAGAGGTTAAGAGCACTGACTGCTCTTCCAGAGGTCCTGAGTTCAATTCCCAGCAACCACATGGTGGCTCACAACCATCTGTAATGAGATCTGGCGTCTTCTGGCCTGCAGACATGCATGCAGGCAGAACATTGTATACATAATAAATAAATCTTTAAAAAAAAAAAGAAACAAAGAAAGGAAATGTTTCTACAACAGTATTAATAAAGTAAAATGTCTATAAAATAGTTTTCTCCCCTCGCCCTTTTGAGGGAGAGAGAGGGTCTCTTGTAACCCAGGCTATCCTCACATTCTTTTGGTAGCTGAGGATAGCCTTGAATTTCCTGTGCAAGTACTTGTCCTTAACTGCAGAGCTGCCTCACCAGCCTCCCATTTTTTTGGGGGGGGATATTTTTACTTTTTTTCACCACTTCTTTTTTGAGACAGCTTCTTATACCATAGTCAGGCTAGACTGGGGGTCACTATTGTAGCCCAGGGTAGCCTTGAACCCATGGCAGTTCTCCCGCCTCAGCTTCCTGATAGCTGGGGTCATAGTTTATGGTAGTTTTGGTTGTCAGGCAACAGGACAAAATTCAGTCTTGATGTGGTGAATTTACTTCAGGAAATGAGATGTGGCTCCTAGAAGGGTCCTCCGGCTCCTGCTAGGTGTTGTAATCAGAAGTACAGTCCTTGATCTTTTTTTTTTTGTTTGTTTGTTTTTTTTGTTTTTCGAGACAGGGTTTCTCTGTGTAGCTTTGTGCCTTTCGTAGATCTTGCTTTGTAGACCAGGCTGGCCTCAAACTCACAAAGATCTGCCTCCCGAGTGCTGGGATTAAAGGCGTGCGCTACCACCGCGCGGCTAAGGTTTTATTATTATTGTATTTTATGTGCATATTTTGCCTGCTTCTTTGTCTGGGCGCCATTTATGTGCCTGGTGCCAGTGGAGGCCAGAAGAGGGAGTTAGATCCCCTGGAACTGGAGTTACAGATGGTTCTGAACCCCAATGTGGGAATGGGGATAGAACCTGGATCCTTTGGAAGAGCAGCCAGTGCTCTTAACCACTGAGGCATTGCTCCAGCCCCTCACTCCTTGATCTCTACAGATGAGCACAGAGTATGTCCAGCTCCAGCGTTTCATTGCACACCATGAAATGGACGTCTTACTAAAGCTAGTTACCGTCACCAACAGAGTTAGTAGCAGTTAATAGTTCTGTTTATCAAATAGCATTATGTTTATTTAGATTTACCTTCTGTTTACACAGTACCTTTTATCCAATTTTGAAGGATCCAAACCCATTCTAAATTAAGCTCTTACAAAGTAGAAAGTAATTTCCTCCGGATACACAGATGGGAAGTAGTGAGAACTCCAGGCAGTCTGGAATAAACAGATGGACTGAGAGGGCCCTGCCAGTGTGGGTTGTTTGCCGAGCAGTGACCATGCCATTCCCTCTGCAGAAAATTGTAAATTTAGTCCCAGTATTATAAGGCCTACAGAAATAGGGCTTCATTGCTTGTATTTTTTATGAATTTTGGTGCCTTTAAAAACATGAATTTTTAAATTGAAACTCATTCAACATTTCCTTTGCTTGTTTTTCTTCTTTTTTTTTGTTTAAACATTGATTTTTTTTAAACTAATGGGCTGTGATTTTTGTACATCTTTATTTAGCTCTTTTTTATTGAATGATTTTTGTTGTTATATTTTGAGACAATGGCTTGTGGTGTACCCAGTTAACCTTGAACTTTTTCCTTGTTTATTACTAATTACTTATTTATTGAGGTAGTATTCCATTGTCTTTGGATAACCATAGTAGATTCTTTGCCAGTCTTTTTGCAGCCACGCTGCAGCCATTTCTGTTTATTAGCTAAATGAAAACCAGATCATGTCATCTCTCTGTTTAAAACTCTGGGATAGCTTCCCTGTACATTCAACATAAAATCGTTCAATATAAAACCCTAAGTTTTGAGAGCAAGAGAGATGGCTCACTGGTTAAGAGCTAGTGTTCATGTAGCCCAGGCTAGCCTTGAACTCAGGATAATCTAGCTCCACCCTCTAAGTGCTAGGATCACAGATGTGTGCCACAACTCCCAGCTTGGCTTTGAACTTTGAACTCCTGCCTCAGCTTCCTGAGAGCTGAGATTATGGTCTGTTGCTACTATGCCTGGATTCTGGGTGGAGGATTGTATTTTATTTTATTCCTTGGGGGGAATATTGGGGAACGAATCCAGAGTCAGTATGTGCTAAGTGCTTTTACCACTCAACTGCATCCCCAACAGGTTTACTTTTTTTAAACTAAAATGGGAACTTTAAGATATCAATCTGATTTCTTTCTCTTACCAGTTCAACATGGTGTGTGTGTGTGTGTGTGTGTGTGTGTGTGTGTGTGTGTGTGTGTGTGTGTGTCTGTGTCTGTCTATCTGTCTGTCTGTCATGTCCTTATGAAGTCTCTCCACAGCTTAGAACTCCAGGTTTTGTAGGAACAAGAGCCCTGCCACACCTAGTTAAACTGCATCCCTGGCATTCCAGGCACCGTGGGCAGCTGTGTTGGAAAGAAGGTGCACTGAGCTCTGGTGAGCGCTCAGCTTGTGGCACAGGGGCCCAGCAGACAGTGCCTCCTCCAGTTAGCTTGCTGGGCCACAAGTAACGTTTCAGAGACTCTGAGCTGGTGATCGGTTAGGGTGAAGGGCTTCTGTCATACTAGTACTCTTAGACTGTCCAGATCAAATGGCAAGTACTGGGCCTAGAAACCTCTCATTTCAAATCCAGATTTCTTCTAGCCTTTTCAGGTTTGAAGCATGTTAGTTTTGAATTGAAATTGATTTGGGGAAATTACCACATAAGTTCCAATAAATGGAAAATGTTGTATTTTAATTAAACACACAAAGTAATTTGATAATTAACATTTTTTGTTCATTACTGAAAATTAAAATGAGTTGGATGTGATATATTACTGAGATTTAAAAAAATCTTTCCCAATTGGAATTTAAATTTTTATGTGTCCCAGAAGTACTTAAAAAGTAACCTTAATATGTGTATTAGTTACATTTCTATTGCTGCAATAAAACACCATGACTACAGCAACTTATAAAAGAAAGTGTTTAACCCTGGTAGTATTAAACGGGGTTAGAATTCACCATGACAGAGCAAAGGGAAAGTGGCAGCAGCAGCCGAGAGCTCGGGCACTGCAAGCAGAGGCAGAGAGCGCACTGGGAATGGTCCAACAAAGCCACACCCCCTCATCCTTCCCAAACAGTTCCACCAACTGGGGACCAAGTATTCAAATAGATGGGGGCGCTTCTCATTCAAACTACCACAATCTGTATGTAATTTTTGTAGTGAATACGTTGATTTGCAGATTGAATTATCTCCTTTATAATAATTTTTAAAACTGAAAAATCCATTGCCTGGAGGAGTTCAGCTTCATGCAGGCTTCCTTTTCTTCTGTGCTGTTCCTTTGATGGTCAGCAGGCGTTTTATAAGCTCAGTGGGCAGGCTCAAACTTGATATTTGACTTTGAGTAGGCAGGCTCTGAAATAGTTGGAATAGTTTCTCTGAATATTTATTACTCAGTGAGCGGACACTTGTTAGAGGCCCGCCCTCCCCCCACTCTCCTTTTGAAGGGATAAAGGCAGAGTATTCAAATATTCTTCCACTACTCTGTGATTCCTATTTAGTGTTTTAGTGTGTCCTAAATAGTGTTTTCTATTTAGGTCTTGATAGAACTTTTGCGAAGGGAATGATTTGGTGATGGAGTGTTCCTCCTGACCGATGGACTCAAAGAAGAAAAGGTAAAATCATTTTCTTCTCCCCTGCAGACAAATCCACATAGTTGTAATTAATGTTTAGTTTGGTTTTCTTCTCAGTGGTATTAAGTGGGAGCACATGATTGCATTTGTAATTGGTAGGTAAAGAGACAAAATCATTTGAATAAAGGTGATTAGAGAAAAGCTTTGTTAGTTTCTTATGCTTATAAAGGGTCTTCATTATCTTACAACTCTTATGGACATTCTTTTGTACAATCAATTTTGTTCTAATCTTTCCTTAGAAAACTACTCACAGAAGATATTTAAAAAGAAGGTTAAATTGTGGCTTTCCTTCCATAACTTGTTAAGCCCAATTATAATTTAAGGGAATGTTGTTTAGCAAAAGGAGAGACATTTTAAAAAATTTTTCTGTTTCCACTAAAGTAGAAGAATCTGTGTTTTCTAGAAACAAGTAAACAAAAACACCAGTGTAGCTGGGTGTGCTGGCACACATCATTAGTCCTATCACTTGGGAGGCAGAGGCAGGCAGATCTCTGTGAGTTCAGGGCCAGCCTAGTCTACAGAGTGAGTTCCAGGCCATCCAGGGCTGTTACACAGTGAGACCCTGTTTCGGGGGCAGGATATTCCTTCTTAACAGTATAAGGAAAGTATAAAGGACTGTTGTCAGTTACAAATTTGATTCTTAAAAAAGTCTAAATAATGGAAAATCATAGAAGTTCCCCCAAAACTTGAAATAGGCAGATATGGTGGTATACACTTGTTGTCCTACCACATGTGAGAGTTAGAAGTGAGCCTGGCTACATAGTGAGACCCTGTTTCAAAAAGCAAACTCCTGTAAGCTCCCCCTGCCCCCAGTGGAGTTGCCACATGATCCAGCTGTCTCACTATGGGGCATGTATCCAAAGGGAAGGACATCCATATCTTGAAAAGAAATATGTACTCCTCTGATAGTAGGCAAACTATGGCGTCAACTTAGGTATCCATTGATGGGTTAAACAAACAGTGGTGTGTACTGTCAGTGGCCTGTGTTGAGCCATAACGAAGAATGAAATCTTGTCATTTGCAGCCACATGCGTGGGCATTTGTTGAAGTAGGTCAGGCATAGAAAGACACATACTGCCTCTCGTTACTTACGTGTGGAAGGTGGAAAGTTGATCTCTTGAAAGTAGAGGGCAGAAGAGCAGTTGTCAGAACATGGGAAGAATGGATGTGGTTAATGTATATCGGGTGCCTTTATGTGGGAAGGATAACTTAGAAAGTTCTGTCAGACTATAGGGTGAACAATAGGTAGTAATGATTTCTCTCTTTTTTTTTTTTTGAGCCTCACTCTGTAGCTCAGACTGACATTTAGCTCAGACTGTACTCCAACTCAGAAGGCTTCTACCCAGCCTCCTGAGTGCTGGGATTGTAGTCGAGTACTGCCACACTCAGTTCTGTGTAGTCCCATATAGCTTGTAGAGAGGATTTTGAATGCCCCAAATACAAAGAAATAATTTATATTTAAAGTGAGGAGTATAATGGTTACCCTGACCATTAACATACATACATGTATAGAATTAACACATTTGTACTCTCTTTATATGTTCAAGTACATGCCAGATACACATTATAATATTTAAAAACTTTAAATAGCAGTGGGCTGAGGATAGTTACACGGTGCTTGCTTGTTATGTGCAAGGCCGCGGGTTCAGTCCCCAGCACCATGAGCAAATGTAAATAGCAGTTAGACTTAAAGTCAACATAACATGAAAGTTTCACTTCCCCTCTCAGCAAATTAGAAATTTTGTGCTGCCAAATCATTAAACATAAAAATGTCTCAGGCCTTATTTATTGCTTAGAGACCAGTAATTTGCAGGTTTAGATTATCTCCTAGCCTAGTTGTGTTGTCTTGGCCCAGGTGTCATACATAACCAAAGTGTAAAGCAAATGCTAATTAACCACGTGACCCAGCCATCCCTGCATCTGTTCTGGTGGAAGGTACAGTCTGGGATTCACAGCCCCACCTCCCCCAGGACATACACAGACCTGCAGAAGGAAAGTAGTGTCTGGAGAGTTATTGAGGGAGGAGAGAACAGCTTTGAGTTGTGGGGATAACTGTTACGATTTTTTTCTTTTTGAATGTTTGTAGCTCAACAGAGGCAGAAGGAGCCAAAGAAAGAGGCCTGGTCCATGTCTGGCAGGCAGGATCCTTTGCTCTAACACCAGAGAGGTTGCCAGGCTGGGGAGGAAAGACTGTCCTTCAGGCAGCCCTGGGGGTGAAGCATGGAGTTCTTCTGACTGAAGGTATGTATGTCAGAGGCCCTGCTCCTTGTGCCTGTGCTGGGTCAGGAGAGGGTTCCTGACCACTGTGGGACCTTTCTGAGCTTCGCTGCAACTTGTACCCTCTTGTTCTCAAATTATATCGCAACTCATTTTACAAAAAACCCCACCACATTTATTTGTAAATTTAAGACATTCTATTGACTTGAATAAAAGGGAGAATTGTAGTTCTTAAATTTTATAGTAGTCAACACATAAGTAACCTACATAGATTGTTTTCGCATATCAGAACAGTAATGCCAGTGAGAGCTGGGCCTTATTACCCGAGAATTCCCGTGTAACCATTACCTCAGGCCTCCACTCACGTGATTCACTGATGATCAAGGAAGTGAGTGCAGAATCCCAGCTGAACTCCATCTGGTCAGAGCCTTCCTCTCCTGCCCCGTAACCACGGGCCATGGAGTCTCAGTACAGCGCTCCGTGGTGGTAAAGGCAGCTCTGAGCATCTGAAGTAGATCACTCAGATCTTGATGCCAGCTTACCAACCTAGTCATAGAAAAGGTTGATTTGGGTCAAGATTTCCATCGATGTCTAATTTTAAATTTCTGTTAGTCCACATTTAAATATTAATAATGTTTCATTGTGGGAGCTAAGAGAAGAAAACTCTAGGAAGCAGCTTAAACCTGGATTTAGAGGTGTTATGAAATAAACATGAGTATATAAGAGTTCTTTCTAGTGGGTTATTATATTGCTTTTATTTTTTATTTATTTATTTATTTATTTATTTATTTATTTTGGTTTTTCGAGACAGGGTTTCCCTGTGTAGCTTTGTGCCTTTGCTGGAACTCGCTTGGTAGTCCAGGCTGGCCTCGAACTCACAGAGATCCGCCTGGCTCTGCCTCCCGAGTGCTGGGATTAAAGGCGTGCGCCACCACCGCCCGGCTGCTTTTATTATGTTACATATTATATTAAGATTTTAGAAATTAAGGATTTTCAAATACTTATTTGAAAAAAAGTGAACTATAAGTTTAATATCTATACTGTGGATCTCAAAATGTATAATTCTCAAGAATGTATGGGAGAATCTGGTGGTCTTTTTCTCCTTTTGGCAGTACTGCGGATTGAACCTGGGACCTCATGTATGCTAAGCAAAATCTCTAGCACTGAGCTATAGAACTAGCCTTTGTTAAAATAAGATATTTGGAATATCTTAATTAAATACCTGAAAACCTTTTAGAAAGATATTTGGAAATGCCAGGTGGTGGTGGCACATGCCTTTAATCCCAGCACTTGGGAAGCAGAGGCAGGTGGATCTCAGTGAGTTTGAGGCCAGCCTGGTCTACAAAGCGAGTTCCAGGACAGCCAGGATTGTTACATAGAGAAACCCTGTCTTGAAAAAAAAAAAAAAAGATATTCGGAACCCTTCCATTAACATGGCACCTTTAAAATCTAGAGTCAGGCCGTGAGATGTCTCAGTAGGTAAAGGCACTTGACACCCAAGCCTGATGCCCTGAGTTTGGTCTCCTGACTCACATGAAGGTAGGAGAGGAGCAGCCCCTTAGGGTGTGGAATGAGCTCCCCCACATCTCACATACACTCCAATAATAATATATTTAACAGAAAAACAATCTAGACTTGTAGCCAAGTGTGGTAGCTCATTTAGGAGGCTGAAACAGGAGGATTGCCATGAGTTTGAGGCTAGCCAGGGCTGCACGGTTAGCTCCAAGCCAGTCCAGGTTGCAGAGGGAGACCCTGTCTCACAAAAGCTGGGACAGTTGTTGAGGGAACGCTTCTCTTGTTCTCATGTTTAAGCAACACCATGTTATTAAGTGTCCAAGTTATAAAAAGAATGCAGATTCTTCTCTGCTGGGGATATATGGAGCTCAATGGTAGAGTACATACTTAGCATGAAAGGCCCTGGGTTCAATCTCTAGCAAAAGAAGAAAAGAGAAAACTTTGATCTCATGGCATGTGCCATGCTCCATAGTTGTGTTTTCCAGGTGAGGAGATGGCACACAGTGTAATTTTGGTTCAGTGCTTGCTGGCTACTTTTTAGTGGCTTATGATGCTGGCTGTTAATAGTGGACCGTGTACCTTACCTTGTGTTCTCACTACTATCCATAATACCAGAAGATGGGAAGAGCAGAAATGCTCTGCCCTGTCCCAAGTCTTTATGACATGCTTCTGAAGGTTTTTGCTGATGAAGTGTCCAGTTAGTTCCCTAACCTCTCCTCTTCCTCTTTCGAACCTTAGATGGCGAGGTCTACAGCTTCGGGACCCTTCCCTGGAAAAGCGAATCAGCAGACATTTGTCCAAGCAGCCCTCTTCTAGAAAGTGCCTTGGTTGGGCATCGTGTTGTTTCAGTGGCGGCGGGGAGCTTCCACAGTGGAGCAGTGACAGAAAGCGGGGTGGTGTACATGTGGGGGGAGAACGCGGCTGGCCAGTGTGCAGTCGCTAACCAGCGGTCTGTGCCGGAGCCGAGTCCCGTCAGCATCTCTGACTCGGAGACCAGCCCTTTGTTGGCAGTGAGGATTCTGCAGTTGGCATGTGGCGAGGAACACACACTGGCACTGTCGATCAGCAGAGAGATCTGGGCATGGGGCACCGGCTGTCAGCTGGGTCTCATCACCACCACCTTCCCAGTGACAAAGCCTCAAAAGGTGGAGCACCTTGCTGGCCGGGTGGTGCTCCAGGTCGCCTGCGGTGCGTTCCACAGCCTGGCACTTGTACAGTGCCTCCCCCCGCAGGACCTGAAGCCAGTCCCGGAGAGATGCATCCAGTGCAGCCAGCTGCTCATCACCATGACAGACAAAGAGGACCATGTGATAATCTCAGACAGCCACTGCTGCCCTTTAGGGGTGACGCTGTCCGAGTCCCAAGCAGAAGATCACGTCAGCACTACCCCCAGCCTTCACGCAGAGCCGGAGACGCTGGATGGGCAGGGGGAGGTGTTTGAGAACACTTCGGTAGAAGCTGATCCGAATGTGGGAACTGTGCAGACCACAAGTGGCAATGCTGTTTCCTCTCAGCAGAACATCGAGGGGACGGCCGAAGTGTCTTCAGCCAGAGCAGCTCCCTCATACCCCGACACCCAGGCAGTAACTGCATATCTGCAGAAGCTGTCCGAGCATCCAGTGAGGGAGAACCAGGAGCATGGAGAAAAGCCACCCCAGGTCCAGGTAGCTGCTACATTTATGACATAAAGGTTTTCTTGGAGTTAAAGGATTTGTTTCTTCAGGAACTAAGTCCTGAATCTTGGCAGAGGTTTTTATTTTTCCCCCTCGTCAGGCTGCTGTAATTCTGTCTTGCTAGGCCTGAAGAGGGAGGCGCCTGACTTAAATCAGAATGGCTCTTTATTTGCCCCTTCCTAATGTTGAAAGATATCATGCTGGGCTTGCTTTTTAGCACCGAGAGCTGCATGTTTATTTCCTTGTTGTGTGTTGCCATCCTGGCCAAGTCATCACATTTTGGTAGTCCCCAGAAGAGTTTAACTTGGTGTAACCATGGGCTCACAGAGCTGCTTCTGGACGCACTGGTGCCTCTCTTCAGAGTTCTGTAAAACTCTTTCCCTCTGTCTAGGGAGGTTACCAGCTTGCAGACTGTTAGGTTGAAGGCAGATGTGTAACAGTTAACAGTTTCTAGACGTGGTAGTGCATGACTGTAATCTCAACATTCAGGAGGCCAAGGCAGGAGGATTGCTGTGAGTTTGAGGCTAGCGTATGCTACATAGTATCAAACTAGTCAGGGCTACAATTAACAGTCTTATAAAACGAAACAAGAAGAGAGAAAAGAAACTTAAAGGCTTTACATAATGTTTCAGATTTGTTATTTTTAATTTTTTTGTTTGTTTTCAATTATGACTGGGCCTTACAGGGCCTTATTTGAGTTGGGGAAATACTTTTGTCTTGTTTAAAATATTCTCATTTAAAGAGAATATGAAATGGGTGATATTGCTGTTGGAAACACACTGTTCCAAAAGGACACTTTCTGGTTTTCTCTGGGATTACCTTTTGATTTGCTTTGTGCCAAAAGGGGTTGTGGGGGGCGGGGCGACAGACCCACGTAATCACGTAGGAACCCTTGTCTGCTCTCTTTATAACTCAGGGTCTTTAAAGTCCCAAGAGCTCGAAGTTCTTTATCCCACGTCTACACTGCCCGAGTGAGAAAGTGGGATATTTTTAGAGATAGTCCTGCTTCACGCATATGCTCTGAAGTTGGTGGTATTTCACTTTTTTTCCAATTAAGAATAAGCTGTTTATAAAAAGTATTACAAAAATCCAAACAAAGCAGCATTAATTAATCAAGAATGTTTGTAGAAAATTCTTAGACTGTACATGTCTATAAAAACATTGACTTTGCTGGATCTCAAGTTTGAGGCCACTACAGGCTGTAGAGAACTTGTCTCAAAAACAAACACAGAAGACAGAAAAGTCTGTCCTTCTAGAAGTCATTCCTCCATTAAATATAAAGCTAAAAGCTTGCTGTATATAGTCATTTGGCTTTCAAATTGCCACTGTCAAAAAAACCAACAAAAGAAATTGCCTTTTCCTTTGAACTTATTTGGATAAATACTTGAAGTTTTTATCATGTATGTTGGTTTTGACAGTGTGTGTTCCTACTAAATTTAATCTTTGTAAATAACATTTTAGCCTTACATCCAACAGTGAAAATTTTATATGCTGTTCTTTATTATTGGTTGACTATGAATTCTAAGACTATGTCTTGAATCAAAATGACTAGTAATTAGTTTTTCGTTACTCTATTCATTTAACTACAATAAATAGCTAGAATGTAGCTCAGTGGTAGAGCACTTACCTAGCATGCTTGAGACTTTCAGCACCTCAATATAAAGAATTTCAAAGTATCCATCCATCCACCCATCCATCCATGTATATTTAGTAGATAGTAGCTTAAGGTTTGTGGGCTGTGTTCTCTGCCTTTCCTCTAATGGTGAGAGCCCCATTAGACTCCCAAAGTAGTCCCTCTCAAATACTATCCATGCACTTTTAGGAGCTGTCCTAAACAGAGGGTAGAAATCACCACATTACACTGAACAACTTGTCATGAGAACTAAATCAACAAAGTACGTGTCTTTAACTGGATGCAGTTTCCAAACCTCTGCTGACTGTTTGCCTGTTTGCATAGAAGTAACTTCTAAATTTAATATTTAATTTAGAAGTAATTTCTAAATTCAATAAAAACTATATTGAGTACCCACTGTATGCCAGATACTGTGCTAGGCACTGAGAAGTACTTCAAGAAAATCAGAAGCCAGTGCTATTTCTAATTTGTTTTTGTTGTTGTTTTTGAGATAGCATCTCACTGTGTAGCCCAGGCTGGCCTGCAGATCTGCAACCATGCTTTGCTGGGTTTGGTTCTGAATGCAGGACAGATTAAGGAACAATGTACATATCTTTGGGATCTTTGAGTATAAGAATCAATTTTTAAAAACAATAATAATAATTATTATTATTAATTTGTTTGTTTTTGTTTTTTTTGAGACAGGGTTTCTCTGTGTAGCCTTGGCTATCCTGGAACTCACTCTGTAGACCAGACTGGCCTTGAACTCACAGAGATCCTCCTGTCTCTGCTTCCTGAGTGCTGAGATTAAAGGCATGCGCCACCACTGCCCTGCTTATTTTTATTAAGTTCAATTATATGTGGGTATATGTCTGCATGTGGGTGTGTGGGTGTTGAATACCTGGGAACTGGAGTTACAGGTGGTTGTGAGCCGCCTGGCATGGGTGCTGGGAACTGAACCTGGATCCTCTGCAAGAGCAGCAAGTACTCTTAACCACTGAGCTATCTTTCCAGCCCTCAGCTCCCATAAGAAGAAATAATTTTTCAGTGTAACTATGCTTATATCAAAAGATTTTTTTTCTGTTATTGGGTATATTTAATGATTTTTTTTCCCTTTTAGTGAACGGTGGTATTTGATATTTCAACCTACTTTTCATTGGTACTGGACATTTTTTGTTGAACTTTTTAATATTCCCATGAAGCATGCTACAAACACCAGCTCCATATATTTAATTATTAACCCGTCACTTTCATCCTCTGTGGTAACCAGAGCAAAGGTTGTAGCGAGCCCAGCTCCCATGTCATGGGAGGTAACTCACCAATAGGTCAGCCTAAGAATGTAGTGTGAGGGATGGCAGGTCAGAGGCTTCACATTTTCTGCTCTACATCCTATATCTAAATTTTCATTGGAAAATGTTTTAGAAAACGCCTCCTTTTCTTAAAATCTTATTTCCTCTTCTGTTTCTTAGCAGCACGCAATCAGTATAGATTTCCTCAAAGTACTCAAGTAATAGATTGGAGTTTTCCCAACCTTCTACAGGGTACTTTGTATTAAATCCAATGTTTTTCTTTTTTCTGTCTAGTTAGTTTTTGACACAGAGGCTCACTGTGAAGCCGTGCTGACTTTGACCTTGAGCGCCTCTTGCCTCAGCCTCCAAAGGGCTGCAGCCAGGGCCTCTCATACCTCCTGGGCCCCACTCTCCTTTTCCCAAGCTTGGTCTCACAAAGCAGCTTGAGAGCATTTTAACATGCCACTAAAAACATGACACCCCTACGAGAGGAAGAACTTAAGGTAAAGAACTATATTTTAAGTGCCATTTCCATGGACCATGTTAGCTCTACAACCGGAGGGGATAGTTTGAGATTGAAGATGAGTGGTTCTGCTGATGTTGCCCTGGCATATGCTGTGTAGCCCAGGGCAACATCCTTCACGCTCAGGTTACAGACAGGGTCTGTTTTAGATTGTTTATGCAGGTAGCCATGAGTGTCAACCCCTACTGACTGCACGTTAATACCTAGTGTTTTATAAACTCTGTGTGTGTGTGTGTGTGTGTGTGCAGCTTCCTGTAGCAGAAGCCGTCCCTGACCTTCACAGTCCACCGACCACAAGCACCTCAGCCCTCAACAGCCTGGTGGTCTCCTGTGCATCTGCTGTCGGCGTGAGAGTGGCGGCCACATACGAAGCCGGGGCCTTGTCTCTCAAGAAAGTCATGAACTTTTACAGCGCTTCTCCTGGTGAGACAGGAGCCCAGGCAGGCAGTGCTCCCACAGGCCCGGACAGTCTGAAAGATCTCAGAGGAGAGCAGGTGAAGCAGGAGTCAATGCAAGGAAAGAAGAGCTCAAGTCTTGTGGATATCAGAGAGGAGGAGGCGGAGGGAGGCAGTCGAAGACTCTCCCTCCCAGGACTGCTGTCACAGGGTAAGGCGTGGCTGGACTGACTTCTGGAGACTCCTAGGTGCTCCCAACATCACATAATGATCAAAGCTGGCGTATTCAGATTCTGAGGTCTCTGTAATGGTGGTTCACTAGAATAGTGGCTTTAAGAGAAAGCTACCTGTTTCTCTGCTTCAGAAATAGTTACAGAATATAACTTCAGTTTTTTTAAATGACTTTACTTCAAGTTTATCCTGCTACCAAATTGAGGTATAAGATTTACTTCATGTTATACATTGTTTTCAACATCATAAAAGCTGGTAACTTTCTTTCAAAAGACTAATTTAATAAAACATTAATCTAGCAGGGCATAGTGACCCACACCTCTAATCCCAGTACTCTGGAAACAGAAGCAAGCAGACTTCTGAATTTGAGGACAGACTGGTCTACATGCTGAGTTATAGGACAGCCAGGCTACATAGTGAGACCCTGTCTCAAAGCAAAACAAACCAACTGGAAAAAACAAACAAGCAAAAAACCCATTAACCAATATAGTCATCCAAAATATGTAAAGGCTTTATTTTTAAATTGTTTTCTGTGTACAAATGTTTTGCTTGCATGTATATTTGTGCACAATCAAAAGCATCTCTCCTGCCCAGGGAGACCAGAAGAGGGTGTCAGATTGTTTGGAACTGGAATTATACTTGTAAGCCACCATATGGGTAGGAATTGAACCTGGGTCCTCTAGAAAGGTAATCAGTGCTCTTAACTGCTGAGCCATCTCTCCAGCCCTTATAAAGATTTTTGATGCTCCTCTTTTAAAGCTTCATAGTTTAAAATTTTATGTCTGAAAATTAATCCTTTATTACAGTTGTTTATTGTATATTTGAAATTAAAACTTGGCTTAGAAAGTATTAGCATTTAACTATATTTTGAAATAGGAAAGGTATTTGTCAACCTTGTGGTATTTTTATTTTTAGTATCTTCTGTTTTTGTTTTTTGTTTGTTTTCTTGAGACAGGGTCTTACACTGTGGTCCAGGCTGGCCTGGAACTCTAGTTCAGGATGGCCTCAGACTCTCAGCAGGCCTCTTGCTTCATCAGGTAGTACAGGCCTGAGCCACCACACCCATATCTTTATCATAGTCCTTAGAATGTAAGTTCTCTAGGATGTTGATAAGAGTTCCATAGAGAAGGGGTCTGCAGCCAGACATTTGACAGTATGACAGATTAAACATTTCAACAGGCTTCTAATTGCAGGTCTCACGAGCATTTTCTGCAGGCTAATGAGTGAGACTGTGCAGGGGAGAGAGAGGCAGGATGCAGAATAGTAGGGAGCATTTCCCAAGCTCATTTGACCAGCAGAACCACTCTTCTGCAGAGAAGCTGAAAAGTGTTGTACACACACCGTGTTAGTGCGTTTCTTCAGAGTGTTAAAGCGTCTCTCTCTTGTCTGTTTGCAGTTTCCCCCAGGCTCTTAAGAAAGGCTGCAAGGGTCAAAACTCGGACAGTGGTTCTGACTCCCACATACAGTGGAGAAGCAGATGCCCTCCTGCCTTCCCTGAGGACAGAGGTGTGGGCCTGGGGGAAAGGCAAGGAAGGGCAGCTGGGGCACGGCGACGTCCTGCCCAGGTGAGTGCCACCAGTGGTTACTGGTGGGGATCAGTTTAGGCAATAGCCCTTTTCCTGAGGTCTCCACACATCCATCTTCTCCAACAGGACAGTCACTGTGCACCTTAGCGCTGATAAAAAGCTGTCACCGTAGTCCTCGGTGCCTAGCGGTACCAGGCTGGAGGCTGGATATGGTGGCCGTGTGAGTCTGAGGCCAGTCTGGTCTACATAATGAGTTACATGCCAGCTAGGACTGCATAGAGAGACCCTGTCTCAGAACAAATAATAACGAACCAATGAAGGACTCGAGTATTCAGGTACACTTGTCCATGTCCCTTTTGATGCACGTTCATCCTGGAATGCAGAAAGTGGTGTTAGGGATAAGATGGCATTTCGCTGAAACATTTGAATAGTTACATTTTAACTTAGGAAGAGGAGCACGTAAAATAACTGCCACTAAAGCATTAAACTGTCTGTACATCAGAGAAGGCTGTCATTCTGTTTAATATGCATCCTCAGACTGTTACCATGCTTGAGTTCTGAAGCTGGAAGGTGTGGAAATAGACTGTCTACAGCGGTGGGCTAACATGTCTCCCAGCGGAGTGCAGGGAACTGAAATAAAAAGTTGCCTTCCTTCTCACTGTCCGTCTTCCTGTTCTACTGCGTCATGGGTAGTTCTACAGTCACTACATTTCTCTCTTTTATTTGAGATAGGGTTGTATATGTGGCCTAGACTGGGCTTGAGGCGGTGATCCTCCTGTCTCCAGGTGCTGGGATTTAGGCCTATGCATCACTTCCAGCTCAGCTTTCTTTTTTTTTTTTTTTTTTGGTTTTTCGAGACAGGGTTTCTCTGTGTAGCTTTGCGCCTTTCCTGGAACTCACTTGGTAGTCCAGGCTGGCCTCGAACTCACAGAGATCCGCCTGGCTCTGCCTCCCGAGTGCTGGGATTAAAGGCGTGCGCCACCACTGCCCGGCGAGCTCAGCTTTCTTAATAGATTCCTAATTGCAGGGGTTAATTAGTGAGGATAGACAGTGCTTAAAACTGATGAAAACTGGGTGTAATGTTTAGAAGTAGTTTGATCATGTCCTCATTATTTTTGACATTTTATTTTTATTTAACAGCACTGACTGTAATTTGAAGGGCCTTGATTCATGCTGAAAAGATGTTGACTTTGCGTGTGTGTGTGTGTGTTTGTTTCCTTCAAGGCTTCAGCCATTGTGTGTCAAGTGTCTGGATGGTAAAGAGGTGATTCACCTGGAGGCAGCCGGTTCCCACTCTCTTGCACTTACTGCGAAATCTCAGGTAAGGGCAGACTCTGGAGTGCGGCTCTTGTATTGATGGGCGGCTATCCTGGCCAGGTGTACCACCGTCTCTGAGTGACTGCCTTCAGGCAGTCTGGCCTGTCTCCTTTGAGATCTTAGGTTTCACATGGCAGTATTTCCATTTCTGACTGAGGAGAGGAGAGCCTGTCTAAGAGGATTCATCCAGTCTGAGGCTGTAGCTTGGTTGGCAGAGTGCTTGCTTAGCACGTACGGGGCCCTTGGTTCCACCCCAGCACATGAACCAGGCCTGGTGACACATGCTTGTCATCCCAGCACTCAGGACATCTGGAACAGGGTCAGGAGTCCCATGCTGTCCTTTGTTACAATGAAGGCTTGGAGAGAGGTGGGGTGGGAGGAGGGAGGGAGGGAAAAAAGGCCAGTAGGGTGCTGTGTATGATATGGGGGTGTCTGTATATGATGTAGGTATGTGGATGTCTGTATGATTAAGGGGTGTCTGTATGATGTATGTGTATGATATGTGGATATCTGTAGGGTCTGTGGCTTTGCCCATGCTACGGCACACGGGGAAGTCAGAGAACAGCTTATGGGTTGGTTCTCTCCTCCTCCTTTACTTGGTCCTGGGGATGGAACTCCTGCTGCCAGGACCACCATGTCCAACCCTTCTCCTGATTTGAGCCCTCGTACTGACCCTGTTGAAGGGTTTACAGTATCATTTAGAATAATTAACCTGCTAATAATCCAGTCATTAGGTAGTGGAGGCATACCCACAATGGAGTTTTACGTGGTTATTAAAAATAGTGGTGTATTTTTGTTTGTTTTTGAAATGGAATCTCACCTGCGGCTCAGGTTGGCTTCTGACTCAGCCTCTTGAGTGCTGGACTTTGAGATATGAACTATCACAAAGATGCTGATTGAGCTGGGCATGATGATGCAGTGCTTTAATGTCAGTACCTGGGACACTGAGGCAGAATTGCCTGGACTAAAGAAGCAGTGATAATGTCCTTAATATATGGATCTATGTTTTGTTTTCTGTTTTATTAACACATTCTACATGACAGTGCGTCTTAGGACATTTTCATTGTACAGACTGTATTGTTCTCACTCCCTACTAGTCCCTCCCTCTTCCCAACCAGTCCCCCTTCTACCTGCACGTACCTACATGTGTGTGTACAGCTGGTGGGGTCAGTAGGGCTGTTACAGGAACACATGTACCTCACAGTGCTCCACCACTCAAGAAGAGCTGTCTGTGGGCGGGACCATGACTCCTCTCTAATCCATGGCAGGGTGTTGGCAGACCTAATCTTGTGGGGATCCTGTGCAGGTAGACTGGCCTCAAACCAGAGATCCCCCTGTCTCAGCCTCCTGACTGTGCTGTGATTACAAGCTTGTACTGCCGTGCCAGGTTTCATTAAGCTTTCTCCTCCTCCTCCTCCTGTTCTCTACCTTCTTCTCCTCCTCTTCTTCCTCCTCCTCCTTTTGAAATAGAATGAGACAGGCTCTCGCTTTGTAGCCCAGGCTGGCCACACACTGACAGTTTAGCTCAGACTAGGAGCTTTTCCCACCTCATCCTCCAGAGTGTGGGGATTTCAGGTGTAAGCCTCTGTGTCCAGCTAGTATCTGTAGTATAGAAAATGAGTGTGAACAGTTTCTGTGATTATAGGTGTAGTCTTACAAAGGTTCAGCGTTTACATGCAGAATCAAATGCACATTCTTACCTGTGTGTCTGTTGTTTCTGACAGGTTTACTCCTGGGGCAGTAACACCTTTGGTCAGCTCGGGCATTCTGATTTTCCAACAACAGTTCCTCGACTCTCAAAGGTACTTTGTGAACTTAATAGCAATATTCTGGAATTCTGTGCTAAAGCACTTTATATGTCTAAGGAAATTGTTTCTGTAGCCAAATTTAGTTTATAAATAAAATTTTCCTAAAAAATTGATTAAAAATGGTTTTATAACATGAAACCACTCCTTTTTTAGCTAAATGTAATTTTTTAAAAATGTTTTTATTTCATAGCCTTAGCTGTTCATTGAATATTTGTAGTATTTCTGTCTTTTTTAAAAAAAAGAAAAAAAAGAAGAAAAGAAATAGAAAATGCCTTCTTTTAAACAATTTTTATTTGTTTTGGTGTGTTCTGAGCTAAATACCATCAAATAGTGTCTACTCTGGCTTCTCTCTTAAATTTGGTTTTGACCAGCAATAATTTCCTGGTATATGGGTTTATTTTACAGCTTACATCACAGTAAACCTTTTGTTAACACTTTTCTGTAGCAAAACTAAAGGTTCAGCTGACCCCTTCTCTGTTTTATAGATGGGTTTTCACTTATGTAACACTGTTGAGAGAGTCGCAGCTTCTGGTCCCTTCTGTTTCCTTCTTTTTTTTTTTATTTTTTTTTTATTTTTGGTTTTTCAAGACAGGGTTTCTCTGCGTAGCTTTGCACCTTTCCTGGAACTCACTTGGTAGCCCAGGCTGGCCTCGAACTCACAGAGATCCGCCTGGCTCTGCCTCCCGAGTGCTGGGATTAAAGGCGTGCGCCACCACCGCCCGGCCTGTTTCGTTCTTGATTGGTTTCCCAGCCTCCCCTAACACTTTGGAGAAGTCCTGCTCTGCAGCCACTAGTGCTGATCCCTGCTGTGAGTTTAGAGGCAGGGTGCTGTGAGCCGGGGCGCATCAGAATGGGGGCTAGTGCTGGGCTGGGCTTCCCTGTCCAAGATGGCCTCTAACTCACAGAGATTCTCCTGCCTCTCCCTCCAGGATTAAGCCGCCATCTTAAAAATTTCTTCATTATAAATATATGTGGGTGCCTACAGAGTTCAGATGGGAGCATCTGATTCCCCAGAGCTTGAGTTTCAGGTAACTGAGCTGCTGACAGAGGTGCTGGGAACTTAGGTGCTCTGTAAGAGCAGTCCATGCACTTAACCGCTGAGCCATCATTCCAGCTCTGCGTTTAGCCTAAAACATTTCCTCAATATTCATCCCAGTTTCTATTACTGAAACACAAAGATACAGCAGATACAGCAATTCGTTGCTCCTTGTCATTTTAATAAAGTAGGAAGCGCTCTTATTCATACGAGGGAAAGGTTTTTAAGCCAGACCTTGTGGCAGCAAGCCTGTAATCCCAACTCCAGGAAAGGCTGAGGCATAAGGATTGAAATTCAAGTTCAGCATAGGCTACAGAGCAAGTTCAAGGTGACCCTGACAATGCAGAAAGACCCTGTTTCAAAGCCTTCCAGGAAGGGATGGGACTCTTACACACAAGTGTGAGGCCCTGGGTTCCATTCCAGAATTATAAAAATAAAGTAACAGAAAGCAAACAAAAGGAAACCTTATTGGAGAAAATGCCGTCCCGGAGTCAGAGAACTTGAAAGTCTGGCTTGCATTTAGCCTTTAGCATGGTGGAATTTGTTTCGAGGTTGGTCTCAGAACTCTGCATACAGAAATACAGCATTGGGGTTTTGCTTTCTTTACTTGGGAATGGGTGTGTATTTGTTTGCTTCTCAAGGTCTGGAGATGAGACCTAAGGCCTTCCATGTGGCAGGCAAGACCTCCAACTCTGAGCTCTAGCCCCACCCCAGTCACAGCCACAGCCCAAGCACGGATGACTTTGAAATCATCCCACTTACTCTACAAAAGCTAAAAATCTAGTGAGGTCTGAGTTAGGGTTTTTGTTTATTTTACTTATTTGTTTGGTTTTTGTTTGATTTTTTTTTTTTTGAGGCATACTCATTATAAAGTCCAACTGGCTTTAAATTCTTAATCCTCCTGCTTCAGCCTCCAGACTGCTGAGGCTACTACCGGCAAGTGCCACCATGCCCAGTTCTGAAACTGGAGTGTTTTTTGTTGTGGTTTTGTTTTTAAAATGTGGTTTTCTGACAATGAATTCAGGCTTTAGAGGCAAGCAAGTACCTTTGTCCTTTGAGCCATTGCTCAGGCCCTCTTCTGTTAGTCTTGTTACAATTTATTTATTTATTTTACGTGTATGAATGTTTTGCTGGCATGTATGTAAGTGTATTGCATACATGTCTCAGATCCTCTGGAACTGGAGTTACAGATCGTTGTGAGCCATCATGTGGGTTCTGGGAATTGAACCCAGGTCTTCTGCAAAAGCAACAAGTGCTCTTAACAGCTGAGCCATATCTCCAGCCCCCGAATTTGTTTTGATTGGAGATTATGTTGCACATACTTGCTGGCTTGTCGGACTTGGTAGTTGGACTTGATAGTGCCACCTCCTGGTATTCAGGAGGTGGGGGCATTCAAGGCTAGCCTAGGCCACATAGCAGAGAGCCTGTCTCAAACACACAGATTGGGTGATTCTTGTAAACCTTGTAATTCACTCTTCTCACAGTGAACTAGAAGTCAGTTGTTTGGATGGCTTGATTTTTGAGAACAGTGTCATGTCGAAAGAGGTAGCTAGGAGTAAGTAGTGGAGATGTGTGCACACACATGCACTTTCACACAGTTACCTAGAACTTTGAAGCAGTGGAGATGTGTGCACACACATGCACTTTCACACAGCCACCTAGAACTTTGAAGCAGTGGAGATGTGTGCACACACATGCACTTTCACACAGCCACCTAGAACTTTGAAGCAGTGGAGATGTGTGCACACACATGCACTTTCACACAGTTACCTAGAACTTTGAAGTAGTGGAGATGTGTGCACACACATGCACTTTCACACAGTTACCTAGAACTTTGAAGTAGTGGAGATGTGTGCACACACATGCACTTTCACACAGTTACCTAGAACTTTGAAGTAGTGGAGATGTGTGCACACACATGCACTTTCACACAGCCACCTAGAACTTTGAAGTAGTGGAGATGTGTGCACACACATGCACTTTCACACAGCCACCTAGAACTTTGAAGCAGTGGAGATGTGTGCACACACACACTCACACAGTCATCTGGTTCTCAGAGCCTAACTGGATGGAAAGGGTCTGTGGATTAGGGGTTTTGTTTATCTGCATAGGGGTGGAGGGAAGCTGGAGGTTGGGGCAGTATTTTGTCGTAGCACACTGTAATGAAATCTTAGGAGGAATGCCGTGCATCAGACAGAACCTTAGGGAATAATATTAATTAAGTGGTGGATTACAGGGTACCTAGAGCACTGGCTCCTGTCTTTAGATGGAAGCTCCTGCACCACTATGTGGACTCCTGAGGTTTGAAAACCATCAGTTTCCAGCCGTCTTCAGCTTGGTTCTCAAGCATTTGCATCTGTCAGAGTCACTGGAGGGCCTGTTAAGACGGAAAGCCGCTCCCTCCTGGGTAATCTGTGGCTGAGAGTTTGCGTTTCTAACGTGTTTCCAGGTGATTGCTCCTGCTGCTGCTGCAAAGACCACACTTTGAGAGCCACTGGCCTAGGTCCACGTAGATGGCTTCTCAGGGGTCCTGCGTGTTTCAGCATCCTGGGAGTTGGCACAGTGAAGTCACATCAGAGAGATAGTGAGTTACAAGTGGGAAACTGAATTCCAGCACCCAAGGGTTTAGTTGGCAATAATGAAATTTAGCCTTTTTAGATTTTTTTCTTCTTCTTTTGATTTTTGGCACACAGCCGAAAGTGGATGGACAAAGGTGCATTCTAGGTGTTACTTTTAGAGCAGTACTCTAGAGCCTCCTCATTGTAAAATAAGCTGCTTATAGAGACCTATACAAATAACATTAAAAACTATTAAGAACTATGCTTTTTCCTTTCCATATTCTACTTTTTCAGATTTTTATAAAAGTCCAATTCAGGTGTAAAAGCTGAACGTCAGGTTTCCTTTTCCTTCTGCTCTGTTCTGCAGTAATTGGGTACCATGCTGGGTGAGGTTCACACTGAGGTGTGGCTGACCGCCTGTGCCTGCCTAAGTAACCTGTTCCATGCACCTGGACTTCTCCTCGGTTGCCTTGGACAGACGCTATCTTTCTGTCGTTTCAGGTTAACGGTGGAAATGGGGTCTGGAGTATAGCTGCAGGCCAGGATTATTCCTTGTTTTTAGTGGACACCGATGACTTCCAGCCTGGGTTGTATTACAGTGGCCGACAGGACCCTGCAGAAGGTGACACCCTTCCAGAGAATCCCAGTGGGACAAAGACTCCAGTCCTTCTCTCCTGTAGCAAGGTGAACAGAGTTACAAAACAAACAGACAAAAAGCCAACAAGCAGAAAGCACAGGCATAGCATTCCTCCATGAAAACGCTGCCTCAGCTGCTGCCCAGAGCGCATGCACTCTGCTGGGGCAAGCGCACACACCAGTGATCCCAGTATCTCAGGAGGAGGCCGAGGACTGCAGCTCCTGTGGCTTTTCATTCCTGTCAGTCATTCCTTTCACTGCCTTCTCTTGAAGATCTGAATTAATGTCTGCCTTTCTACCTCCTGCCTCGTTTTGTACACTGAGACCATTAGCTTGTTTCTGCTTTTCCTGTTAAAGCAGCTCACATCCTCAAAGAGAGACGTGTCAGCAGGGACTGTAACCCCAAGTGCTGGTACAGCCTAGACTTTGTATTCTCATTGGAAAATGTGCTTTATAGACTGTATAGACTATGGCTTTCTGGTTAGTAAGCTCTGAATGTATTGAGATAAGACCTTAATTGCCAGAAACAGCATTGGCCAAGGTTTGGCTCTTGACTTACATGCAGCTTGTTTGGGGTGTGCTGATTGGCTCCATGCAGTAGCTGGCCTGTCACCACATGCCCTGTGAAAGACTTCAGTCTAAAGGATGACATGGACCGATGAAAGGACCGAGGCTCTGGTGTGTGTCACTGATTTCCTTGGGAGGTTAATATTTACAGAGAGTATAGCCTGTAGTAAGTAAATGTGAAAAAAGACATTGAATGTTTTGTTCATAGTGGGAAGAGCAAATATTTAAAAAAAGTTCCTTTCAGAGAAAAATCTTAGCACACACTAGTTATAGACACTTGTGGGTTACATGTGACATTCAGCACATCTGTACAAGGGGTAACGACCACATCATGGTATATTATTTATTTAGTATGCAGCATGTATGACTGCAGGCCAGAAGAGGGCGCCAGATCTCATTACAGATGGTTGTTAGCCACCGTGTGGTTGCTGGAACTGAACTCAGGACCTCTGGAAGAGCAGCCAGGGCTCTTAACCTCTGAGCCATCTCTCTAACCCAGATGTCATCTTGACATACTGATTTTCGCTCCTCTGGACCTATTCTGAGTAGTGGGGTTGCTGGATGGTGTAGTAGTTCCGTCTCTAGGTTTGTTGGTTTGTTTGTTTTGAGGGGCTGTTTGAGTGTCCTCTTTGACAGCTTCTCTTGAGGTCAGTTTCCCACTTTTTAATTGGATGATTTGGGACTTTTTGATACTGAGATTTTTCAGTTCCTCTTCTGCTCTGGATATCCCTTCATCAGATAATAATCCAAAGGCATCTTCTCCCATTCTGTAGACTGTCTCTTCACTTCATTGCTTTTCCCCGTGGAGTGGAGCTTTTGGTATAAGATAGTATCCTTTGCCTTTTTTAAATTTTTTTTGTGTGCTTGTATTTTGGGGGGGGGTCATATCCAGAAAAACCTTTCCCCAGGCCAATATCCTGAAGCATTTCCCCTGTGTTTTCCTTATTTTGTTTCCTGATTTTGATTTGTGAAGTAGAACCTTATCTAGCCAAGGCTAGCCTCTGACTGATCCCCTGCCTGGAACTGCAGCTGTGGCCACCGCACCAACTCTTTTTTTTTTTTTTTTTAGTGCAGGATCTCATAGTTAGCCCAGACTAACCTAGAACTCACTGTAGCCAGCTCGGCCTTGAAGTCCCAGCATGCCTCCTGCTCCAGCCCCTGAGTGCTGGAATTATAGGTACAGACAACCATCATATCGGCCCTATGTTTTCTTAAAGAAAATCTCTTTGTGTTGGCACTTTTAGGAGACAAGATGACACATAGACCTTTGGTTTAGCATAGGGTTCTGCTTTTTCTCATTAGTCTTATTTCATGCCAAGTGAGTCTTGAGATATATAATTCTTATAGATGTCCAAGGTAGCTTGAAATAAATACAAATAAGCGTACACAGTTATTCACATTTCACAGTGGTATGTGAATAAGCCAACTCCAAAACAAGTGAAAAGAGCACTACTATACAGTGTTGTAAATCTTCACCTTTAAGGTATTGGTAGTTTAGTAACCTGCTTACCGACTCTTGGATATCTTCACCTTTGGCTAACCCATCTGTGGCTGTGAGCCCATGCAACATACCAGATCATCGCTCATAAATTACGTGTTATCAGTGATCTTTTTATTTTCCCCCTTTTCAGCTTGGATATATAAGCAGAGTGACAGCAGGAAAAGATAGCTATCTTGCCTTGGTGGACAAGAACATCATGGGGTATATCGCCAGTCTCCATGAATTGGCTACTACGGAAAGGCGGTTTTACTCAAAACTCAGCGATATCAAATCTCAGATACTCAGGCCTCTTCTCAGTTTAGGTAAGTTGACACCGTCCACCGTCCCCATCCCTGGACCATCGGGGCTCTCATTTTAGCTTGCTTTCTGGATTGTCAGGAAGCCCATTGGTTTGCTTGCTTTTTAGATAGGGTGTCCTGTAGCCCAGGTTGGCCCAACTCACTCTGTAGCTGAGGAAGCTCTTGAATTCTTGATCCTTTTGCCTCTACCAGCCAGTTGCTGAGATTAAAAGTGTGATTAAAAATAACTGGAGTACGTGGTAAGACCCTGTCTCGAAAACAACCCCGTCCCAGCTTCCAGCTTGTCTAGGTCTGGCCCTGTACTCAGAAAACAGAGGTGGGATTTTCTCTTTCTTTTCCTCCCTGGCCTCAGTTAGGGCTTAGAACTTAGGCTAGCAGTCTAGCACATCAGTTTCACCCTATTAAGGGAATGTTGGCTTGTGTGGTGAGCTCATTGTTTCTAATGGAAAAATCCCCGCTTTAAACATCTAACTTAGCAATCTGTTTTTATTTATGTGGAGTTTGTTTTGAGTTAGGGTCTCCTGTGGTCCTGGTCAGTCTGCAACTCTGTATGTAGCTAGATGACTTTGAACTCCTGTTCCTCATACCTTCCCCCAAATACTGCAGCTACAGGCTTGGACCACCACTTCCGACTCATTGAACCATATTTGTGAATACAGTCCAGATGCAAGTCGAGGATTTGTATTTTTGTTTTTAGTCTAGTTTGCTTTGTAAGTGTTGTGGAGCCCCTGTTGTATAAACTCTCCTCCGGGGGATGGGCTCAGAACTTAGCAGGAGAAGGAAGCAGGGGGCGCTTCCCGGGTTGCTCTGAAAGGAAGAGGAGCCTGTCGTCTGACCAGGTCTTGATCTGTCTGTTGATCTCGCTGTTCTTGTCATCAGTCTCATCGCTAGAAGTGAGGAACTTCAGGCTGGGAAGGGCAGATGGTCTGCCGATGTCCCAAACCTGAGAGTGACCTAGGCCCCCGGAAGCTTAGGTTACCTGCGTGCCGAAGAGCTGGGTTCCTCCATGGGAGCAGCATCGTGCAACAAGTTCCAAACGCTAAATGAGAGCTCTCTGAGCTGGGGGTGTATCTCAGCTGCCAGAGCGTTTCCCTGGTATACTCAAGGCCCTGGTCACCTCCAGGCTCTGCATGGAACAGGGCATGGCAGCATACACCTGAAGTTAGCTCTGAGAGGTAGGACAGGGCATGGCAGCATACACCTGAAGTTAGCTCTGGGAGGTAGGACAGGGGATGACAGTTCAGGGTCATCCTGGGTCATAAGAAGACTTTATCTCTAAAAGAGAAACATACCTATCTCTACCCTGTTACTATTGTGTGAAGTTAATGATTCATTTCCTTAGCTTTCAAAATGTAACAGGCATTAGCTTCAGTGGGTCTCCTGTTTGACTGATATTAAAAAATCACCTGGGAAACTCTAAAAGAAACACCCATTCTGAGATAGTGAGACCAAATCTGCTGAGTCAGAGACCAGCAGTTCCTGTAGATTTTTGTAACATTTCTGGTAGTGATTTGGGTTCCATAGATTAGAATTTCAACAGAGTAAGTATTTTCAGAAAGGAGAAAGTCATAAGAAAGCACTTGGTTTTCATGTTGTTATCATTTTGTTGCAGAAAATTTGGGCACTGTGACTACTGTCCAGCTGTTGCAGGAAGTTGCAAGCCGGTTCAGCAAGTTGTGTTACCTCATTGGGCAGCATGGAGTCTCACTTAGCAGCTTCCTGCAGGGCGTGAAGGAAGCCAGGAGCCTGGTCATCATGAAGCACTCGAGTCTTTTCTTGGACAGTTACACAGAGCAAGTATCAATCAGTCCGTTGTCATGCCCATTCTCAGCAAGGTGGTTCTGCGGGGACCGCACCTCAGTCAGGAGAGGCCACGGGGAGAGTGCTCCTAGGCACCAGGACTGACCAGCAGTGTTGAACCTTAGCCAGCCCTAGTTCTGCAGTGCTCAAGTTCAGTGTTCCTTACAGGGGAACAGGGCTAACATTACTGCTCCCCCATTTCCTTCTGTATCCAACGAGATTGACAACGTACTTTATTCACATACAATGTCCTGTCATGAGTCTGGTTATTTTGTTCACTTAAGTACATTATACCAAAATTTGAGGAAATAAAGAAGTGTTAAAGAGCAGCTGAAGTGTGAGCCTGGTTTTACTGCTGTGTGACGGCACACTTTAGTTACATCTAACACGACAGTGTTTTCTGAATAACCCTAGGGATGATAATCCAAGGCGCTTTCCATGTTTTATAAGTAAAATATACCAAGATATTTGTAAACTTAAACTGTTTCTCACTTTTTCTTGATTTGTATTTTGATATCAGGATTCAAGGCAATAATTTGTTATGTTAATGTATACCAGGTGATGCTGTTGATCTGATGGGTGTGTTGTTTTTATATGTAGCTATTTATTCTCCATCCTACAGAAATTGACTCAGTGCCACCAAGTACCAGGCATTGCACAGAGTGACAGCATGGGGCCAGTGAGAAACACCTGTTGCCGGGGAGTTATAAATAACCTAAGGACTAATGTGTGTTTATTATCAAGAGCTGCAGGCAACACTAATCAGAAGGATATTTAAGGTTGCCCCTTTTCTCACCAGTAGAAATAGCCTGCAGTCGCCATTTCTGAGTTAGTATATAAGTGACTTCAGCCCCAGGCAGATTAAATATATTGGAACTGTTGTCTAGGAAGAAGTATCTTGTCTTTATTCTTCTAACTCATCAAACATGAATAATAATGATAGAACTCGGCACACCGATTTATTTTAAAAATTAGACTTTGTTACTTGTGTGAAGGTTTCAGCTTTCGTGCAGTCCCCCCCTTATTTATTTATTTATTTATTTATTATCTGTCTTGTATTTACCCTACCGTGACTCCATTTCTTTTCCCTCTGTGTTACTCGTGGCCTTATGCTTTAGAATGCAGTTCTGATGCCTTGGGCCACTGTTAAAGTGTAATAGTTATTCCTGTAGGTAAGATAAACTGACGTTACCTTTGGTGTGTGGGGGCAGTGTTGAGACAGGGTTTCTCTGTGTAACAACAGCTCTGGTTCTCCTAGAACTTGCTTTGGAGGCCAGGCTGGTGTTGAACTCACAGAGATCTGCCTGCTTCTGCCTCCTGAGTGTGCCAGCACCCCAGCTCAGTAATTTATATTTTTAAAGTCTGTACCACCATGGCTCCTTTCAGAAAGACTTTCCCAAAGTCTCTGTCAGTATCAGTTACTTGCTAGTCCAGGAGAATGATAGGAGCAGTCTGTCTACGTTTGTTCAGGAGCACTGGCAGTATTGAATCAGCATGTTCTAATAGTGGTCTCACCCAGATCCCTAAGTGTTTTCTTAACCTTCAGTGTCCATTTCCTGAAGACTTAATTGAAGAACTGGAAATGAAGATTAGGTTTTCATTAAAAATCCTACAATTTGAACCACGTTCTTTCCAGCTTGTTAGGTTAGTAAGTGTCACCTGCTCGGCACAAGGTGCTTTTGAAATCCCTTTTCTGTTAACATCCCTACTGACCTGGATTTATCACACCCCTGCTGCATCCATCTACCTGTTCTCCTCTCCAGTGGTAAGAGTTCATTAAGTTGATGTCACAAAAGTTCTGAAATCGGTGGGTAGGATTTCAGAAAGTGTCTAGATATGCATTTGGAACTCCACAGAGCTAATGTACATTCTGTCACTAATGCCGGTGTGTCTGTGTTCCACCCAAGGTACTGCGCATCAGTTTCAAACTTCCTGGTGATGGGAGGATTCCAGCTCCTCGCAAAGCCTGCCATGTAAGCAGCCTGCACTTCCCTTACCTTCTAGCAGCCGCACATCATAGCTTTGGGGATGGCTTTGTTTTTCCTGTTTTATTATTTCTGTTTTGTTTATTTCTTGAAAATTTCATACATAATATTTTTATCATATTCTTTGTCCTCCCCAAGTTCCTCCCAGATCCTTCTCCTGCAAACCCACCCAGTTTTATGTCTTTTTTTTCTCTTTTAAAAAACAAAACTAGGGGCTGGAGAGATGGCTCAGTGGTTAAGAGCACTGTTTGGCCTTCCAGAGGTCCTGAGTTCAATTCCCAGCACCCACATGGTGGCTCACAACCCTCTGTAATGAGATCTGGCGCCCTCTTCTGATCTGCAAGCTTATATGTAGGCAGAACACTGTATACATAATAAATAAATAAATCTTCAAAAAAAAAAACAAAACAAAACTAAAAATCACGCTGTCAGTTTTGTGTTCAACTACCTCTGAACTTGAGGGTGTGGTTAATATACCCAGTGTCGTACCATTGAAGAGTGCTGACTTTCCCTCTCCCAGCAGCTGTCAATCGCATATAGCTTCTTGGTTAGGGGTGGAACTTGTGTCCACCTCTCATTTTCAGTGTCAAGACTTGGTCTGGTTTGACTCTATCCAGGTTGTGTGCATGCTTTCACGGTCTCTGTGAGTTCATGTGTTCATCAGCCCTGTTATGTCTGGAAGATGATGGTTCCTTAGAGTCTTTTAAAAATCTTTGTCCCCTCTTCTGCACAGACCCCTGAGCCCTGAGGGGAGGGGGTGATAAAGACATCCCACTCAGGGTTGAGTGCACCCTCACTCTCTGCACGTGGTCCACTTGTGGGTTTCTGTGTTACTTACCATCTACCGCAGGAAGAAGGTTCTCGATGAAGACTGAGCAGTAGGTCAAGGGGTAGAGCAGTGTGTCTCTAGGAGTTGTTTGACTGCTGTGTTTGTTTAGCAGAGTAAGTAGTAGTAGGGCCCGTGGGGGACCCACCTTGTCTCAGGTTCTTGGCCTCATTAACATTGTCAGATACAGGCTCCATCTTTGGTGGTGGACCTTAAATGCCATTTTTAAGTGGTTGGTTACCCCTGTAATGCTTGTGCCATTATCGCACCAGTGGGCCTCTCTTGGAGGCCCAGCACTGTTGTAGCTTGCAGAGTTCACAGCTGGGTGAAACTGATGGTTAGCTTCCTCCTCCAGGACTGTGTATTACATATACCTTATAGCACCGTGATCACTAGTCAGTAGGGGTGACGCTTCCAATTGAGCAGCTGCTCAGTTTCTCCATGTTCTGTGACATAATGTGTAATGTTTTCAGCAATAGGGTCTTACCGTCAGGTGACCAGTAACACTGGCAATAGCCTGTAATGTTGATGGGGATCTATAGGACCCTTTGGCCAACAACTCCAAAAGATGTGATCTATTCTTGACACTGAGGGTTTTATTTGGTAGCATATGATGTAGTTGGCGTATTGTCTCCCTCGTTATATGGTAACTCCATTTAAGCTCCTTGTATATATATTAGGAAGCTTCTACAGTGGGAGGTTCCACATGGCTTTTTGAAGGACCTTAGATTATGTTATAGTGTGGGTATTTGGAGTGCCATGGGACAATATTGGCATTGAGTCATTAACTGTTAGGACAGGTATGGTTAGCCCCTGACTATCATTAGGTGTAGTAGGGTTCTGAAGAGCACTAAGGTCAAAGATGCAAGAACTGGTCCTTCTTCAGTGCTGCCTCTTGTTAGACCAGACTTGTTGGCCGACTCTTCACAGCAGGAGCCGACTTGATTTTTATCTGAAAAGTGAGGATGTCTGCTCCCCTGTTGGTAAAGAACAGATAATGTCCGTTATGATCCCAGAAAGGTATATCTCGCACAGATTGCATCTAGCTTTTGGACGAATAATATAAAAACCTCTGATATAATACATTGATCTAATCATAAAGGCAAACTGATAATTCTATATTTCAGTAGGAAATACTTCAGCTATTCGCTCACCACCCATACTTAACAGATTCAGCCAGGTTTGCTTTTATTTTTCTGTGCTGATGTGGTGACATCTTGGTCTCACTTCTGGTTTTTGTCAATCTAATTTTTTTTTTTTTAATTTGGCTAGTTTTCAGAAAAGGATTACACTAGAAATTCTAAAATGAGTTGAGGCGCTTCCTCTTTTCTGTTTTCTGGAATAGCTTCTATGAGCCCAGGAGTGTCTGTATCTTGAAGATTGGATAGAATGCACTGTAAAAAACCTGTGTGCCCTTCATTGGGAGTGTTTCCTGTGGGGAGTTTCTGAACTGTTAGTTTAGTCCTGTAATGAGTAAGTCTGTCTGGGTCTTGTTTCTTATGGCTTTAGTCATTATTTATTTGGAAAGTCACTCCTTTCGTCTGTTTCAATTTCATGAACATTCTCTAGTATAGTCTTACGGAGTTTTCACCCCACAGCTGCAGTTCTTCCCACTGGCATTCCTTATTTCAGCCTTTTTATTTGTTTGTTTCTTTTTTGAACCAGTGGGTTTTATTGGGTTTACTTAAAAGAATGTGGGTGAGCCGGGCGGTGGTGGCGCACGCCTTTAATCCCAGCACTCGGGAGGCAGAGCCAGGCGGATCTCTGTGAGTTTGAGGCCAGCCTGGTCTACAGAGTGAGTTCCAGGAGAGGCACAAAGCTACACAGAGAAACCCTGTCTCGAAAAACCAAAAAAAAAAAAAAAAGAGAGAGAAACAGCAACCATTGGAAAATATTAAGAGGGAGCCAACTGCTGACAAGACTGGTCATAATTTTTAAAATAAATAAAATAGACTCCAGCCAGAGGAGCAGATCACCGATGGTGTCAACCTCAGCCCATAAACACTGGTGAAGCTCCTGAGGACAAGCAGCTGCTGGGGCAGGGTGGCCTAAATTTACCCAGAGTGGACATCTACAGTCATCCCTCTAAGTAAGGCTCTGGGGTCACTGAGGAAGAGGGGACAGAGAGAATCTAACAGCTACAAGGAGAGGTGAAGTACTGGCTAACAGTTTCCTCTTAGACTGAGGGAAGCTCCTAAAGCAGGAAGGTAAACAACTCCAAATAGCTCCAGGAAGTTCCTGAAACTGAGCAGACTCACTAGGTGCCTTCTTTCCAAGTATAAACAAGCCAAGCTGCAAAGAAGACTCTAAGACCAGACCAGCTACCTGGAAGAGTTTTAGACCGGAGTCGCTTAGAAGGGACACTCTCCAACCTGTTGAGTGGCCTGCAGGCTGTGCGCTGAGCTCCAGGTCCCCAGCTCTGTGAGCTGTCACCCATGCTGGGGGGGCTTTGGTGATGCGGCTGTCTTTGGGTCATTTCTGCTCCTGTGAGTGACCCCTCACCCACATTCTTTTTTTTTTTTTTTTTTTTTTGGTTTTTTGAGACAGGGTTTCTCTGTGTAGCTTTGCGCCTCTCCTGGAACTCACTCTGTAGACCAGGCTGGCCTCGAACTCACAGAGATCCGCCTGGCTCTGCCTCCCGAGTGCTGGGATTAAAGGCGTGCGCCACCACTGCCCAGCCACTGTTTCTCATTTTTGAAAGTGTTACATTAGCACACATTAATTATACATAATAATGGCCTAATTAATTACAACATTTACACACATGTAGAATGTATTTTGATCATACTGCCCTCTCTTGCCTTTCCTCCCACTCTCTCTGATCCCTTCCTCCAGTGAGAAGGAAGAACTTAGACGGGCTTAGTTCCCTGGTAGTGCTTGGGGCCAGGGATTCTGCTTTTCCTCTGGTGTCCTTCCAGCACAGCTCAGCAGAGTGGCCAGACCTGCTAGATCCCTGTGACTTCAGGCTGTGAAAATAACGGAATGGTGTCATTTATCCCCTGAAACTGTGGAACATGAGGAAACACTTCTATCAGAGTTGCTGTTGCTACCACGTAAAGTTCTATTTTATAGGTTAAAATATTATAGTTCTGTGAATTATAATGGGTCATTCGTAGTATCTGTATTCATTTTCATAGCACCAAGGCTGTGCGTCCTGAACAGTTACTGCAATGAAACGTAAATGTCATATCATTCATATTTATACCAGATGATCAACAGAATCTTGTTTCCCTCTTTTCCAGTGATTTCCTAAATAAAAACCAAGAACTCCTACAAGATTTGTCAGAAGTGAATGATGAGAACACTCAGTTGATGGAAATACTGAATATGCTGTTTTTCTTGCCAATCAGACGACTTCATAATTACGCAAAAGTGTTGCTAAAGCTCGCCACTTGCTTTGAAGTGGTGGGTTCCCTGCGTGCCCCCTTGAATTCTGGGGAAGGAGGCCAAGAGTCCAAGTAGTTTGCATCAAGTCACATGAGATGTTGCCCCATTAAGTTGATTAAGATTGCTTTCTCTGTGAGGAAGTGGAAGAAGAGACAAGCAGGGTAGAGCGAGCTCGTCTCGAAGCTGTGGAGTCCATTTCCACTCAGGACCGTATTCAGAGCGCACTCACTGCGTGAAGCGGTCTAGTCTAGAGCCCGCTGTGAGCGATGCTCCTTCAGGAACCTCAGGGTTTGTGAACACGTGTGGTCTGAGTCACATACATTGGCTTAGCGCATTGCACCTTCCAGTCACGGTTCGTGCAAGACAGCGTTTCTCTGTGTAGTCCTGGCTGTCCTGGAATTAATTGGTTTTGTAGTCTAGGCTGGCCTTGAACTCAGAGATCTGTCGAATGCTGAGATTAAAGACCTGCGCCAGCACATGTAGCTTTTCGGTCACTGTTGTGAGCGTGTTCTGTATTTTCATTTAGCACACACATCAACCCTGTATAGGTGTGACCTTTATCCCCACTGTATAGATGAGAGAATCGAGACACACCTGAGAGGTGCTCCATTCCCCGACGGCTGCCAGGGTCTACCCCGTCTCCATTCCCCGACTGCTGCCAGGGTCTACCCCGTCTCCATTCCCCGACTGCTGCCAAGGTCTACCCCGTCTCCATTCCCCGACTGCTGCCAAGGTCTACCCCGTCTCCATCCCCGACTGCTGCCAGGGTCTACCCCGTCTCCATCCCCGACTGCTGCCAGGGTCTACCCCGTCTCCATCCCCGACTGCTGCCAGGGTCTACCCCGTCTCCATTCCCCGACTGCTGCCAGGGTCTACCCCGTCTCCATCCCCGACTGCTGCCAGGGTCTACCCCGTCTCCATCCCCCGACTGCTGCCAGGGTCTACCCCGTCTCCATCCCCCGACTGCTGCCAGGGTCTACCCCGTCTCCATCCCCGACTGCTGCCAGGGTCTACCCCGTCTCCATCCCCCGACTGCTGCCAGGGTCTACCCCGTCTCCATCCCCGACGGCTGCCAGGGTCTACCCCGTTTCACACGAACTCTAGTGGAGTGAGAGCAGCCTCTCTTCCTCTGGCTCCCTTAGTGTGCCACTGTGTCCTCAGGCTGAGTTTTCTTCCTGGTTGACTATGACATACCTGAGCCGCACAGAGGCTGCAGCTTGGGGATAATGTCTTATACTCCTCCCCTTGTTTATTGCTCTCCAGGCATCTCCAGAGTATCAAAAGCTGCAGGATTCCAGTTCTTGTTATGAGTCTCTTGCTCTCCATCTCGGCAGGAAGAGGAAGGAAGCAGAGTACACACTGGGCTTCTGGAAGACCTTTCCTGGAAAAATGACGGTACCCCTGCCCACTGTTCCTTCAGCGGCCTCTCTCTGCTCCTCACTTGCTTTTGACAGCAGCGTTACAATGATGCCCTTATGAGAACCGTAGCAGTGGGTGTTCTGAGTCCCAGCACCTTCCGTGGTTCCCAGGAGTCCTCTGCAGACTCTCTGCGGCCTTTGTCTGTCTTGCTACTGCTTCAGTCTCCTTGGGTGTAGGTAGAGTTTTCCTGCCTGGCCCACAGTCAGGACAAATCTCTCTCACCTGCCAGTCCCACAGCCGCTCAAACCCGACCAAGTAAACACAGAGACTTATATTGGTTACAAACTGTATGGCCGTGGCAGGCTTCTTGCTAACTGTTCTTACAGCTTAAATTAATCCATGTCTATAAATCTATACCTTGCCACATGGCTCGTGGCTTACCGGCATCTTCACATGCTGTTTGTCATCGTGGCGGCTGGCAGTGTCTCTCTGACTCAGCTTTCCACTTCCCAGCTTTATTTTCCTCCTTGTCCCGCCTACACTTCCTGCCTAGCCAATGGCCAATCAGTGTTTTATTTATTGACTAATCAGCAGCACATTTGCCATACAGAACATCCCACAGCACTTGGGGCCCTAATATTAGCAAGTGTTTAATGCTGCAATAAGCTATGACTGGAAGGTTACGCTGACTGTGCCCAGTCCATCCCCTTCACACATTTAAGTGATCTTGATGGTTTACTTGTAGGATTCCTTGAGGAAGCCGGAGCGTCGACTGCTGTGTGAGAGCAGCAACCGAGCCCTCTCTCTGCAGCATGCGGGCAGGTTTTCTGTGAATTGGTTTATTCTCTTCAATGATGCCCTGGTCCATGCTCAGGTAGGCTGGATTCCTAGCTGAAGAGAAGCCTTGGAAAGTTGTGAGCTGTATCTTGATAGGCTGTGCTGCAAGAAATGTAGTTGGGCAATTTTGTGGTTACATGAATGTCAGTGTACTCACAGACTCTGGAAGGGATAGCCTATGGCACACCCAGGCCATATGGTACAGGCTAGTGCTGTCAGGCTATGACCTACACAGCAGGTTATTGTACTGAACATTGTAAGCAGCTGTAACACAATGGTAAGCATTAGTGTTGGCTCAGATCACTAGGCAAAGGAAGTTTTCAGCTCTTGTGTTTTGGGACTGTCATTGTCTCATTGACTGATACATCATGTAGCACACAGCTATGTACTGTCAATTTATAGTAAACATTGTGATTTCTTTGTAATTATTGGATAAAAGAGAATGTTTAACTACCTAAGGTGTTGGCTACATTTGAGAGAATTTTTTTCTCTTTTTTTTAATGCTAGGGCCTGAATCCAGGACTTCTTAAATATAAAACACCTCCTCTCCCATTAAGCTACACCTTGAGCCAAAAAAATTTTTTTTCTAGCTTGAGAATGAGTGTCACCCATGTGAAAGGTCCTTGTAGCAGAGATGGGAAGGCCCTTAGAGGGGCTGTGATAGGGTGATTATAGCAGAGAAGGTGCCACCGACGTGTTCCTAACCCTCTCAAGAGGCTCGTGCTCTAGGGCCCCCCAGAGCTGACGATGAGAAAAGACCCAGCAGAGGCCAAGGTTGCCGTGAACTCTTCACAGATGTGCCTTCTCGTTCTGTTTCAGTTCTCCACACACCACGTGTTCCCTCTGGCCACGCTCTGGGCAGAGCCACTTTCTGAAGAAGCCGGCAGCGTGTAAGTGTGCCTCCTTTCCTACTCTTCTTATTTCCTGAAGTGGGATGGTCGGGGAAAGCTGGGGCGGGGGGGCATAGGAAGCTGGTTCCTCATCCTCACTCCAGCACACTGGGTAGTAAAGTGTCTGTTGGTAATAAAGTGCCCTGTTGTGAAGGTTGTGGTAATATGCTCGAGTGGCTGTGGGGACGCAGAGCCCTGCTGCTCGGCATCGGCTCCCTGTGTGGAGCTCACATTTGGAGCATGAGTGAGCACTTACGCTGTCTTCTCCTCTTGAATAATTAGATCGGCTCCCTGTGTGGAGCTCACATTTGGAGCGTGGGCATTTACGCTGTCTTCTCCTCTTGAATAATTAGGCGGTGCTCGTGGACGGGAGCGGGGAGGGGTCTGCTGTTAGAACGACAGCTTGCTGTATCTACTGGTGTCTGTCCTGGGAATGTTTTAGGAATGGCTTAAAGATAACCACACCAGAGGAACAGTTCACGCTCATTTCCTCAACACCCCAGGAAAAGGTTAGTCCTGCATGGTGTCTTCTTTCTGTCTGTTTTGTGAGTCAAGAAGAAACATTGTGCCGGGTGGTGGTGGCCCACGCCTTTAATCCCAGCAGTTGGGAGGCAGAGGCAGGCAGATCTCTGTGTGTTCGAGGCCAGCCTGGTCTACAGAGTGAGATCCAGGACAGGTTCCAAAGCTACACAAAGAAACCCTGTCTTGGAAAACCAAAAAAAAAAAAAAGAAAGAAGAAGAAGAAATGTTGTTGTCGCTTCATTAATAGCCCTTAAGTCAAAACTACATTTTTACCTTTTTGTTTTCTTTCCTTAAACAAAGTCTTGCTGTGGAGCCCTGGCTAGCCTTGAACTCCTCAAATTCTTCTTGCCTTAACCTCTCAATGGCGGGGTTCCTGGGGTGTGCCGTGATGCCTGGCTGGCCTCTGTAATTCGTGTGATTGATTGTTTTGTGGTTGTTGTTGTTGTTTGTTTGTTTGTTTTAGGTAGGGTCTCACTGTGTGGTCCAGGCTGGGCTGGCACTCCCACAGCAACCCTTCTTATTTATACAGTGTGACTTAATTTTAAACCAACAGCAGTAACTTCTAGGAGCTGGTTCCTGTCAGTAAGAAAAGTAATAGGCGATAGAAAGGGTACAGTGAGGAAAGCCTGCCATACTTGGTGCAGTGCTTGGTGGGTTATTGCCGGAAGCGTCCTGACGTGGACTTTCTGCTCCTAGACCAAGTGGCTTCGGGCCATCAGCCAAGCTGTGGACCAGGCCTTGAGGGGGACGTCTGATTTCCCACTTTACGGAGGCGGCGGCAGTGTTCAGAGGCAGGAGCCACCCATCTCAAGAAGTGCCAAATATACTTTCTACAAGGATCCTCGCCTAAAGGATGCCACTTACGATGGGCGCTGGCTTTCGGGGAAGCCTCATGGCAGGTGAAAAATGCTGCTTCTCTGTTCCCGGGGAAGGGAGGGTGACAGTCACATTATGGAAAGGGCGTTGATTTTCTGAAACATTAGCTGACAGTTGTTACTTTTGTTTATATCTTCCAGGGGTGTTTTGAAGTGGCCTGATGGAAAGATGTATTCTGGCATGTTCAGGAATGGCTTGGAAGATGGGTAAGGAAATTGTTTAAACTAGAAGATGAATTTCAGTCTGGTCACAAGTTATTGACTGTCAGTAATTGTTTTTCAAGGAAGTGGTCGATTTCTGCTGTTCAGGCTTGTGGATGCTGCGTTAGGATTCATGCAGAAGATGTGCGGGCTCGTAGACAGCCAGGACAGTGTTTATGGGAGTCAGCAGACACAGCAGGGTCACCTTTACAGGGGACACAGAAATTTGATTTTCAGTAGTTTTACAGAAATAGTTCCCCCGCTCTTGCTGCTTTGAGGATGGACTCCAGGGCCTTGAGAACGCTGGGCAAGTAGTCTACCACTGAGCTACAACCCCAGGCCAGCTTTTCAGTAGTTTCAAACTCGTTTCTCTGTTAAAAGGCAAATCTTGGAAGTGATGTTATTGTAACAATATTCTACTGACATTAATTTAAGATAAGTTTGTCATTTTTATCACATTTATTACTTAATTCATTTCATTATATATTTGTGTATGTATGTGTGTGGGTGCACGTGTGCCATGTCACATGTGTGGCCGGAGGACAACTTTGGCGGTCCTCTCCTTCCACGATGTGAATACTGAGGATTTGAACTCCGGCCACCAGGCTTGTCCGCAGGTGGCCTGTGTTTTAACTTGCTGAGCCATCTCGTGACCCGTCTTGTCATATTTGACAACATTGTAAATATATTTACAAGAAAAATTTATGGCAGTTAAATATTTTATGTCCTGTTAAGAAATTTGTCTTATTATAAAAGGATACATAAAGTGGAGAAGTTAATGTGCATGTGTGACAGTGTCAGATCTTGTGACTTCAAGCTCTTAAACAGGTACTTAGAACAAAGGGAGGATTTGGATGATCTGTTTTCCCTACTCACTAGAGAGATGCCTGAGCTGTTGTGTGCCTTGACTTCCCCAAAGAGATGCTGCAGATTAGTGACAAAGATGGGAGAGGACACAGGTGCCCTCAGGAGCGGGCCTGGGTTCCCTCCTCAGCCTGTGCAGAGGGCTTCAGCCAAGAGAGGTGAGCGTGGCATCTCCGCGTCTTCTTACACTTTTCATTGTCCTTGGCAGATACGGTGAATACAGAATCCCAAACAAGGCCCTAAACAAAGAAGACCATTATGTAGGCCATTGGAAAGAAGGAAAGATGTGTGGTCAAGGAGTCTATAGGTAATGGCATGCATGCCAAAGATTGTCAATCTGGTGTTGCCTTTTCAAAGAACTGTAAAGCTAAACTTCGTGTGGACAAAACTTCTCAGGAGTAAACTATTGGTCTTTTTTTGTTTGTTTGTTTGGGTTTTTTGGTTTTTCGAGACGGGTTCTCTGTGTAGCTTTGGTGCCTTTCCTGGAACTTACTCTGTAGCCCAGGCTGGCTTCGAACTCACAGAGATCCACCTGGCTCTGCCTCCCAAGTGCTGGGATTAAAGGCATGCACCACCACCGCCCAGCTCTATTCATCTTTTTAATCGTCAGAACTATGTGCAGAGTCCTCCTTTAAGAGTATGCCCTGTCTATGGCACGATGACAGTGTTATTAAATGTGCTTTGTAGCTCCATTGTACTGAGTAAACCAGGACTTTCTATACAAGTCTCACCTATAAGTCTAATTTTTTTTTTTACTTGATTGTAATTTGAACAAAGCTTTTGCATTCTTCCTTCTTATTCTTTCTAGCTCATTATTTCATTTCCCACAAGGAACTAAACACATAATTTTTCATGTTAATACAGAATGTTAATTATATTACCTTTAATTTTTGAGACTTTGAACTTTCAAACTGGGGGTTTTGATTTTTTTTATGCTCATATAAACCAATAATTATAGCTACCTGTAAAAGCATAGCATTGTATTTCCTACACTTTGTAATGTCCATGTTATCTTTCTGTCCTTTCCAACCACAGCTATGCCTCTGGTGAAGTGTTTGAAGGCTGCTTTCAAGATAACATGCGCCATGGGCATGGTCTCCTCCGGAGTGGAAAGCTGACTTCTTCTTCTCCTAGCATGTTCATTGGCCAGTGGGTAATGGATAAGAAGGCAGGATATGGCGTCTTTGATGATATCACTAGGTACAGTGCTCTGCTTCTGTCTCAGTGTGTACAGTGAGAAGATAAGGTTCCTAGACCACCCCTCATGCTATTTTTTTATTTTTAATTATGCGTGCACTGATGTGTGTGTGTGTGTACACGTGAGTGCAGTACCTAAGGAGGACAGAAGAGGGTGTTGGATACCCTGGAGGTGGAGTTACCAGTGGTTGTGAGCTACCGATGTGGGTACTGAGAACCAAACTTGGGTCTCTGTAAAAACAGTACAAGTTGTTAATTGCTGAGGCACCTCTCTAGCCCCCCAAACCATGATACTTTTATGAAGACTTGAACATCTTATATTTGATCTTAACCAGAAGACCAAGAAGCAGTTGAGTGGAGCATCTTTTTTTTTTTTAATTTAATTAATTAATTTATTTTTATTTTTATTTCATGTGCATTGGTGTTTTACTATGGGTATCGGGTCCCCTGGAACTAGAGTTACAGACAGTTTTAATCTGCCATGTGGGTTCTGGGAATTGAACCTGGGTTCTCTGGAAGAGCAGTCAATGCCTTTAACCACTGAGCCATCTCTCCAGCCCCGAGTGGAGCATCTTAATTTGACAACATTAAGAAAACTTTTCAGCTTGTTTGAGGTGGTGGCACTCAGTGGTGCATGCCTGTAATCCCAGCTGAGGGAGGCTGAGGCAGGAAGATGGAAAGTTTGAGGCCAGCCTGGATTACGTAGAGATGAGTTCACTCCACCCAGCACGCCAGTGGAAAGAGAAAGAGAGCTTGCCATAAGGAGACGGTTGTCAGGAACCTTTTTTTTCCATTTTCTTATGGGCCAAACAACAAACTACTTCACAAAGTCAGGGTCGTTCAGAATTCACATAGGTACTGTTTTTCCTATACGTTTGCACATGCAAGTTTTTACTGCCTCAGAAAGTTACCAAATCTTTTTTATTTACTTATTTATTTTAGTTGAGATCAACTACATAGCCCAGGTTGGTCTTAAACTCCTTATATAGGTCAAGGATAACCCTAAATTTCATGCTCCAGTTTATGCCTTCTAAGTGCTGGGATTATAGGTAGCTGAGGTTAGCCTTGAACTCCTGATTCCCCCCTCCCATTGCCTCTCATATTCTAGGATTGTGGGCATGTGCCCAGGCCCTGTCATAATGTGAGTTTTTTTAATTACTTTTATGGTCCAGCAAGGTGACTCTGTATATAAAGGCATTTGCCACTGGGCTTAAGGACCTGAGTGCAGTCCCAGGACACATGTGATGGAAGGAGAGAACTAACCACAAATTGTCCTCTGACCTCCACACATGTATTTGTGGCATTCATGCATCCTCCTGACCCCGACACACACATAAGATGAATAAACAAAATGTAAAAATTTGTATTTCTTTTATTAATAAACTACATGATGTTTATTCTTTTTTGAGACAAGATCTCTCTCTACATAACCTTGGGTAGCCTGGGACTTACAATGTAGACCAGGCTGACCTCGAACTCACACAGAAATCTTTGCCTCCTGAGCTGGAATTAAAGGTGTGTACCACCATGCCCAGCAAAATGTATGATTTAGCAAGTAGTTTATATTTCTCTGCCTCCCTCTTACCTGTCTCCCTCTCTACCCAGAACTTTGAACTTGCTCCCAAACCACAGTACTACTGAGCTACATCCTGGCCTTATTTTATTGTTATCTTTTCTTTTTGAGACAAGGTCCTGCTCTCTAGCTTAGCTCTGACTCAAATTTGAAATCCTCCTGGCTTATCCTTCCACGTGGTAGGAGTGTAGTAATGTACTACAATACCTAATTCACATTTTCTTTTATCCCCTCTGTGTAGTGCTGTCTGTCCTGGAACTCACAGAGATCCACCTGCCTCTGTCTCCCAAGTGCTGGGATTAAAGGCGTGCACTACCACCACCCAGCCACTTTTTTTCTTTTAGTGGCAATAGTAAGAACCTTCTGAGTTTAAGTGGGTGAAAATTAAAGCCTTTATGACAAACTTTTGGGTAAGGAAAATTATTCAAAGTTTGATTCCATTATAGTTTAAATTTGTGGTACTCTTTTTTTAATTACATATTTTATTTTGAGACAGAGTCAAACTGTGTAGCGCTGGCTAGTCTTGATCTCTCAGATCTGCCTGCCTCTTGCCTCCTGAGTATTGGAAATTAAGATATACTCCACCATACCTGATTTAATAACATTTTAAAGTTATCAAGGAAGTATATAGAGTGTATTCAGTCTGTTGGGTAGAACACAATGTCAGATTCCTGTGTGACTATTGCTCTGACTGAGATGTCTTTCGCATCACACTGTCTTGTTTGAAGAGGTAGAGTGAACCGCTCTGACTAGAGTGATGGCGCCAGTTCAACCCGGATCCCCTGATAATACTCAGATCCCTGATAATACTCAGATCCCCTGATAATGCTCAGATCCCTGATAATGCTCAGATCCCTGATAATACTCAGATCCCTGATAATGCTCAGATCCCTGATAATACTCAGATCCCTGATAATGCTCAGATCCCTGATAATACTCAGATCCCTGATAATGCTCAGATCCCCGATAATACTCAGATCCCCGATAATATTCAGATCCCCGATAATACTCAGATCCCCGATAATGCTCAGATCCCCGATAATACCCAGATCCCCGATAATACTCAGATCCCTGATAATGCTCAGATCCCTGATAATGCTCAGATCCCTGATAATGCTCAGATCCCTGATAATACTCAGATCCCTGATAATACTCAGATCCCTGATAATACTCAGATCCCTGATAATACTCAGATCCCTGATAATACTCAGATCCCCTGATAATACTCAGATCCCCTGATAATACTCAGATCCCTGATAATACTCAGATCCCTGATAATGCTCAGATCCCTGATAATACTCAGATCCCTGATAATATTCAGATCCCTGATAATACTCAGATCCCCGATAATACTCAGATCCCCGATAACATTCAGATCCCCTGGTAATAGTTTCTCTCTACTTTGTCCTTTTATTTGATTTTTCATCCTTCTTTCTTCTTCTTTCTGTGCAGGGGAGAAAAGTACATGGGAATGTGGCAAGATGATGTGTGCCAAGGGAATGGGGTGGTCGTTACCCAGTTTGGGTTATATTATGAAGGCAACTTCCATCTTAATAAAATGACGGTGAGTGAAATGTGTGTATTTGGTTCACACTGGATTTTAACATCTCCTATGTCCCTAACCTTTAAGATCTTTCAATTAATGTTTTACTTTTGTTTCGGCTTCTTTGAGATGAGGTCTCACTCTGGAACCCAGGCCAGTCTGGGACTCACTGTATAACTACCTGCCTGGCCTGGGGCTCATGGAAAAACTGCTTCTGCCTCCTGATCCTGGGACTGCAGGCCTGAGCCCTGTTTGACTTTCTTAGATGGCTGGAGGCTTTGGGGGCGTGGCTACATGTACACTAAGGGGCGTGGTTACATGTGCTTTAAGGCCTTCTGAAGGCTGTGTTGTGCTTCTCCACACAGGGAAATGGAGTTTTGCTTTCAGAAGATGATACTATCTATGAAGGAGAATTTTCCGACGACTGGACCCTTAGTGGAAAGGTTGGAAAACAGCTTTGTTCTTTTTGTACACTCTTTCTTATTTTTCTTGACTTTGAATTTTTTTGAAGAGTCTAAATTACTTTTTGTGCATTAATATTTAATTGCCTCAGCACCTTTTCCAATTAAATCTCCTTGATGCCTGTTGGAACTAATTGGCCATAAACTCCCTAGGGAGTTAAGGATAACCCTGAACTTCGGTCCTCCTGCCTCCATCTCGCACGTTAGGGAGCGTACCATGATGCTCAGCTTCATCGTTTTGTATGTTTTCAAAAAAGCAACTTAGATGCAGTGCGCATGTCTTGTTTTCCCTCAGTGCTTGGTTTCTGTTTCACCGATGTCTGTCTGTCTGTCCTGATCCTCCTTGGGTTGGGTTTCATCTGTTCGCATCCTAGTTTTCTAAGATAGTGTCAGGTTACGGACTCAGGCGCCTTAGCGTTTCCTAAACAGATGTGAGCAGCCATGACTTTGAGCACCGCTTCAGCAGTGGCTGTGAATGGGGTCCAGTGAGTGTGTTTCACACACACACGACTAAAAAGGCTGCCTGTGGCTTCTTTCTCCTTTTCCCAGGAACTGCTCTCATACATTCTTTCTGGGCATGTTCATGCATGCATCTTTTGTTTGTCTACCAGAATTGATTGGCCAAGAACAAACTAAAACGGAAAGTGTTGCGTAGTTGTGCTTTTTTCTGTTAATTTTGTGAATTTAAACACTCTCCTAACTCCACTTCTCTTTCGCTTTACCCAGGGAACACTGACCATGCCCAATGGAGATTATATTGAAGGCTATTTTAGTGGAGAATGGGGGTCTGGGATAAAAATCACTGGGACCTACTTCAAACCAAGCCTGTATGAGAGCGAGAAAGACAGGCCCAGAGCCCTGTGAGTACCAACCCTGGAGTAATTACATCAAAGTAGCTTAATATTTTAAGGCAAATTCAAGTTTTTACAATTGTCCTTTTTAAACAAGCTATAACTTCCATAAATTACTGGTTGTCAGCTGTATAGATGGCTACATCTGTAATCCTGGCTGAAAGTATAAGTCATAGTGCAGAGATGTTTCAGAGTTGCAGATTTTTGGAAATGACCCTGCTGGGAAGGGTGCACACAGGTGTGCATACACACACACACACACACACACACACACACACACACACACACACACACACACACACACACACCAGTACAACCTGCATCAATGAAGAAAAAGCAGAAGTATAATTTGTTCTCTCAAGTTTTGGGTTGTGTTTTCTCTATTGATTGCATCTTAAGCTTTGGATTCTTTGTTTGGTTTTTGAGATGTCTTACTGTGTATCCCTGGCTGGCCTTGGACTCTTAATCCTTCTGCCTCAGACTCCTGAAGACTAAGATTGCAGCTGTGGACTACATACTCTTGGTTGTTGTTGTTTTGGGGGTTGATTTTTTTTTTTAGATTTGTTTTTATATTTTGGTGTTTACTGGTATAGAGGCAGTGGGACCTAGGAAAATGGAGCTGAAAAATGAGGTGGACTAAAGTCTTTATTCAGAGCATCAAATAATTTATATCAGTGGTTCTCAACCTGTGAGTTGCAACCTCTTTATCAAAACCTCTGTCCCCAAGAATATTTACATTGTGATTCATAACAGTAGCAAAATTACAGTTCTGAAGTAGCAATGGAAATATTTTATGATTTGGGGTCACCACAACATGAGAAACTATATTAAAGAGTTGCCGCATTAGGAAGGTTAAGAACCACTGATTTATGCTCTGAGGGTTAAGAACAGTTTCATGTGTATGGTGGACAATCACAAGGACAAGCTGCATGTGGCAAAAAAACATGTTTTTCCATAGAGGCATATGAGTAACTAACAATAATCTGAGTAATCTGAAGTAAGCTCACTCCTGTGTGCCACACCTGGGAAGAGCACTAAAACATTCCAAGATCAGTTCCATGTTTTGGAGAAACTCGTCACAAGACGCTTATCTTATTTTCTCAGAGTTTTCTCTCAAGCACTCAGAAGTCTCACAGGATTCCATTCTTGGACCATGTTCTGACATTTGGTATCATTTCACATTCTCTGTTCCAGTGAGAACTTATTGCATTTTCTGTCCATGTTGACTTTTTGTTTGTTTTCAAAGTATTTTTAGAAACCTGTATGTAACACAGTTCACAATTCTTACCACAAAATGAAGTACAGAAAACCACTGTTTTTTCAGGAGTCTATTTTCCGAAGTCAATTCTGTAGAAATGGGGACATCAGAGTCAATACTGTTATATGTGACAGTCCATATGCATTAGTATCTGGTAAACAAATTAAACACTAATTAACCAAAGTAAATCCCTTCTAAATTTTCTTCCAGTGTTTTTGGGATAGAATTCCCACTGGTGTATTGGCACTTTGGCTCACAAAGTTATCTTGAGTTGTATATTAGGAAGTTTTTCTTTTTGAGGATGATTTTTCACAAAGGTATGATGACTAGAAGGCTGGTGTGGCTTTATTAGCAGGAAGCTGGGAAACCTGGCAGTGGCCGCAGATGAGAAATGGAGAGCAGTGTTCGATGAATGTTGGCACCAGCTGGGCTGCGAGGGCCCAGGCCAAGGGGAAGTTTGGAAAGCGTGGGATAACATTGCCGTGGCCTTGACCACCAGTCGACGCCAGCACAGAGACAGGTGAGCAGACGCCTGCAGAGCACACGGCAGAGCATGTGAAGTCAGAACCTGAAACCAGGCAGTAGTCAGGTTTGTATGCTCAGCACACATGTAGCTGAGAGTCAGTGGGGGGGCACTCCCATGCAGGGTGCATTGTGGGTAGCTTGGACTGCTCTTCCTCCAGAAGAATGCCCTTGGAAAGGAAAGAAAGTGTGTTTTACCCCTTGAACCTGGAGCTAAGTTCATTGTCAGTTGGAAGGCTCTCTGGAGGAAGGGGCAGTATGGCTATAAATTTGCCTAGGGCTGCAGCCCTGCCAGCTATGGAAGAAATGTGGGTGGCAGAAACTCCTGGTGTGCCAGGCTTGGTGGCCTCTGTTCCTCCTGGTTTCTGCAAGCCAGCCTTCTGCCCCGTGCAGCTTAATCAGTGAGCATCCAGCAAAGGGTTGAGCAAGGAAAGGCTCAGCACTGCAGGCTGTCTGCAGAGCCGTGTTCAGAGAAGGAGCTTGGTGGAGAAATGACGCCTGAAGCCGGACACAGGACAGCGTGCACACCTTTAGCTAACTGCGCAAGCCTGCTGGTGAGATTGGGAAAGGGCGATAGTCGTGAGGCTTCTTTGCAAACCTCGAGGAGAGTCCTAGGGAAACAAAGAAAGTTCTCCTTTGAGAGGTCGATAATCTCCTTCATGTGTGTCAGAGCGTGGGCCACTGTGCCAACTCTCTCTCTCCTTTAGTGTCTGTTCACGTGTGTCAGAGCGTGGGCCACTGTGCCAACTCTCTCTCTCCTTTAGTGTCTGTTCACGTGTGTCAGAGCGTGGGCCACTGTGCCAACTCTCTCTCCCCCTCTCTGTCTCCCGCTCTCTCCTTGGTCCCTTCACTTGTGCTGGTGCCGTTGTTCTAGTTTGGGTAGCTGAGATTGTTGATTCAGGCTCTAGAGACTCTAGGCTCCTCAGGAAGAAACCTTACTGCATTCAGTAGAATCAGTGCACTTGGGCTGTGCACAGACGTGGGTTCCTCATATCACACAGTAGTTTTGATCTTTAGTCTGAACTTGTGCTGAACTCTGTTTACTGAGCTCTTCTTTTTTTGTAAGATTCATTTTTATTTTTAATTTGTGTGTGTGTATGGGGTGTGTGTGTGTGTGTGTGTGTGTGTGTGTGGTGTGTGTGTGTGTATGTATGGGGTGTGTGTGTGGTGTGTGTGTGTATGTATGGTGTGTGTGTATGTGTGTGTGTGTGTGTGGTAGGCATGTGCATACGATGCATGTACCTGTAGAAGCCACCAACTTTGGATGCCCTGGAGCTGGAGTTACAGGCATTTTTGAGCCACCCTTTGATCGCTGGGAACCTAGCTAGGAGCCTCTACAAGAGTAGTGCAGTCTTAACCCGTGAGCCATCTCTTGCCCAATATTTTGGGCCTTTCTGTGTGAAAACAAAGAGGTCATTTTAATGCCTTGGCATGCATAGTTTCATTGATGAGATTATTTGCTTAAAGACCAAAATTTTGTGCTGGAGAGATGACTCAACTCATTGGAGAGTGGATAATCTGCGGGCCTGGGCCAGAGATGGACAATGTTGGGGTTAGCTGGCAAAAACTTAAAAACAAAGATGGCGGAAATGCTCTAGTAAACAGTCACAGCCATCCTTGAAACAGATGTTAAAATGAAACTATCATCAAAGAAACAGAAGACATAAAGAAGAACCAAGTCTCCAGGCAGAGGTGGTGCATGCATTTAATCCCAGCAGCAGGAGGCAGAGGCAGGCAGATCTCTGAGTTTGAGGATAGCCTGGTCTACAGAATGAGTTCTAGGACAGCCAGAGCTATGCAGAGAACCCTATCTGGGTGGGGTGACCTGAAAAGAAAGAAAGAAAGAGAGAGAGAAAGAGAGAACCAAATTCAAGATTTAGATTTGAAAAGTGCAGTCACCTGAGGAACTCGGCGTGGGCTTGGGAGCAGAAGTGGGGAGCTGATGGAAGAGATGGTGAACTTGGGGGTAGGTCAGGAGGACCAGCTGGTGTCAGCAGCACAGGAAAACCTTGGCTGGGGTGGGGGTGAACAGGGCCAGGAGAACTGATGGGTTTAAGTGTGTGTACTAGTGTTCCGCCAGAGGACCAAAACAACAACAAAAATTCTACAAAAGAAGAAATAATGATATGGGGTGGAAAAAATTTTTGAAGCAGTAATGGTTGAAAAAGGTTTGTAGTTTGGTAAAAGACGTGAACCTGTAAATTTAAGGAGCTGGGCATTTCTTGGGGAAAGTCAGAGGTAATCATATTCAGAAGCATCACTTTCAAATTCGAAGAGAAAGATCTTGAAGGTGGCTAGAGAAAAATGTGTATCACATGTGGGTGCCACAGTGGGTGTGAGTGTGCTCAGTCTCAGCAGGAGCCTGCAGCCCAACATTTCCAGAACACTAGAGGAAAATTACAGGTGAGCTTTCATTTGTCTTTCCCTCTCTTCTTTTCTCCCTTTCTCCATCTGCCTTTCTTCCCTTTTCCTAAGCAGGCAACTGAATTTCTAGCCCCCAACAGTCCCGTGTGCTTGCAGGTGGTTGGTGGCACTGTTCCTTGCTGTAAACAGCAGGAAGTGCTCCTGGAGCCCTCAGGACTCAGTGGCTTCGAGCACTGGCTGCTCTGGTAGAGGACCCACATGGTGACTCACAGTTGCCTGTAACTCCAGTGCCAGGGGATGGGACCCTCTTCTGACATAGGTGGGCACACATGTGGTAAACACGCACATACTCAGGCAAAACATTTCTATGCATAAAGTAAATGTAAAAAATTAAAATATCAAGAAGTGCTTAGTTTGCCCTTTGTGCATAGATGCAAACATTTGATCTGTTAAAAGTTAGGTTTATGCTACTTTTCATTTGCATCTGGTAATTGCTTTCCAATATCCAGCAATTAAAGAAAATGCCAATTTTGACCTTCAACGTATAATGACACCAGGAAATGTGTGATAAAGGTAAACTAGAGTAGAATTGCATGGGCTTCCTTAACCGATGGGCCCTGAGGTTACCCATACTCCTTGCTGTGGCAGTCAGGCCTTGCTTCTGTAACCCATTCTCATCTCTTTCTTTGCTCATTCGTTTATTTATTTTTAGCTCTTCCCTTATTGCATTTTCTTTTCATGATTCCTGGTAGTTGACATGAAGTAATGTCAAATGCTGTTTTGAATAGATTTATGTAACAGCAGGTCATCTGCCATTGATGATCATGTGGGGCCTGTGCTAGGTCAGTGGATGCTCAGAGTAGCAGGTCAGCCACATTGAGCAAGATGCTCCGTTTCCTCCTCAGCTAGTGACTGTCTGATGTGCACAATTACAACTATTTTCCTTTCTCATGTGAAATGCTGGACTTTCTCTTCTTCACAGTCCAGAAATGTTAAGCCGCTCACAGACTCAGACGCTTGAGAGTTTGGAGTACATTCCCCAGCACGTTGGTGCCTTCTCTGTGGAGAAATATGAGAACATCAAGAAGTATTTAATAAAGGTAACAAGTCAAAATGATGACCTCGCTTTTGTCAGTTAATGGTGAAAGGGCTGTAGATCAGCTGGGGGTGGTCATACACACCTGAAATCTCAGCACCTGGGAAGACCAGGAGTTCAAGATCATCTGCTCATAATTCTGAAGCCAGCCTAAGCTACATGAAGCCTGCCTCACCCCTGCTTCACCCCCCAAACCCTCCAAAACAAACAAAGTCATCATTCAAATGCTAACCCAGTCTGGGTTTTACTTTGTTTTGTTTGCTGAATCTTGACCTGGAACTCAGGGCACTCCTCCATCCTTAGCCTCTCAAATGCTGAGGTCATAGCCTTTAGTCACTGTACTTGGCTCTAGTTTTGTTTGATTGTTTGTAATGGACAGAAAATAATGTAGGGGTCCAAGGAAACGCTGAAGGAAGACCCCAGACTCAAAGAGGGTCTATTTACCGGCGGCGTACGTGGGGTTGTTCCCCTTTACAAAATGGTGACGACCCCTAGAGGAGCGAGGAGCGTGCAGGCCCCTTTAAGGGGGATTTTCAGGTCGTCTCAAACGTAATTGGTTAAGCAGGCAGCAGGTATGTTAGCAAGTTTGGATAGGCTGAGGTTCTGGTTTTTTATCTGTGGACATATTTGGGCAAGTCCGGGCCTGTTTCAGGGGTTACAGAAAAGGTCCTTTGCTGGTCACTGTCTTGTGATACTGTGGGGCTGATTTAAGCCTTGTACGTGCTCGCTCTCTCTCTCTCTCTCTCTCTCTCTCTCTCTCTCTCTCTCTCTCTCTCCCTCCCTCCCTCCCTCCCTCCCTCCCTCCCTCCCTCCCTCCCTCCCTCCCTCCTGCTGTCAGGGGTGTTGTTTGATTAATAGCCCTTTGTTTAAGAAACTGAAACTTGTTTGTGCTTAAAAAAAAAACAAAAAAAAAACCTGAAACCTAGATCTGGTTGTAAAATGGGGGAATTTTAGACCTCTCAGTAATTACATTTTTGTGGGGAACAGTATGATGTTTCAGTACATTTATATATTATATATTGATCATTTCAGGATCCAAATCCTTTCTTCTGTCTGTTTTGAGCTATACAATATTGTTAACCACAATCCCCCACCACCACTAATTTTTCTACAGTAGAAAGCTGTTTAGCCATAAAAAAGGACAAAATGAAATCCTGATAGAGAATACCACTACAAGAAAGATTTTAACATTTTTAACTTACCAAAAGACAGCCAGGCACAGTGGTACCTTGCTGTAATTTTAGCCCCTGAGAAGCTAAGGCAGGAGGATAACAAGTTTGAGGCCAACTTAAGCTGCACACCAGGACCCTGTCTCCAAAACAAACAGCAGTAAGTATTGTAGGTGCTGGAGAGAAGGCTCAGCAGCCAGAGCAGAGGCCCCAGCACCCACACCAGGCAGCTCACAACTGCCTGTCACTCCAGCTCCAGGGGCTCTGAGCAGTCTGCCTCCATGAGCACCTGCACTCAGACACACACACATAATTTAGAAAGAAAATCTTTGAAATATATAAAAAGAAAAGCAAAAATAAAACAGGTCACAAATGTGTATGGAGTGCTACCTTGAAGAAAAGCAAATACTGACAGTTGTTCCTACTGGGCCACGGTGTGAGACCTGTCTCAGATAACAGTAAGTGTTCACAACTCTAGCTCCTTACAGTTTAGATTGACTCAATATTTACAGAGTTAAGATATTTTTTCCTGCCCCCCAGTTGGCTCCGGGTATTGGGGAAACTGTTCATTCCTTGTGAAGGGTTTGTTATGGACTGGTTTCTGCTGCTCTCGCTGCCTGTTGACCAACGTTCTTGCCCCTGCCCCCCAGGCCTGTGACACCCCTCTGCACCCGCTGGGCAGGCTGGTGGAGACCCTGGTGGCTGTGTATAGAATGACATACGTGGGTGTGGGGGCCAACCGGCGGTTACTGCAGGAGGCTGTCAAGGAGATTAAGTCCTACCTCAAGCGGATCTTCCAGCTCGTGAGGTAAGAGAGCATTACCCTGATGTTTGAAAACCCAGAGTGTTCTGTTAAGATGGGGCGTCTTCAACCCAAAGCTACGTGTTACAGCTTGGTGAGATGCCCAATGGCCCTCTATCATAGGAAGTATTCATCGAGAGAATGGTTTTATGCTGCAGATCCTTAAATAGATTAAAAATGGAAGTACACTTCTAATTGGCTCATGCTTGTACATTGAAAAAGATGAGCCCTAGCCATTGGTACTTACTGCTTTATTAGTGTTCTCATTAAATGTAAGTGCAGGCTAAAATAAATGTATGTTTGGTTTGCCAAGTCTAATTTGGTATAAAATATAGCAGTGTTATTTGTATTTATCTTCTAGGCTAGATCAGGTCTCCAAAACCTAACCACAGAACAGAGTTCACTGCAAAGTTGGTCTCTGAGGACATGTCCAGTCCCTCCTCTACAGCTCCATATATACACATTTACTCAGTAGTGCCAGCTGAGCATTCCAGCCTCTCAACCAAGCAAAACATTGAAAAGTGGGGTTTGGGGGGACGACACCTGTTTTCGTTCAGTTTACGAGCCAGTGTGAGGAAGGGCAGATAACACGTGCAGTGTGCCAGCCTGATTAGCTCTTTCAAGAACACCAAGGAAGGACGGCGGCCTGGGGCCAGAAGAGGGGCTGCTGCCTGCCTCGGGGCTGCAGGCCCGTCTGAGCAGGAAGTGTTGAGCAGAGACCAGCAGTGGTGAAATGAGTCATCAGTAACTGTCGTAACTGTCAGAAGAAGACAGATTCGGGCAGCAGCCATTGGAGCTTGGAAGCTGCGTTTAAACCAACAAGTGACTTCTCTATTGCATCACCCAGGAATTTCCTTGTATCACCAAGCTCAGAATTGCTGAGCACATTTGGAATGTGTCAGGTGTGGAGAGGGCAGTGTGTCTAGGGAAAAGATTACAGAAATGCAAGTGCTTCAGCTCCAACCTTAACTAGTATGTGCGATGAACAGAGCTTTCTCTACTTTGTGTTTTTAATATTCCCAACTATACATTTAGAGCAGAGGTGGGTGGCAAAAATAGGCAAAATGACAAGCTGCCTTTGAAAGGCCAAGAGTTAAGTCTCTGGAATAAAGCGGACAACTTACTTAAGGTGGACCCTACCAACATACCAAAGGTCAAAGATAAAAACCTAGAGCAGTGTTCTCAACCTTCCTGATGCTGTGGGGACCCCACATCAAATGGTTTTGTTGATACCTCATAACTGTAATTTTGCTACTGTTATGAATCATAATGTAAATATCTGACATGGGACCAGTTTGTGGTCATGACCCACAGGTTGGAAACCACTGAGTTAGAGCAAAAAAAAAATCAAGGCACAGAGGAAAAGCAAAACTAGGAAATCCTTAATTTTTAGTCCCTTATCATCATTTAATTCTCCACAAGTGCATTTTAGTTTGGCTTTTGAAATGCACATTTAGATCGCTATAGTTCACGTGTTCCATTCTGAGACTGATGTTCAGAGTCAATGCAAGTGTCTGGTTAGAGTTGATGCCAGTTGGCCTCAAGTGAGACTTACCAGGAAGACGTGTGTATCGTGGGGAGATGAGGACTCCTTAGTTACTGGACAGAATGAAGCCCCTGCTCAGGAGGGCCTTTGTAAGTGTCACCTGACCTGAAGGGACACCAGCCCACTGGAGCATGTGGCTCTGGCTGGCCTTGCCCTTCTCCCCCATCCCTCGTCTTAATAAATTCCTAGATTCCATTCCTAAAGCCACCCCCAAGGTCTGTTCCCTTTTGGCCACCTTCTTTCCTGAGGCTGACTACCAAAGTCTGTCAATCAAAAGCCCCCTTGGCTCATCTAATTAACATGTCCAACTAAAATTAAACACCTCATTCTAACACGGGTTTTTTTTTCCCTCTACCTTTATAAACCCCCATTTGCCCATGTGCCATGTCTGTCTCCCTCTATCCAGAGGCAGTCCTTTGTCCTCTGGGACAGATACCCTCCCCCTTCTCCCTCCTCCCCTACCTCCTCTACCACTGCACCCTAGCCCGTCCTAACCCAGACTCCCCTTTTCTCTTAAGAATGGACCTGCAAGGGTGTTTGCTGCTGTTTTCCTGCCCGAGTCAGAAAGCAGCCACTTTAACTTTCCTCCCTGCTTAATGGAGGATCTCTGTGAAATAGATGTTCAGGGTCTGGAAGGGAGCGCGCGCGCGCACACACACACACACACACACACACACACACACACACACACACACACTGTGTGGGAGTCCCCTTCACAACCACTGCGTTCCCATTCTGTAAGAATCATCATTTGAGAGCCTCAGGGATCTAAAATAGTTAATGATACATTTTGATTTCATAGGGCCTTAGATAGCTCAGCTACTAGAAACTGATAATTCCTTTTGTCAGCTGCTCTGGACATAGAATTTTCTGGTTTGTTTTCAATCATTGCTAGGTTCTTATTTCCTGAGCTTCCTGAAGAGGGCAGCACAATTCCTCTGGCTGCTCCTCTACCCACCGGAAGGAGATCCTTCTGCACTGGGAAATCAGATTCCACATCCGAGTCCCCAGAGCCGGGGTAAGTTGAGCTGGGTGAGGTGGTGAAGATGTAGGGTGCGGGCTGCATGGACTCCCGAAGAACCCCTAAGATTCCCCAGGCCCGGTTCATCATTTCCTCAGTGACCCCTCCAAGGTTCCTAGTGGTACCAGTCACTGTCCAGGAAGGAGCAGCTGCACACAGCCAGGCACAAAGGCTGCTGAGCAAAGGAGACAAAGCATGCCGAGTTAGGGGCCCCTATGAGCGGCCTCGGGATGGAGGCAAGAGAGATTTCAGTTTGCTTTCCGGTCTGACAGTTGGCCCAAGGCAGTCAGCTCAGGTGTATAGAGCAGCTCTCCACAAACCGTCCTGTGAGCCTTGTAGTCTGGAGAGGACGCTCGTCTCTGAACCGTGCTAACGCTCCCGCCTTCCCACTCCTTGGTTGTAGTTACGTAGTGACGAGTTCTGGCCTAGTGCTCCCTGTGCTGCTGCCCCGGCTCTACCCGCCACTCTTCATGCTTTACGCCCTGGACAATGACCGTGAGGAAGACGTTTACTGGGAGTGTGTGCTTCGCCTAAACAAGCAAGCAGATATCGCTCTCCTGGGCTTTCTCGGAGTGCAGAGGTTGGTACCATCGGGAGAGAACCAAAGTTGGAATTGAAAATCCTTCAGCACCTATGTGTATGTGCATGTCGTTTTCCGACCTGCTCATGGTCTTCATTTCTGAGAATATTCGCAGATAGTTCTGAAGTTGCTTATTCATCTGAACATGTTCATTATCATGTGAACTAAATGGCTCGTCTGACCTACTGAAGATGCATAATTTATATTCCTGTTCTTAGAAGTTAATTTCTTTAAATCCTTGGTGTTCCTCACCTCTTTTCCCTTCTCTCCTCATTTGCAATTTAGAATTTCAGATCCTAAAAGTTTTCTTTCTATCTCAGACCATTGGTTCTTGTTCTGGGGAATCACATGACCATCCTTTCTAGAGCAATGATAAAGCTGATCCCCAACCCACCTAAGAATTATGTATTCATGCTGTATGAGAAGTTGATTTTTTCTAATAGACTATTTTAGCAATAAAAGTGTGATAAAAGTAAATGAAGGAAGCATTCTGGCCTGTAGTGTGAGATGATTGGAATATAGAATGCCAGACCTCTTTGGGATATGGTAGATGCTGTTGTCAACATAAAAACCACAGCCCTCATCTTACAGGGAATACAAGATTTAGGTTACCCCAAACCCCATGTGTCAACATGGGAGCATATTTATGGGATTTTTATTGTTTTACACAACAAAGACGGTCCTAAGTCAAGCAAGTTTAAAATGCATTGGTGGGTCCACCAGAGAGAGAGCAGGTACATTGAGATGGGGGAGCAATTCCATAGACCCAAGATGCTGTGTGATGATACAGAGGAGGGCCAGGAATGGCTGCTCCAGAAGCCTAAAACTAGTCCAAGATAAAGTAATCAGCCTCTGAACCTGCAGAATTCCACTATTGTCACAGCACTGGAATTCCAGTCAGTCCTTCAGGCTCTGCAGACACAGACTTCTAACAGGAGTTTTTCGTTCACAGCTAGACACAGCTTCTTTTCGGGAATTTTATTCACACTCTTAAATCATTTCCATGATATCTACTAAACTTAGGAAAAATGGAAATAAGAACATGAAACTGAGAACCAATTTGTAGAGAACTTGTTTTTAATGGGAACAGGGAAACCAAGATAACGATCGCCTTTTTAAAGGGGGTGTATCTATCAAAATGGTCTATTAACAATTGATGGTTTCATTGTAGGAAATTTTGGCCAGCAACCCTGTCAATCCTGGGAGAGAGCAAAAAGGTATAGTAGAGTTTAGTTCTCAGCAAACATGCTCTTGTTTGCGGAGAAGTGTTCCACTCTCCATGAGTGGTGCTTGGGTTAATGTCAGTTCCCAGCAGCTGTCGGGCCCCACAGGACCGTTCATTTTCTTGTGGGGAAGACGCCTGTCTGATGGCCGCTCTCCCTGTGCAGGTTTTGCCAACCACAAAAGACGCTTGTTTTGCCTCTGCGGTGGAGTGCCTGCAGCAGATCAGGTAAGCCGATGCTGCTGTTGACAAGTCGCACAGTTGGCTCATGGTCAGATGGTCAGTCTGCGGGCGGGCAGAAAGAACGCGTCCCCGCCCCTTCTCTCCACGTCATTCTCTCCACGCCTGGGTGTTGTGAGAATCAACAGGAAGATGGCCAGGTCTCTCTGCAAACTTGCGGGCTGTTTCACTCTAAAATACCCTTGTGTTTTCCAAGGCATGGAGAGCCTGCCTGGAGACTCATCTGTGTGCTCCTGTCTTTAGCCAAATGGAAATTAACCAGCTTCTCATTCAGAGAAGAGACTCCTTTGATCAGTGGATCGAAGGGAGCATTCTGTCAGAGTTCTCCCAGGGGAATCTCTGACAGCTGGAGGCGTCTTCACCCAAACACTGTAGGATTGCAGAGGCCTTCCCCGCCACCCTGTATGGTGTCTAATTTGAGGCATGTGAGACCCAAGAGAGACTGTTTTTCTAAAAATGAGTAAGAGATGGCTTTATCAGGAAAATCTAGGCTATCTTTTCGCACTTTGTTTCCACAACAGCACAACATTTACTCCGTCAGACAAACTTAAAGTCATTCAGCAGACCTTTGAAGAGATCTCCCAGAGTGTCCTGGCCTCACTGCAGGAGGACTTCCTGTGGTCCATGGATGACTTGTTCCCTGTCTTCTTATATGTGGTGCTACGGGCCAGGTATCCAGTCTTTTCTGAGGTCATTGTTATCTACTCTGGCACTGTTTGTTTTCCAAGTCTGCCCTTTGCTTCTCTGGAATGGATGATAGCAAGATGCACCATTAGACTAGAAATCCACTTCTCTTAACCCATTCCACAATGGCAGTGTTTGAACCTGTGGGTCGCAACTACTGCGGGGTCAAACGACATCAGGTATCCTGTGTGTCAGATGTTTACGTTCTGACTCCTAACAGTAGCAAAATTACAGCTATGAAGTAGCAGTGAAATAGTTTTATGGTTGGGGTCGCACAACATGTATTAAAGGGTCTCAGCACTAGGAAGGTTGAGAGCCACTGCTCTACGCTACTGTCTTTGTGTTACGCTATTCTTTCTCTGCCGCTGTCAGTTGACAGAAAAGGAAAGTCTACTTGAAGCAGAATGAACTTCTCCTCTTTTTCTGTCTGGGACAGGATTCGGAATTTAGGCTCTGAAGTCCACCTCATTGAGGATCTGATGGACCCCTATCTCCAGCATGGGGAACAAGGCATAATGTTCACCACCTTGAAGGTGAGTGTAGCACTTAACAGTGTTGAACCTTAATCTGCCCGTCATCTACCCTATTATAAATCATTCAGTAGCCACGTTTCCTCACTTTCTTCTTTTTTGGGGGGATGTTGTTTTGAGAATGAGGTCTTACTTTATAGCTCAGGTCAGCCTGGAGCTCTTAGTCACCTTTCCACCAGCGCTTCCCAAGGGCCACAGTTGCAAGGGAGAGCAACACCGTGCCTAAGCCATCCTCTTCTTTATGGAAAAATTCAGTGTAGACTTCACTGTTTTCTTTTATTACAAATCGATTTTTTTCATACAATATATTCTGATGATGGTCTCCCCAATCCCCATTCCTCCTAGTTCCCTCCTACCCTCCCATCCAGATCCACACCCTCTCTGTTCTTGTTAGAAATCAAACAGGCATCTAAGGAACAGTAGTGAGATACCGTAAGATAAATACAAAACAAGCAGATTGGAATAGGGCAAAACAAAAACAAGAAAAAGCACAAGAAACACAGAGACACACTTGTTCACACAGGAATCTTGTAAAAACACAAAACTGGAAGTTATAATATAGATGCAAATGACCTGTAGGTTAAGAAAAACAAAAGCCCTGACTTAACATTATGAGACAAAGAAACTCCACTGATACTACTGAGTTCGTTTTGTGTTGGCCATCTACTGCTGGTCGTGGTTCCTGCCCTTAAGCGTGGTCTGCTTTCCTAGTGAGACTCCCTTGGAGAAAACCAGTTTTTCATTGGCTCTCAATTGGAGATAGCCTCTGGGTTAGGGATGGGGGTCTGTGTCCACTCTCCTTTCAGTTCTGGGACCCCATATGGGGCGGACGTGTGCAGACCCTGTGCATGCCACCGTCTCTGAGTTCATGCGTGCATCAATCCTGTTGCATCTGGAAGGCCTTGATTCCCTGGTGTCTTCATCCCTCCTGGCTCTCACACTCTTCTGCCTCCTCTTCTGCAGGGTTCCTCGAGCCCTGAGAGGAGAGATTTGATGGAGACATCCCTTTTAGGGTTGAGTGTTCCAAGGTCTCTCACTCTCTACATATTGTCTGGCTGTGGGTCTCTGTATCTGTTCCCATCTTCTGCAGGAAGAGCTTCTCTGATGGCTGAGCAAGGCACTGATCTATGAGTACAGCAGAATGTCATCAGGAGTCATTCATTTTTATATTCCTTGAGCAGAACAGCAGTATTTGGTTTTCCCCTAGGTCCCTGGCCTATCTAGTATCTAGTGGTTCTTGGCCACCCAAGCAGCATTGGATATGGGTTCCATTTCATAGAGTGGGCAGTCTTAGTTAGGGTTTCTATTGCTGTGAAGAGACACCATGACCATGTAACTCTTACAAAGGAAAACATTTAGTTGAAGTGGCAGCTTATAGTTTCAGAGGTTTAGAGCATTATCATGGCGGGTAGCATGGCAGTGTGCAGGAATATATGTTTCTGAAGAAGGAACTGCTACACCTTGATAATGCAGGCAGCAGGAAGTGGACTGTCTCACTGGGCGTGGCTTGAGCATATATGAACCCTCAAAGCCCACCTCCACAGTGACACACTTCCTCAACAAGACTACACCTGCTCCAACAAAGGCACACCTCCTAATAGTGCCACTCCCTTTGGAGGCCATTTTCTTTCCAACTACCACATGGGCCTCAACTCAAATCAGATATTGTTAGATACTCCTCCAAGCTTCGTGCTAGTACTTTGGGATCACTAGAGATGCTTCTCCGAAATGTGTTCTTGCAGGTAGGTCACTCTTACAGATGGATACGTTTGTAGGGGTTGGTGTTTCTCTTTTGGTCGTGTTCAGAGTGCCTTCCAGTACCCTGAACACTAGTCAGCAGGGATGAAGGCTCTGGGTAGGCACCAGCTCGACTCCTCCATGGTCAGTGAGCTGTGTGGGTGTTGACTTCAGCAATGGGTAGGGCCTTGCCATCGGTTTGTGGAGAGCCACCAAAAGCCTTGGCAACAACCTGAGTTGTTTGGGGGTTTCCAGGGGCCCCTTTGGCCAAGAGCTCAGTTAGATGTAACCCAGTCCTGGCATTGGAAGCTTCATTTGGTGACAGATGGCCAGTAGGAGCTCTGTCTGTCTCCCTGTTACTTGGTGATGTCAGTTAAATTGCCTTCATCTGTGGAGTTTCATTTAGGAAGCGTCTACTGGATTAGACCCTCACAAGCCCGTAGTTTGGCCTGTCTTTCCCCACATCTCTCCCTCCCTCCCCTCCCTCCCACCCCCTCCTCCTGACCCATCCGTAACTATCTGTTCCATTTCTGCTTCCTAGGGAGATCCACCTCTCCTCTAGTCCCTTACTCTGTACCTAATCTCTGTAGTTGTATGGATTGTAGCTTGCTTATCCATGACTTAACAGCTAATATCCACATATAACCAAATACATACCATATCTGTCTTTCTGGGTCTGAGTTGCCTCTCAGAGTAGACTAAATACCTTCAGACTATATGTTGTTGGTACTAAAAGCATGATAATACATTAAATTAGGACAAATCAGACCTACACTGCCAAGTAATAAAATCTTAAAAATTATAATATTTAATATGAAGTAGTATGTTATGGTCACATGAATAAAAAGTCCCTAATGGAAAGGATAATGTTCATATTAACATTACAGTAGTACAATTTCACATTAGAAATGGAAGATGCAAACTAAAATTGGTAAAGATTTAATAAATGTCAAAAAAAGCATTCTTGTCATTTGCAGCTGTCTTGGAGGTAGGCTGAGGCAGCAAGGCATGTGTGCTGTGGGGTTTGTAGAAAAAGGATGAGCAAAGGAAAGACGGGGCGTTAAAATGAGCAAAACCTTAGAGCTGAACATCAGGTTTGTGGCTTGAACTAACTTTTAAACTTTTTCATGAAGATTTCTGTTATATAAACTGGGAGAGAGAAAGTAGTCTCCAAATTGTCTACAAATTGCTTTATTAGTATTTCCTTGAAGAGTATGAATCATTCATTCCAAAGGAAAATAAGTAAATGTACGTGTGAACAAATGCTCAGAGTCACTCAAAATCCTAGAAGTCCAAACCGAAGCTTGTTGTGCCTGAAATACCAGCAGATCTGTGTTCTGCTTTACCCAGTGCTGGTGGGATAGCAGTGAGGTCACTTTCCCACATTGCTTACAGTGGGGGGTACATGCGGTTCAACTGCTCGTGTGTGAACAGTTCAGAGAGGTTATTAACATTCTGATCAACAACAGCAAAGTGTTGGTGTGTTTGGCTCAGGACCCCACTCCCTGGAATTCATTCCAGGAAACCAGACTCAAGAGTGGAAAGCATGTGTCCGTCACCCTGGTGTGGCGTGCGTTGTACTTTGTAACTCCTAAGTACGACCACCGAAGGATCCCTGAACATGCTTCCCGTAATGCGTTCTTGGAAATTCTGACTTGCCGTGTGCAGGGCCACTCAGATCCTTTGTCCTGAGCTGTCTCGGGGAACTCTGGTCACACATGACCTTATGTCCCTTCAGACCTCCCAGTCACTAGTGAATGTCGTATTTCTAACCAGTAAAGACTAGTACACAGCTGATACGGCCTTGCTTCAGAAATAGAGGGACATATGTACAATTGTGTTGTTGTTAATTACAACTAGGCTGCACATAAGCATTTGATGGAGTCACAGGGAAGAAGAGCATGAGTGAGTGAATATGTGGGCATCTGTGTTAATAAGGGATTGTTCCTTCCCTAGTCTTAAAAGGAAAACTTGGATTTGTTTTGAATTTTTCCAGGCATGTTACTACCAGATTCAGCGTGAGAAGCTTAACTAGGGTACCTGACAGCTTAAGAACTGGATTATCTTCTTCGGAGGCTGCAGCACCATCTGGAATCGTCTGATGGTGGCAAAAAGAACAGTGTTGAAATTGGAATGGACTGTGTGTTGTTTTGGTTGTCATTTCTGAGCCTTACTGATAATTAGAGCCCTGAGCTCAGGGTGGAAAACCTACTGTATAGTTCAAATGGAGAATGGAAAAGGAAATAGGAATCCTCTTAGACAGTCTTTGCTGTACTAAGATCCATACACCTACTTAGAAAAGGAAGCCGGTTACCTCTTTCCTGTAGTGAAAGGTGTCAGCTCCATGGAATTGCAGGAAAATTTCCCAAGAAAGCTGCTTATGTGAAAGAAGTTGCTGACTGTTTTTAAGTTCCTGGTTTGTCCACATCCATTTGCAATTAACCCCACATCCCTGGGCAAGGAGTAGGTTGTGCTTGAAACTGAAGTAGCCGTACCTTGCCTTCCTAGATTCTTTCCATCCACTTGAGCATAATGCTGCTTTGCTGGGGGAAGAAGAGGAATTTTTAAATTGCAGTTTTAATCTTTTATAAGCCCCTCCACCAGGGTATTTGTGGTGGGAGAGGTTCCATGAGGTGACTGGTCCAGACATGGAATACATCCAAATAGGAACTTCTGCCTCCTGATTGAAAAGGACGTAGGGATACACTGGAATTCAGACCCTGATGCTGAGCTGCTACAGAGCCTCACTGGTCCAGGCAGCTGCGTTCCCAGGAGGCCAGCACAGGCTTTGCGTGGAGACAGAAGACTGGGAAATGTGGAAGGAAGCAGGGGGCTGCAGCCTGTGGCCTTCCCTCTACCTCACACTGAACTCAGACGGGAAGAAAGGAAAGACACACTGGGCTGTTCCAACCTCAGAAGTATTGTGACACCACATTTCCACGGTCTGCTTCTTGACAACCCCCCTTGTAGGTCGGTGGTTTACACTGTAGCAGTGACGTAGCTGTTTGGCTAACACAGGTGCTCTTCCCCTCTCATGTGCTGTACTCCGTGGGGAGCAGTGTCCTGACTCATGTGAAATGACTCAGCAGGCATTAATTACTTTTGAAAAGGATCATGATTTCCGAGCTACTTTATAATCAAGACAAGTGTTTGTTAAAATACTGTTTTGGAATGTTGGCTGTAATGTAACAGCAGTTTTCATAATAAAAGACATTCATCTCTATGAAGTTGTTCTCTGACTGTAGACGAAATGGCATAGGACAGACTAGAATTGTAAAGAGTGCTCAGCTCAGTATTTCTTTGTCCACCTTGTAATAAATAATGCATGCCTCTGACCTCAGGACACCCTGGGGTTTTAGCTCACTTAACTGCAGCCCATTTTGATAATCCAAGGACAAGAGTCTTAAAGTCTGTTTCCTTGACTAAGACACTTGGTGGTGGTTCACTTTGTTCGTCTTTAGGGAAGGGAAGGTCCTCTGCCAGAATGAGCCTGCACCCTGTGGGAAAGGACCGGGGCCCACTCCCTTCTGAGCATTCCCCATTTCGAATGTTTTTGACTTGGTGGACCAACACTCAAATGCCACGTTTGGCTAGTAAAGACAAAGTAATTAAACAAAGAGCTCCTTGAGACAGAGAGATGGGATAATAGTGGAAATGGACGCAAACTCAGATGATGGAACCAGACACATCCTCAAATGCCAGCACGCCACCTCCTCTCTGGTCACACTGCAGCCCATCCTATTTCAGTCCTCAGTGGAGATGTCTGAACACCGCCGAGTCCTCATTCTATGTGCTTTTGAGTTGCTTCTTAAAGATGATACATTGTCAGGTTGTGTGTGGAAAATCCTAAATCTCCAGGCCACCAACGGTGGCTGGAAATGCCCAGCACCCGCACAACTGGTAAAGAGATCCCGATGGATGCTCACAGCGGCCCTCACAGGCAAGTGTCCATCCCAGCTCTCCCCATTTTCCAGCCATGAAGAGCCGTGGTGTGCTCTGCCCCTGAGCTGGGACCCCGAGGCAGAGCTTCCCTACTCTCCGCTCCTCTCTCCTGCCTGTATGGATGCCCCTTCAGGGCCGAGCTCTGCATTAAGTCTTCAGAAACTGAAGTTTGAAGGAAAACCCCGATGGGGATGGTGGCACACGTTTGTGATCGCAGCCCTTGGGAAAGGGAGGTGAAGGCATGAAGGATGAGGAAGTCAGAGTTGTCCTCGGTGACACACACACAGTCTGAGGCCACCTGGGCTCCACGAGACCCTGTCTCAAAAAAAATTAAAATAAAATATAAACTAAAAAGTAGGGGGCTGGAGAGATGGCTCAGAGGTTAAGAGCACCGACTGCTCTTCCAGAGGTCCTGAGTTCAATTCCCAGCAACCACATGTTGGCTCACAACCATCTGTAATGAGATCTGGTACCCTCTTCTGTGTACATAATACATAAATAAATCTTGGGGTTGGGGATTTAGCTCAGTGGTAGCGCGCTTGCCTAGCAAGCACAAGGCCCTGGGTTCGGGCCTCAGCTCAAAAAAAAAAAAAAAACCTAAAAAGTAGAGAAGAAAATCTAGTGGGATATCTGCTATCCTGAAATAGTCCACAAAAATACTAGTGACTGTAGTGGAGTGTGGTAGCAGTGTGAGAGGAAACCCGCGTGAGGTGGGGGGTAATGCAAATGAGATGCTTGCACCCGAGGAGGATTGGCGAGGGCCGGCTTACAGGGAGTGAGTCAGTGGTTGGCTGCAGCTGCAAGGTCAGGATTAAACCCCAGCATGGGCAGGGACTTTATCCAGAGCCTCGAGGTGACTTTGGCAGCTGACAGCTGCCGGGAGTTCCTGCTTGCTCGTCTCTTGACAGGTGACAGTTACGTGTGTCCATCCTTGCAGGTAAGAGACTGCTCGCAATCCTGCATTTCCTGCAGGCCCCTCCCGAAGCTCAACAGAATCTTGGGTAGTCTATTTCACAATGGTGGACACCTTAAGTCACCTATAAAATGTTATGATTTTGAGAGACCATCTCTTTTAACTGTGGAACAGTGAGTTATAGACTTCAAGTGAAACTGAGTGTCCCCATCTTCTTCCCTGAGGGCCTTTGATGCAGGGAAGCCAGCAGGCCGTTTCTCATGGTTACACATGTGCTTTGCTCAGGATTTCCATATTGAAAAGTATTTTGGAAAACAAGCATAATGGGTCAGAGGTCAGAATTTTAAAGCAGTTAGTGTGTCTGTAAAGCAGAAGGAAATGCTGTCTTAAAACATTTTCATTACATTTTGTGTGTGTGTGTGTGTGTGTGTGTGTGTGTGTGTGTGTGTGTGTGCTCTCACACACACGTTTGTGGGGGCCCCCGCTTGTGGAAGTCAGAACAACTTTTGGGAAACAGTTCTTCTACTGTGTGCATTCAAGGTCGTCCGTCAGGCTTGGCAGCAAATGCCTTGCCCTGCTGAGCCATCTCAAAGGCCAAAGCTGACTTAAGGTAATGTTCAAGTTCGAGGTATTGATAATGATCACGTGCCAGCTTTTAGTGGCTTTTTTATACTCCCTGCCTCTTTACCCTATAAATTACATGTGGTAATATATTGTGTACCCTAATAAACTTCCTCCAACAAGGCCACACCTCCTAACAGTGCCACTCCCTTTGGGGGCCTTTTCCTTTCAAACCACTACAGTGATTGTTTATCATGTAGAACTACTTCTAAAACATTCCCAAAGAGTCCATCTCCCCTTTGCCCTTCTTTTCTTAACCCTTTCGTCATCCTGCTAGCTGAAATGTAGAGGTGATGGCTGGAAACCATGCCGCCATCTTGGAGCAGATAGATGAGTGCTGTGTGCATCCTGGGGTTGGGACAGTGAGCTGGCAGGACCCCATTGCCTCAATACTTTATGGACTGAGGCTGACCTAGCAAGTCTGGGTTGTCTCTGCTTCTGAACTGTCAAATAAGGAACACAGAAACTTCTACTAGGCCACTGTTATTCTGGATCTCTATCTTGTGAGAGTAAATAGATCTAAAGCAATGCTGTTGAAAGTACATTAAATTAAGCTGTTCAAACTGGTTGTTAAAGATGTGTGCTGAAACTGATAGGGCTAAGATATAATGAGCTGCCATGTGTTTGAACCTACGCAAAACCTACGGGGCACTGTTGTCTAGGTTTTAGACAGTTTATAGGGTGAACCAGGAAGGCTATCGGGGGCCCGGAGGGCCAAGTCACTGTTACGTTGTCTCTAGATTAAGAAGACTGTGTATTCCAGGACAGTAATCTGTTTCACATAACTCAGTCCAGTCTTCTAACAGGAATTGTGCAGTGAGATCTATGAAGAACGCCAAGTACAATATACAGAATGGAGTATCAGTGTGCATTCGGGCCAGGGAGGCCCTCTGAGCTCTCAACAGTGGGTAATGCACCCAGGAAAGCAAGCAGATAGACTGTGGCTTGTCAGTTATTGGAAAAGATGATAGGATTGTGAGATGGCTCAGTGCACACAAGGCTAACAACCTGAGATCTATCCCTACAACCCATGTGATGGAGGAAGAGAACTGAGCCCTGCAAGTTATCCTCTGACCTTTAAACCTGAGCTGAGTCACATGCATATGAGTCTGTGTGTGTTTAAACATGATGTAAAAGAATTAATTTTAGAAAAATAGTGGAGTGGGGAAGTGTTTATGGAATAATAGTTTTCTCTTTCACACAGCTAGTAGCAGCTGATTTGGAGGGGAAATGTCACAGGACAAGGCTGTGTTTTATTTGATGTATACCCGAGTATGTGCGACTTAGTACTTGGCTTACAGAATAACTGTTGTTGAAAATATACTCCGGTATGCTGAGCATTGTGTGGCTGGTGTGGCCGAGTGACAAGATGCTGCTGTTTGTCAGTCTGCTTCCTGTTTCTGACTTCCCTTTCCAAGTGTTCCAGCAGGGAGGATGAAACAGTCAGACAGAGGGGCAGAGCTGACGGACAAGGACGGGACACTTTGCACATCGCCCAGTCCTGAGAACGGTATGTGTTACCAGAGTTCCTTTCCTAGGCCAGAGAAGACTTACCATACTGTCTGCGTTTGTGATCAAGCACACAGGGACACCTGCTGTGATCATTACCGAGGCTTATTCTGCACCTGTGCCCACTGGCACTCGTGTCAGTGATTCTGAGAGCAGCTGTCAGTGCAAAGAAGACAATTGTCACGCGAGAGTCAGAGCCGCACAGGCCACACTGTCTGTCTAAAACTCAGAACTGCGTACCTTGTTCGCATGCAGAGTAACACTTGAAAGATTTTTGTTTTGTTTTGTTAGTTTGTTTGTTTTGTTTTGTTGTTTTTGTTTTTTGGAGACAGGGTTTCTCCGTGTAGTTTTGGAACCTGTCCTGGATCTTGTTCTGTAGCCCAGGCTGGCCTTGAACTCATAGAGATCCGCCTGGCTCTGCCTCCCGAGTGCTAGGATTAAAGGCATGCGCCACCACCGCCCGGTCAATTTTTGTTTTTATAATGAAAAAAAAAAAAACTGAGGATTTACTATGTATGTAGTTCCTTTGCTCAGTAGAATGTTGAAATTTATAATTGGAAGTCTGGGGGCAGTGAGTGAGGAGGGTACTTGTCATCAGAGCTGGTGACCTGAGTTAGAAGGAGACAACCAAGCTCCTCAAATTGCCCTCTGACCCCCACAGATGCATTTGCATATACACACAATAAACAAACAAACAATAAATAAATAAATAAATTTGAAAAAAATGTAACGGAGGGCCAGCCAGATGGCTCAGTGGGAAGAGGTACTTGCCACCAGGGTTGACAACATGAATTCCATCCCTGGGACCCACATGGTATAAAGGGAGACCTGACTCCTACAAGGTATCCTCCGGCTTCCACACAAATGCTGTGGTGTGCATGCCCCCAGCCCCACACAAGGAAATAAAGAACTCAAATGTAATTGTAAAATTTCAAAGTCCAGTGGGAAAGGTTTTCAGGAACACTCTCCATGAGTATTTTCAGAAAGGGTACAAATAGCCAACTGTGTTTGGCTTAGAGAAAGAAGGCCCAGAAAACATCTGGATGGTTTAGGGATAAATTCCTGTGTGGTAAGGCAGAAGAGGGAAGGTGATTGCATCATCCTGACGGTATCCCATGTCCACATATCACCATCATTCACCTACAGTTGAACTCAGCCCCATGAGAAAGCTAGCTGATTTGCAGTTTGCCAAAAGGAACTTTTTCCCACAGTCACGTGGTCTTCTGAAATGTATAGCAGAAATGATGGGACAGGGCTTGGAGCCACCCTGAGGCCTTAAATCCAGTGTTGTCCCACTCGTACAGTATCTGGAAACCCAGGGGCATTCCGAGCAGTGTCAGTTAACCTTACCGGCCCTCCTTGTGCCCCCCCCCCCCCACGGCTGACCTCTGTCCTTTCCTAGGCCTCTCTGGAATCCTGAGGCTGCTGCTGCAGGAGCTGAGCCTTTTCTACAGTCGAGATGTGAATGGCGTGTGTCTCTTATATGACCTCCTCCATTCCCCGTGGCTGCAGGCTCTGCTGAAGGTGAGTGCGCCAAGCCTTTGATTCTCTGGCTGGCAACAGCCAGTGTCTTGCTTGGACCTTTCAAGTTGCTGTCAAAGCATGCCGAAGATGTTGGCTTGTTGATTTGCTTTTTAAAGTAAAACTGCATCTTCTTTGTTTTGCATACTTTTAATTTCAGAAGAAAAACAAAACAAAAAAACAAATAACAACAACAAAAGTCTCCATAAAACCCCAGTACACAACCTTGTTGTCAGGTTGAGGGGAGGATTTTCCTGGTTTAAGAAACAGTACAGGAAAGAAGAAGCCAGCAGAGAGCCAGATGGATGAAGGCCAGTCTCGCTGCTGGAGGAGCCAGAGGCTAAAACAGTACAAAGGTCGCAGGCTTCCCAGGGGGAACTCTAAACTGCTTCCATGTGAGATGCGTTCTCAGCAGCCTCACGCAGGAGGCCGGCATCAGGGACAGTGATGCTGGACGCCTCCACTGATGCTTGTCTTCATCAGGAGGCGGCATCAGGGACAGTGATGCTGGATGCCTCCACTGATGCTTGTCTTCATCAGGAGGCGGCATCAGGGACAGTGATGCTGGACGCCTCCGCTGATGCTTGTCTTCATCAGTGCCCAGGCCAGCTGTGATCATGGTTGGAGTTCTTCCAGGGATCCACATGTGAGAAGCCGGAAAGGAGAAGCGTAGCTCTTAACAGCGGTGCCACGGGGTCCTTGACAGCCCTGGTTTTGCCAGTCCCAGTCAACTGCTGCAGGATCTCCACGACTGGGTGGGCAGGGTTGATTTCCAAGTGCCTTTTGACCATGATATAGCCCCTAACGGAGCTGTCTCCTAGTGCCGGGGCCTTCATGCACTGCCCTGCAGGCGCTGTCCAGCTACAGGTGTTCATCATAATGCAGCCGAGTGAGGATGCTTGCCTGTTGGAGATTGTCACCTCCTTCACCTTCTTTCGAGAGCAACTGGGGCTTGCTTACAGTTTTAGAGGGTTAGTCCATGATCATCATGACAGGAAGCAGATAGGCACGTCACTAGAACCGGAGCCGAGAGCTTTATATTCTGATCCATGTGCGGCCGACAGAGAGAGAGAGAGACACTGTGCCTGGCACGGGCTTTGGAAACCCCAAAGCCCACCCCAGTAGCATACCTCCTCCAGCAAAGCCACACCTCCTCCAACAAGGTCACATATCCTAATCCTTCCCAAACAGTTCCACTCCCTAGTGACTAAAACATTCAAACATGAGCCTATAGGAGCCATTCTCTTTCAAACCACCACACCAGGCGAGATGGTGCACACCTGTAACCCCAGCACTCAGGAATAGAGGCAGGATAATCAGGAGTTCAAGGTCATTCATGGCTAAAAGTCAATCTGAAGCCAGCCTGGAATCAATGAGACCTTATCTCAAAAAAAGTTGGGGTGGGGAGATACAGAGAGAAAGAGACGGACAGACAGACAGACAGACAGACACAACACACACGGAGACAGAGACAGAGACAGAGAAATATATATATATATATATATATATATATATATATATAGACACACCCCTGTTGGCTTTGGAAGCATTTGGGAATGAAAAACTATGTCTGATCCTTTCTTTACTGTCCCCAACTTATTTTTTCAGAGGCCCCTAAGATCACAATATAATTACCACAATGGCCACCAGCAGCTCCCCACAGTCCTTTGTCCTTAAGGCCAACTCCAGACAAATAATGCTTTTACAAAAGCCACTTCTGCTTAGATGGAGTGGTGCATGCCTTTAGTCCCAGCACTTGGGAGGCAGAGGCAGGTGGGGTCTCTGTGAGGCGGCCTTACCTACACAGTAAGTTTCACGTAGTAAGGAATGCATACTAAAACCCTGTCTCAAGAAACAAAACAAAACATCATTCCTCCTTTGTTAAAACCAGGAACTAAAACATCCATGGATCTGGTTGGAACTCTTAACATTTCCTTACCCTGATAAAATCTTCTAAAATTTGATTAAAAATTTGTGCACCTTACAGAGTAGATGTTCTGAACAGGTGTTCTTAAAAAAGATCCTTTTGAAGTTATTTTTGGGGATATAGATTATCTAATTAAGCATGAAATATGGTCAGCCTTATAGTGCATGCTCATGTTATAGTCTTTAGAATTGAAGTGGTAACATCTTCTGTATGACCAAAGATGCACATCACTTGTTTTAAATCCCTTGATCCCAGGTCTCACAGTTCAGTCTTGGCTGGCCTGGAACTCAGTATGTAGATCATACCTGGCTAGCACTTGACCCCTACCAGGAACACACTTGAGTACCAACCCTCCAGTACTGCAGGAAGCTTGCTCCTCACAGATAGAGATGGAAAGGCTAAGGTGCCTCTTGAAACTCCTTTCTCTATCTGTAAGATGAATTTGATTCCCAGAATAAGATGAAGGGCAGCACTGTGAAGCCGGGCGAGCTTTGCTTACCCACCCTGATTCCTTATCTAGTACGGAAAAGAATCCCCAAGGATCAGGACAGATGAAGCTGGAATTTGCACCGGAGAATTGCCTGAGGAAGGAGAACTGAACAGCTTTGAGCACATTCCAAAGGTCTGACTTCTTATCCTAGACCCTTGTTGGGTCGTGAGCCATACAATGCATACCCTGCCCAGCTGCCCAGCGCAGAGGTCCTTAGGGGTCTATACCCCATAGACCCCCCCCCCTTGAGAAGCCCTGTGTGCATTGTCTATAGATCCCTGTTGGCGTCAGCATCAGAAACCTTCTCTTTACCTTCCTCACCTAAACAAGGGAAACATTTGCATACTTTTTATTAATGAAATTTCCCTGGGGCTGCCAGTCTCCTGGTAGCCGCCAGGAGTGATGCCGTTGAGGTGCTGGGACCTCCACTCAGCCGCCGGAGTCACACCGTGTTGCTTGCTCAGGTGTCAGCGGTACAGCCGCCTTGGCTGTTTCCTCCTTTGAGAGCCTTTACTCTACAATGTGACCGGTCACATCTTCCGTATCATTCTCACCCTTGTGCCCTTCTGCAGGTCTATGACTGCCTCCAGAAGTTTAAAGAAAAGAAGCTCCTTCCTGCTACAACCCATGCACAGATCCTATCCTGTGAGGTAAGGTGGCTCTGCCCAGAAGACCCGTAGAGCCTTCGATGATGTTCTCTGACCTGGAGTGTTTGTTTAAATGGAGGTTTCTGTTGGGAGAACATGGTCAATGACTATGCACTTTAATAAATGTTCTTAATTAAATTTAATATAAAGAAGAAAATCGTCTTCCAAAACTAACACACACGCATGTGCGCGCGCACACACACACACACACACACACACGCATTCGTGCACACATGCATGTACATTTTTAGCACATGACCAGCTCTGCCTTTGCCCTGTCCTTCACATTCAACTGGCCCTGTGTGTACAAGGTGACATTGCGGTTAATGATTCTCCAATTTCTATCTCAAACATGGATCTGGGTCTTGTTTGGATTCCAGTCTTTGCCACCCAACTTCCTCCTCCCCGTCTTCCTCGAAGTTGGATGGACACGTCAGACTTAGCATGTCCTCACATGTCCCCTTCGGCTCACCCCAATCACGGCCTTTCCTGTCTCTGTCACTGTAGTACTATTGTCAGGCTGGAATCTTGGGGTAACCTGGGAGTCTGTTCTTTCTCTCAGATCTCACCAGTCGTGCGGCAAACCTTGTCAGCTCCACTTCCAAACACATCTGGACTCTCACCAGTGTTTTGTTTTGTTTACTCTTTTGGGGGCCCTGCCACTCAGCTCCCAGATAAATCACACATGGAGACTTATTCTTAATTTATGAATGCCCAGCCTTAGCTTGGCTTAGTTTCTAGCCAGCTTTCCTTAACTTTAACTTATCCCATCTACCTTTAGCCTCTGGGCTTTTCCCGTTCTCTCACTTCTGTAAATCTTACTCTTACTCCGTGGCTGGCTGTGTAGCTGTGTAGCTGGGTGGCTGGGTGGCTGGGTGGCTGGGTGGCTGGGTGGCTGGGTGGCTGAGTGGCTGGCCCCTGGCATCCTCCTTCTCTGGCTACTTCTCTCCTTTTTTCCTCCCAGATTTCTCCTTCCGTTTATTCTCTCTGCCTGCCAGCCCTGCCTGTCCTTTCTCCTGCCTTGCTATTGGTTGTTCAGGTCTTTATTAGACCATCAGGTGTTCTAGACGGGTGAAGTAACACAGCTTCACAGAGTTAAACAAAAGCAACATAAACAAAAGTCACACACCTTAAAATAGTATTCCACAGCACGCCAGTCCTGTACCCCCTAACGTAATTAAGTAGAAGCCATTGACACCCTTACAAATAACTGGGTGTCCCTTCCACCGGCTCCTCCAGCCCCACCTTTACACCCCCATGTCTGCTTCCAACAGAGAAGCCTTAGAAGCAAGCCAGACCAGTTGTTTCTCTGCCCCAGTCCTCCTTATGACCTCCTAACTCTGAAAAAAAAATACTAAGATCCCAACACACTTGTACACGACTGAGCCTCTCTGGTGGCTTTATTTCATACTTATTTCCTCCACCTGCTCGCTCTGCTCCAACCATGTTGGCCTCATGGTCGACAAGCTCCTGTTGCATCCTTTCTGCCCTGGCCTGTCCTTAAGCCACTCATGTTCTTGCTCATGAGTCCTCATGATCTTCCTCTTCCATCCATCAAAGGCTACATTCCAGGAAAAGTTTTCCTGGCCACTCATCTAAAATCGGACTCCTTCCTGGAACTCCCTGGCCAACTTCCCTGGTTTGTTTTTCCTCTTAACTCTTTATATCAGACAAAAATGTTCATTTCTGTTGTGTTTATTGCCTATGCCTCCCCCACTGGGATGAGAACTCTAAGAGAGTAAGAATTTTTGTCTGCCAACAGTGTCCATTACATAAAATGTGTTCAAAACCATAGAAGGAGTCAAAGAGAGGAGGAGGGGGTAAGAAAAAAAGGAAGAGACTGTACCCTTCATTTCAGCAATCAGCAGTTCAAACTGTCCCCAGTTGTTTGCAGGATAACATACACATGGCATCTTACTCACTGTAACCCCGGTGCACAGGTGTGAAGCCTGTGACCTGCATGCTTTACTCAGCCGTGTGCAGTGATGTGTGCTGCTGGGGATTCATACTTTGAAAAATACTGTGCTGTGGGATGTCTTTCTGTATACTGTGAATACATGTTGTTCTGACTGGTTGATAAATAAAGCTTCCTTGACCTGTAATTGTAAGTTTTCCTGTGTCCCACCTGGTCCCACAGCCCCTTGGGCCCAAGTAAACACACAGAGGCTTATATTACTTACAAACTGTATAGCCTGTGGGCCAGGCTTCTTGCTAGCTAGCTCTTATAACTCAACCCACTTCTATTAATCTATATGTTGCCATGTGGCTGTGGTGTTACTAGTCTGCTGGCATCTTGTTGCTCCTTCAGCGGCGGGCTGGTGTCTCCCCTGATTCCACCCTTATTCTTGTCTTTAGTTTGAATGTCCTGCCTAACCGTAACCTGCCCTGCCATAGGCCAATGCAGCTTTATTTATCAACCAATCAGAACAACACATATTCATAGCATACAAAAAGATATCCCACAGCAATACCGTGTCCTCTGAAAGCAGGTCTACAGTTCGTTCTAAGTCATTTCACATTCGCAGCAAGTATCGAAATTGCTGATAAAATGATACACTTTAAAATAAAAGTCATCATTTCCATTTTCTACTCAAAGAATGGAGCTTCTCATGAGACTGAGTGGCCTGAATTCTCGGCTCACCTGTAGCTCAAATTCATCTGCCTGTAATGTACTGCATTAATAAAGAGCCACTTTAGCAATACCAGAGGAAAAGGCCTTGCTACTTAGGCTATCACGGGTTTAATCTACCTTGAGTCTTGGCTTCTGTCTGCTATGGTAAAGTTTAACAGCTAAGGAAAGACACTAGGCCCTGTCTCTGGAGACAAAAGAGAAGGCTTCAGTAACAATGTCTCTTAGGTCAACATCATATTAGTACATCTACTTTTCAGCCTGTGTGAAGTTGACTAGGTGATAACGATTGTTGTTATGAATGTGTATATGTCTGTGTAAGTGTTTATTACATGTGTGGGGTGCCCTCAGAGGCCAGCTGGAGTTATGGGCAGTTGTAACCCACCTGAATGGGTGCTGGGAACCAGACTTGGGTCCTTTAAAAGAGCAACAAGCTCTCATAACCCCTAAGCCATCTCTCCAGCCCCAGGTGATGAAGATTTTAAGTATTTGATTTCATTTCATTTTGCTTTTTGGAAACAGGGTCTCACCTGAAGGCCAGAGTGGTCTGTGACTCACTTTGGAGCTAAGCTAGTTTCAGAATTTTGGTCACCCTCGTGACCCAGTCTCTCAAGTGCTAGGATTACAGCCATAAGGCACCTGGCTTAAAAATACTTTATGCTGTATATTTTTCCGTCATGAATCAGGTCTTGGAGCTATTACCCAAAGCCTCCAGTTCTCCTGAGATCCAAGAGCTGAGACAAGTCCTCCAGGCTCCACACTGCAAGGTAAGCATTTGCTAAAATGGACCATGTTTGCCCACCTGCCATATGGCAGAGCTGGGAAGAGTAAATAAACAGGATATAAAACGTTGTCTCTGAATATATATTCTGTTTCTGTACATGACTGACAAACCGATTATACTTGAAGGTGTGGGGCTCATATGTGGTTGACTAATCACTGAGCCAATGCTCTCACGTGTATGAGGAGGCACCCAGAACTTTCCGGGGTGTCTTGTTCTCCCAAAAAAATACTATTCCTCTAAAATTCTGGGCAGTCACCAGGGCAGCTCCCGGTTACACAGAAAAAAAATCCCTATACTTTCTCTCCATGTTGGGAAGATTTTGACTTTTGAATACAGTGTATGAAATTATTTGGGATATACATTTATTTGTATATATGTATATGTGCCTTTATGAGTTTATGTGCACCACATGTGTGCAGATGCCTGCAGAGACCAGAAGGGGGCATCGGATCCCCTGGAACTGGAGTCACAGACAATTGTAAACTGCCTCATGTGGGTGCTGGGAACAGAACCCAGGTCCACTGAAAGAGAGCAAGCTCTTTATTAACCGCTTAACCTCTGATCCATCTCTCCAGCCCCTGAAAGAGATTTCTGTACACTTTTTAACCTCCGTATTCCCGGACCCCTTGTCCGTAAACAGGGAGCAATAAATAGACTTATCTCATAAGGTGACTGTGACTGAATTGTGCCTGACACGTAGGCGTGGTGTCTGTGGCTGGGTGTCTTATATAGTATCAAGTCACCGTCTTTCAGGTGCATGTGACATTGCTCACCTGTCTCTTTCTGTTCCCAGGCTCTGCTCAGTGCCCATGACACGGTAGCTCAGAAAGATTTTGAACCCTTTCTCCCCCCGCTGCCGGACGACATCCCCGACAGCGAGGAAGCTTTGAGGATCGTGTGTTTGGTGAAAAACCAGCAGCCCCTGGTAAGGAAATCATTGACCTCTTGTTTAGGTTATGCCAGCGCTCCTTGTGATCTAAGTCGTATTAATGGTTACTTGACTGGCGGTTGTGTCTCGGTCACACACAGAGTGGAAACAATGGCATGATAACCGGTGTACTATTTCCTGTGGTTCAGATGCACTGCTGGGCATAATGTTGTCCCGACCAAAAGGTTTCTGTTTAGTAGTTTTTCTTTCATGAGAAGACAAGATACAATATAAACTTTTTGGTGAAAAGACATCTGTATTATATATTTTATTTGTCTTTCATGTATTTTACTCAGTTCTAATGCACTGGCCTACATCTTTCTCTTCCACTAATAGGAAGTGGGCAAGACATTAATTGATTCTCTAAGAGTGCTTCCTTCCATTAGATTATAATCAAGGGCACTTTATTTCTGGAAGATTCTAAATATTCTATGTCTGAATATTATATGGAGGCCTTATGAGGTCAAGGTCTGATGGCCCTTCCTTTTTGATGGCATGATGTGGCTGATGGCCACAGGGTGACTGGGGGCCCCTTCTGGTTAATAAGAAAATCATTGTCTGAAAGACAAGAGCTGTGCTGACTGAAGCTACCAGAAAAATAGTCGTGTTAGTAAGCCCAGGACCTATTGTGTTCTCTCTTTAGGGAGCTACCATCAAGCGCCATGAGATAACAGGGGATATCCTGGTGGCCAGGGTCATCCATGGCGGGCTGGTGGAGAGGAGCGGTAAGCTGGGGTGGCATGGTGTTAGCCAGACACAGGGACACTGGATTCTATGACTTTTCCAGAAGCAAGAAGTCTCTTGTGCTCTTCGGTCAGGGCCTTCAGATGTTCCTTTGCTTGGCTAGTAAAAAAAACAGGGACAAATGTTCCGAGGGACTCCAGCCCCCTCGTTCAGAGCACCCCCGCATGCTAGGCTCTGTGGGAATGTATTCTTTTTATCATTCTCAAGGCAAGGGAACAATGCAAGCATGATCATGACATTTCACAGATGGAAGAACCGGGCCTTACCTAGTATGAAGAAAACCTTTTTTGTTCTAAGAATTTGCTCTAGGGCTGGAGAGGAGGGGAGATCTGAGTTTGATTTGCACCAGAAGCAAAGCTATGCACCTAGGAGACAGGCTGTGTCTCCATAAGGGTGTTTACCTTAACTCAGGGGCCTCAGGTGCCTAGCAGGTGGTCTGACCAGCTATTCTGTCTGTCACTTGTCCTTGGATGCTCTGTCTGGAGCTGGCCCTACCTTTAGATGTAGCTTAAAAGGATATTTGCAGAAGGCAGACATCTAATGCAAATGCTAAAAAGGGAATAGGAAGCCTGGAGGCAGAAAACCTTGTCTACGTGACCTTATCCAAGTACTTTAAGTGTATATGCCCAAGGCATGATCCATCCACACTGTTAGAAGTTCTTGGGGAAATTATGAGAGCGCACAAGAAATTCAGGGCAGGAAACAGCTGATATATTAAAGGCCGAATAACTCTAAATACTCCCTGAGATTTGGCTTTTTCCTCCAGAAGGATTCCTTGATTCTTCCAGGTATATCTTTACCACATACAGCTGAATCTCTGTTTCATATTCCTGTGGCTTGTAGCAGTTTATGTGTGTGTGTATATATGTGTGTATTTATATATATGTGTGTATATGTTTGTGTATGTTTGTTTATATGTGTATATTTATATGTGTATATTTATATGTGTGTGTGTATGTTTATATATGTTTGTTTATGTGTGTATGTGTCTATGTATGCATGTTTATATGTGTATGTGTTTATGTTTATGTGTGTTTATGTGTCTGTGTATGTTTGTGTATGTGTGTGTTTATATGTGTGTATGTATATTTGTGTATGTATGAATATTTATATGTGTGTATGTATATTTATATGCATGTATATGCATGTATGCTTATGTGTGTGTGTGTGTGTGTCTGTGTGTGTTGTTAGGGACTGAACCCAGACCTTGAACATGCTAGGCAGGTGCTCTACCACTGAGCCATGACCTTGAACTCACTCCCCCTAGCTTCTGCTTCCCTGATGCTGGCATTAGAGATGTGTGTCACCATACATGTTCAAGGCTTCATCTTATCCCCCAAATTGCTCCATACTGAATCTTTTGAAGAATAATTCATTCCTTTTTCTTTCCATGTGTCCTTCACTCACACCCTGATGTCTTTAGTGTTCTTCTGGTCAGCATTTTGGTTCCATTTTACAGCATCAGGGTAGAAAAAACAAATACCAAATCACTCTTGGTGCCGGCAAAGAGGTAGAAAATAGAGCGCTCACAGATGGTTGTGGTGGTATAAGTCGAAGTGAACAGTTTAATTTTTATTTAAACATTTCAAACATGCTTGGGGGCGTGAGCTTGTAGTCGTTGGAATGGTGGCCTCTGCCAGACCCTTCCCGTTTGTGTTCCCCTTCCCTAGGGCTGCTGTACGCTGGAGACAAGCTGGTGGAAGTTAACGGTGTTTCAGTGGAGGGCCTGGACCCCGAGGAAGTGATCCACATTCTGGTAATGTCTTTCCTCCAGTCTTCATTAGAGACTTAGTGACATGCCAAGCCCCATGGTGTGTGTGCTGTGATGTGATGGGGTTTGACTCCTGTAGCTGGAGTTTTCTCCAGTCCTGCCTGGCCCACAGTCAGGACAAATCTCTCTCACCCGCCAGTCCTGCAGCCGCTCAGACTCAACCAAGTAAACACACAGAGACTTATATTTCTTTTTTTTTTTCTTTTCTTGGTTTTTCAAGACAGGGTTTCTCTGTGTAGCTTTGCGCCTTTCCTGGAACTCACTTGGTAGCCCAGGCTGGCCTCGAACTCACAGAGATCCGCCTGGCTCTGCCTCCTGAGTGCTGGGATTAAAGGCGTGCGCCACCACCGCCCGGCCCAGAGACTTATATTTCTTATAAACTGTATGGCCATGGCAGGCTTCTTGTTAACTAGTTCTTATATCTTAAATTAACCCATATCTATTAGTCTATAAGTTGCCACATGGCTCATGGCTTACCAGTACCTTACATCTTGCTTTTCATGGCAGCGGCTGGCAGCGTCTCTCTGCCTCAGTCTTCCACCTCTGTGGGGCGTTTACCCAACCACCCCCACAGTTCCCCAGAGTTTTCTTGAGTGCGAGCAGCAGGAAATATTAGATAGAAGGATTTATTGCGGAGAATATTGCGGAGATAAACAGATAGAAAATAAAGGATAGCCTCGAGAGGGCCTGAAACCTATTCCAACAGGCCCCGACTGTCTCTGCCCCAGGGTTTTTATAGAGATGCCAAGGGGTGGAGCAAAAGACCTCCTCCCCCAGCACAGCCAAGTGCAGACCATCTCAGACACCTGCACTCAGGCCTGTGGTCCTAATCATCCTCTATGCGGACCTGCTGGGTAAAGCCACGAGGAACCCGAGAACGGGCTCCCACACACCTCCCAGAATTCTTCTCCTCCTTGTCCCTGCCTGGCTACAAGGCAATCAGCGTTTTATTTATCAATCAATCATCCACAGCAGAGTCCCTCTTGCAGCTTTCTGCCTCTAGCCCTAGACCTTGTCTGTTGCCAGGTAACTCATCAAGCTTTGTGTTTAACCCCCAGAAGTCCTGGCAAAGGCTGGGGACATCCCTTCCCAAGCATCTCCTCCACAGGACCAGTCATCCCCCCAACACACACACACACACACACACACACACACACACACACACACACACACACACACACACAAGTCCCTCATTACGTGTGCTCAGTGGGAAACCAAGCTGGGGCAGAGTGAGGTTTCAGAGACAGTTTGAACCTGAGAAACATCCCCTCACTCCCTAATACATTCAGACAGCTTACGTCTGTTTGACATCTTTCTCTGGGCAGCTTTGGGTGGGTGGAGAGGGGAGTCACCAGAAGGCATCATGTGGGCAGGGATAATGCTTGCTGCTCCTGTTCCTTGGTGGCTGGTGCTGGGAATTTTAGAAACTGAAGCGGTTCAGGGTGGGTCCAGTGTCTGCCCAGCCTGTGTGCCTAAGCATATCAGCCTTTCATCTCCAGTTCTCATTCTCACGGGTCGGGACTGTCAGCAGTTCAGCACTACTCCCCATAGAAAGATGGAAATGCTCATCCCCCAGGTACACATCTCCCCCAGGTTCTCCCCAGGTTCACTCTAGGCTTTCACAGTGGTGGCTGAGAGACGAAAAATGAGAAATACAGCCAGAGCACCTCAACGTTTTGTAAGCTACCACCACAAGATCCCATGTGATACGGAAGGTTCTGCAAAGGGCATTAGAAGTATATCCACCTTGGACCAAGCAGCTCTCCCTCAGCCTCCTGGCTGGTTCCAGCTGCGGGGTGACTGGGAACGATGCTTCTTGGGAAGCTACCAGGAGAAAGAATGAGGTCTCACTAATCTGCTGCCTGTCACCGGGTCTGTAGCTCACATCAAGCCAGGAGGGTCTCTTCTAGCCTGTTCTAGGCTCCTCCTATCCAGTTTTAGTTTGGAAGCTTGTTGGTTCTCTCAGAAGATGCGGGGGAGCCCTTTATCCTTCCCGTCAGGCTGGGGCAGCTGGCTTCGAAACGAGTTTTCAGGAAATGCTCACTGAGTGAGGAAGGACGTCAACGATGTTGTCTTTTCCCCCAGGGTGTGTGGGAGAGAGACCTTGCTGAGTGAGGCGTCCATCAGCAGTGTGGCGGGTCCTGGGGAGAGGCCACCTCAGTGTGTGTTTCTTCTGCAGCCAGTGCCCCTGGTGCCCCTCACTGAGGCAGATACAGAGATCAAGTGCCTCCCAGTTCCCATTTCTGGGTGGTGATGGTCGCTGTGGTGAATGTTGTCCTTAGACCTGGACACATTCAGGCATCCCTCTGTCTCTGCACCGCGGAGCCCATGCTTTGCCATCCTTCCTCTTTGCTGTCTTCTAGACTCTGTCCTGTGGTACGATCATGTTCAAGGTGGTCCCGGTGTCTGCCCCTCCTGTGAGCAGCCAGCAGATGGTAAGAACTTCCCGCCTTTCCGCCTCCCACACAATGACAGTTCCTAGGTATGCTGTGTAACGGTCCTGCCCGCTAGACTGTTTGGGACAAGGGTTCAGTGTTCTGGGTGTTTCTCGGTGCCGATGACCTGAAATGGAGAATGGGTAAAGGAACACAGCAATGGAGTTAAGATGCAGCCTCAAAAATGGTGAAAATCTGCACAAAAATGTGTCAGAGCTAAGGGATGCTACAACACATTTTAAAATGTTTAATAGCATCTGTTAACATCTACAATAAGGGGTTTCACTATGACATTTCAGACATATAATATATATAATGTATTTTGATCGTATTTAATCCGTTTTATTACTTGCTCATGTTCCACTCCCATTAATCTTCTTTATCTTCCCAACTAGCACCATTTCTACCTTCATGTCTGTGTGTCCTTAGTGCGTGTGTGTGTGTGTGTGTGTGTGTGCGTGTCAATGAGATTTAGTGGAGTTGTTAACACTGAAGCAAATGTCTCAATCTTCCCGTCAACCATTGACTGTTTATAAACCCCGAGGGGGAGGAGAGGGGACCCCATGAGCCCTCTGACAGGGTGTTGACCTGGCCAATCACGTAGGTGATCATGATGGCTGTGCGTTCAAGAGTGCTACAGCTGTGCCGTGCCTGTGAGTCGGTATCCACACCGCTCCTCCCACTTCCTCCGGCTCCTACATTATTTCTGCCCATCTACAGCGTTCTCTGAGCTGTGGGGTAGATAATAAAGATGTCCCATTTGTGGCCATTCGTTCAATAAGCATCTAGTCTCCGTACTCTGGCCACTTAAGAGTCTTTGCAGTAGCTGCTAGCCGCTCCAAAAAGAAACTTCTCTGACCAGAGCAGACAGCAGCACCGATCGATGGGTCTAAGCACAGTTATCGGGAAAGCAATTGGACAGCCACATCATGCCCGTTTAGCAGAATGTCAGCAATGGCTTCCCACTGGGACCTAGGCCCTCCTCAGCCGCAGACTTTTGACAGTGTTTACAGCACTGAATGTGGGTTCTCTCTATGGAGTGAGCATCACCTCCAGCTGGAATGTGGTTGGTGGTGGCCATAACAGACTTGTCCCTGCCGCATCGAAGATCTCACTGTGCCTGGCTGGTTGCTATTACTCCATACAGGTCCACGGATAAGTAAAGCTACTGATGACAATTCCTCCCCAGCAGCTAGCTAGCAGGGAGGAAGCTTCCAGCCTGATTTCTCTATGTCCTGTGGCCAAGACACCAACAGCACCCCTCTTCCTCCACCATTTAGTTTAGAAGAGCAACTCTCTTTTATGGTGAGGGTAGACAAGAAAGATGAGAGCCGCGGGCCGAGGAGTGGGCCGATGGTTTAGTTGGGGTGGTTCTCGGGCAAGCATTCCTCTGACAGTGCTGTTCTGCACCTGCTGTCAGGTTTATGTTCGTGCCATGATTGATTACTGGCCCCAGGAGGATGCTGACATCCCTTGCATGGATGCCGGATTGCCTTTCCTGAAAGGAGACATTCTACAGATTGTGGACCAGAACGATGCCCTCTGGTGGCAGGCCCGGAAAATCTCAGACCTGGCCATCTGTGCCGGGTTAATCCCTTCTGATCACCTGCTGAAGAGGTGGGTGACCTGGCGCAAGAATTAGGCCATCAGGCAGTGCTTGGGACAGCAAGTGTCTGAATATGTGATAAAGACACAAGCAGGTGGAAGAACATAGACCCAAAGTTTATAAACCAAAGCGTCAATTTACAGATAGACTTTCAGCTTCTTAAACACTAAGGGGACCAGGATAGTTATATCAGCTAGAAGGGATAGAAAAGCGCTTGTGAAGCTAAATGAAACTTTAAAATGTCTATGGTCTGAATATGTTGACCCAATCCCCCGTTTATGTGGTGAAATGTAATCCCCAGAGCAACAGTACTAAAAGGCAAGGCCTTTGGGAGTTGATTGGGTCATAAAGTAAGATTAATGGATTATAGAATCCGCAGATTACTGAGATTGTGACGGTGGAGGTGTTGGCAGGACTAAGAGGCGTGAGAAGTGAAATCCTGGAGAGTTTGCAGCTACTGGGACGGAACAGCCCCAGGGCGTGGCCGTGGGAGGCAGTGGCAGAGGAAGGGTGAGCCTAAGGCTGCCGGGTAAAAGATCAAGACCCCACGGGGTGGTGGTCCACACCTCTAATCCCAGCACTCAGGAGGCAGAGGCAGGCGGATCTCTGTGAGTTCAAGGCTAGCGTGGTCTACAGAGTGAGATTCAGGACAGCCAGGGATACACAGACAAACTGTGTCTTGGAAAAAGAAAAAAAAAAAAAAGATCGAGGCCCAAGTGTTAGAAGCAACATTTGCCTGCTTAAAACCATCCAGAATTACAACTAGTATTGAGAGCATGGGAGCAGTCAGGGAGAATGGGGAATGACATTCCAAATGGGGACTCTTAAAGGAAAGGAAGGGTGTTCTGGAGACATTGGTGGGAATCCGGTACAGCCTCTGCCTCAGGCTCAGTGGAATAGAGTAGCCCATGCTGGAGCCAGATGACATCTTTCTGTCTCTTCTGAACTGCATGCTCAGTGCCACACCCCGAGAGAACCCGCAAAGTCAGCCAGTCTCTGCTCTCTTTCTGCCCAGGAGGCAGCGGGAATTCTGGTGGTCTCAGCCGTACCAGCCTCACACCTGCCTCAAATCCACCCGATGCGAATGTGAGTATGTGAGTGTGTGCAGAGACCTCCAACTCAGCGTGCACATCCAAGAGGGCTGCTCCCGGTCTCAGGCTAGCGTTCTGCCTGAGAGAGGGGCTTAAATACTCTCGATGTCCCAAGACAATCCCCCTGCCTCCACCAGGCATCAGAAATCCTACCGTAGGCTTTCCTTCCTTCAGTTGACAAAAAGGAGTCTTAACATATTTATTGCCAGTGATAAACACCGTGACCAAAAGTGACTTGGGGAGGAAAGGGTTTATCTGGCTTATACTTCCACGTCATAGTCCGTCATCGAAGGAAGTCAGGTAGGTACTGAAGCAGAGGAGGAACACTGTGTACTGGTTGGCTCTTTAGCTTGTTCAGCGCACTTTCTTCTACAATCCAGGACCACCAGCCTAGGGATGGTACCACCCACAGTGAGCTGCGCCCTCCCACATCAACCGTTAATCGAGACAATAGCCCAACAGACTTGTCGATCTGAAGGAGGCATCCTCTCAATAGGAGTTCCTCCTCCCAGATATGTTTATGTCGAGTTGACAAAACCAGCCAGCACAAGCCAGACACAGCCTTGTGTGGAAGACTGAGTCATTTTCCCCCAACTTCAAGTCCTCCAAGACCCCTGCAACTCTGTGGGTGTCGTACCTGGACACACACCTGTGGCTGTACACCTGCGCAATCTCCCTTTGTGTCTTTCCTTTTTTAATATTAAGATTTATTTTCTTATTGTTATTTTGTGTGTTTGGGGGCGTGGTTTGCCTGCAGGAATGTCTGTGCACCACATGCATGCAGTGCCCCAGGAGGCCAGAAGAGGGTGTCAGGATCCTTGGGACTAGAGTTACAGAGAGTAGTGAGCCTCCACGTGGGTGCTGGGGACCAAACCCAGGTCCCCTGGAAGAGCAGCCAGTGCCCTTAACTCCTGAGCCATCTCTCCAGCCCCCGCTTCCTTTCTTTTTCCTACTGTAGACTGGACCTAGGACTTGATGCCCTGAGTAGGCGCTCTCCCACTAGGTAATGTCCCCAGCCCCAGTCCTGGGCCTTTGTGACTAAATACGAGACTGAGTTACCACTTAAGAAATTCAGTGTGGTCGTTATACAGAGCGCTTCAAATAGGAGGGGAGGGGTCATGAGTGCCTGCAAACTACCTAAGGCCCTCTTAATGAAGCTGCCAGCAGTGGGAGAGAGTGGCCAGGGCAGGCTGACAGACAGCAGAGCTCACCGGAGCCTGCTGAGTGGGGCCTTCAGAAACGGCCCTCTGGCAGGCTCTGTAGGGGTTCAGGCTGGGGAGAGATGGGACATAGAGAGAACACACAGAGGAGACTCCATATAGACCACCGACAGCAACACCAGTATCACAGATTTGCAAATGCCATGACTTCCTGTTTATTATTTTCCAGTTTTCAAGCCAAAGATTGTTTTTCTTTGATTTTGTATTGAAAAAAATGTCATAATGCCCATGAATAGGTTTTTCTTTTTCTTTGCTTTGCTTTTTTTCTTTTTTTGAAGGGGGGGGGCAGTATCTCATGCAGCCCAAGCTGGCCCAGAACTGGCTATGTGTCTGAGGACCACTTTAATTCCTGATCCTCCTGCCTCCACCTCCCAAGCGTTGGATTACAAGCGTGCACCGACTCAGCTCACAGAGGAAACATCCATCCAGTACTTTCTCCCTGACACTGTGCTAACTTATCTTTCGGTTACAGACGCGTGTCTACACGCCACAGCAAATGCTCTAATGCCGCTGTTTCTTCTCTTACCTTCTCTTCAGAAGCATTTAACATCATCATCTTCCCAGTGATCTTTTATTTTGAAAAGAATTAACTGGTATAGATGGAAAGCGTCCTTTAGTTCACTCTCCTGTTTCATTCAAAGAATCATGGAGATGCTGTTGGTTTCTTAGTCAGTATCTGGTAACTAGTATGACCAGAGGTTGACATGCAATCTGCCTGTGTGTCCTAAGTGTGATTTACAGTACATATTTTTAGAAGTCCATATAGAAAGCTGGCCCTGTCAGTGCTGGCACCCAGCCCTGAGTCTGGAAGCCCAGAACAGAGCCATTGCCTTACAGGATCATGTTTCTTAGAGAATGCTTCTGATGGAGCACATCATGGCCCCCAAACTACTAGATCAGTTCTTTCAGCTGTCATGCATGATGCTGTGGTAAATGCTCTTCTTTTTTCCCTCTGTTTAAATCTTACCATGTAGAAACACGTGTCATGGACAGGCAGCTAGTGAAGGAATAGACCATTTAATTAACCAAGTTTTTGAGCATTCTAGTCCTGTGTTAGGTCATGCATGATTAGTAAAAAGGTGTTTATCATAATGCATTTATTGTCATCCTGTTTCATGCTCTCCCTTCCTCTCCTCCCCTACTCTCTCCCTTCCTTCCGTCCTAGAATTGAGTTTCTGCAATATGCTGTCCTAACTCAGACTTGAGAAGGACATGAGTCCTACAGGGCATGTTGAGAAGGCATGTAGTGCCTTTGCCAGAAGCAAGCAGATCCCTTTTCCAGCCATTCTAAACACGTATTCATTTCTAAAGGGCAGTCAGCAGGTGTCTCCATGAATCCCAGAATGCTAGTTGCAATGGTGATGCTTGGCTTTTCTTATTGTAAGTTAATCTGAAAAAAATGCAAGAGTATGAACCACTATTCCTTTCTCTCCCTGTCTCCAGCATTTCCTATGGAAGAAGGTAAGAAATGGGATTGAGGAAAACACCCTTACCTCCAAATACTCATTTCTGCTCCACTCAGCTATTTGAGGCTTTTCCTGCGTATCTGGTAGCGTGTTAGCACAAGGCAGGTAATTATCCTGATCTGAGGATCAAGGAGGGGGACGTGATGTTTATACATCCTGTTATAGCCCTAGAGTCTCTCGGAGCACAGGGCAAGAAGAGCTCAGTGGGAGGTAAGTCCAGCAGGGTTTTGTTTCAACTGTTTTATACAAATTTTGTGACATTGTAATGAAGTTACCATTATTTTCATACTATGTATGAAAAACTGAGGTTCAGAAGAAGAGAATGTGTAGAAGTAACCGTCTTATTCAATAAGAAACACAGAACCAATGCAAAGAAGAAAGCCAAGAGGTCAGAGCTAAGAGCTAAAAACCTTACCCTTCCTCTCACGGTGGTCCTACATCTCTGAGAGAGACCTACTTCCTGTGTGTCTGTCTTTATAAAGACTTTCTGTTCTGCCTTCTCATTGGTTGTAAACCCAACCACATGACCACCTCGTCACTGCCTGTCTGTACAGACCTCCAGGTCTTCTATGGTTGGTATTGAGATTAAAGGCATGTATCTCCATGCTGACCGTATCCTTGAACACACAGAGATCTGCCTAGCTCTGCCTACCAAGTTCTGGGATTAAAGGCGTGCGCCACCAACGCCCAGCTTTCGCTATGGCTTGCTAATAGCTCTGACCCCCAGGCAACTTTATTTATTAACATACAAATAAAATCACATTTCAGTACAAATAAAATATCACCGTAAGAATGGTTGTCTGAAATTGAAAGCAGGTGGTCTGGAGATTCACACTTCCATCTGGAGGTCCTGTGTTGGGGGCTAAATGGGACCTTTGGGGATTATCTTTCCATTTGTTCTTGTTTCTCTCTCTCTCTCTCTCTCTCTCTCTCTCTCTCTCTCTCTCTCTCTCTCTCTCTCTCTCTCTCTCCCTCTCTCCCTCCTAGCTCTTCTTGTGTTTGTCTGTCTCTCTTTTCACTCTCTGTCTCTCTGACTCTCTCTCCCTCTCAGCTACAATGAAGGAAGTAGCCTTTGCCTTTTGACCAGTATGAGAGTCTATATTAAGTGTTTTCCACTGCAAGAAGAAGTTTCTCTGGCCAAGATGGCTACAGTGCTAGTCTTAGGGTGCAAGCATAAGTATTTATTTAGAAGGTAGTTTGGCCACATATCAATAGTAAATTATGCTCTAGGGCCTATGACATCCAAGCCATAGGTTTTGGTCCAGGTTGTCAATATCAGTTTTGCATTTCTTTTCGTGGAACAGGCTTCAGATCCAGTCAGAAAGTGATTGGCTAGGCCCCAAACTGCTGTTGCATTAGTGGGGGCCACTTGCCCGGCCGGTCAGCACTGTAGTATTCAGGATCTGCGCTAGGTGGCGCTGTTGATGCCTTTCCCAGCAGGCTTCACACTTCCTCCGGCACTATGAGCACTAGGCAATGCTACCTAAGTTGTAGAGTTTTGTATCCTGTTGTTCACAACATGCATTTTTTTTTAAATCTGATACAGTAGAATTAGTTTTATCTCTCCCAGTGAGCAGTAGTTCTAGGGTAATACTGAAAGGTGGTCTTAATTTGATTGATATCTCCTCAATAGGGTTTTGGTTTGAATGTGGGCCCGTCTTAAGTTCTAAGTCCCCGGTCTCTGTTCTCTTGTAGAAGATAACGTGAGGATTGACGAGAAGTGTGTGGAAGCAGGTAACATTTCCCCCGATTGAGTCACCACTGGAAGAAACGGGAAGCACCTCAGCTCTAGACGACCAGATGCAGAGGTGTCAAGGGGCCACCAGTCCCTTCCTCTGGAAGACATGTGTTAAATGAGCCCATCCATGTGCCTTACTGTGGCTCTACACTCAGAAGGGGAGGCAAAGCTGGGGGGTGTCTCCAGGGTTCCATCCTGGAGTTGATCTCAGAACACAGAGATAGCCAGTGAGGTGGGGGGACAACGGGAGGCCCATGCTCCTTGTGGAGTAGATGAGAAGAGCGTGATACCAAAGATTTAAAATGCAAAATATACTTTTGTTATTACATTTAATGATTCTAGTCTGGGCAGATAGTAATGGGTTCTATTTCTGTACTTAATGGTTTTTGTAAAATCTGAAGAGATTTTTCCCAAATTTAGCAGTGGTTCTAGGGCGGGCTCATGAGCCATTAGGTTTTGCGAGGAAACAAGTTGGAGAGGCATTGGTTAATAGTTGGGCTTGTTTGTTTTTTCTTTTGAGACAGGCTTTCACTCTGTATCTCAGGCTGGCCTGGTACTCACTCCCCAGTCTAGGCTGGCTTCTACCGCTCAGCAATCCTCATGACAGCCTCCTGGGTGCACGGGTTATAAGTATGAGCCATCATGGCCCTCTCTAATGGATGACTTTGTCTTGACATCATGGACTATTCTAGTGTTTAGAAATGAAAGAATTGGCCGGGCGGTGGTGGCGCACGCCTTTAATCCCAGCACTCGGGAGGCAGAGCCAGGCGGATCTCTGTGAGTTCGAGGCCAGCCTGGGCTACCAAGTGAGTTCCAGGAAAAGGTGCAAAGCTACACAGAGAAACCCTGTCTTGAAAAACCAAAAAAAAAAAGAAATGAAAGAATTGTTTTTGAAAGATTCATGTATATATTTCTGAGACTAGCTTCAGACTAATAAGCATACTTTTAAAAAAAAAACAAAAACAAAACCAGGATCCATAATCTTTTTTTTTAAACTTGAGGTGCTATTAATTTCCTTTCTACAGTTTAAATTATATTCTGTTAATGAATATATTGACATAGTTCAAAATTCACAAAAGCATAGTCTGAAGTGCCTCTCTGTGTGTTTCCTTGCTCAGTTTCCCTTTTTAAAATGATGATGATGATGATGATGTGGTGGTGGCGGCTGTGGCGGCGGCAGCGGTGGTGGTGGTGGCGGCGGTGTGTGTGTAGGGGGCCAAAGGACAACTTTCGGGATGAGTTCTTTCCTTTCAGCCTTAACTGGGTTCCGGGGTTCAAACCCAGATTGCCACGCTTGTGCAAGCAACTTCTTTTACGTGCTGAGCCGTCTTGCCTGCTGAGTCGCCCTCAGTCACCTGTAGTATCCCTCCAAACATACTCTGTGGTGTGTGTTCTTCTCCCTGCCTTCCCCGATGCCTTTCCCCCAAACACAGACGCGCACATCCTTCCACGGTGCTCTCTCTCTCCATCTCTCCCCTCTCTCACATACAGAACTAAATACATAAGTTTATGAGAATAGCCAAAGTTGTTTTAACTACTGAGGTTGGCTTATCTCATCACTTGAACAAGCCTACTCAAGCCAGTCATTCTTTAATTCACTCCCCTTCCTATGCCCTCTGGCGGGGAGACCTTGACTCTGCAGGGAACGTACACATCTCCTACCCCGCTGACCCCTGGAGCAGTCCCTGCACCACATCCAGCCGTCTGGAGGAGCTGCCTATGGCGTTCCACTTTTCAAATTTATTTTCTTCTCTCCCATTATTTTATTTCTTCATTTAATGCTGCATCCCTCTTGGTTATTATAGCCCACTATTGAATGCAGTCTATCTCATTTAAGTCACATGTATGCCATACAGCTAACGCTGACTTGATCGTGATCTAATAAAGACACTTTAAAGGTAGTGCATGGGCAGAAGCATGGAGCAGGCTTACCCTGCTAAAATGTAGACTTGCTGAAGATAATCATGTAATGATCACTTTGCTTTTTACCTCCACTGAAAACCACAGACGAGGAGACTTTTGAATCAGGTAAGTTAAAAAATGCATATTTAGTACTAACTTTTAAATGTATATTCTATGTTTTGGTATAATTTAAACATATTTAGAGATATAACATGGCAGCGGTTTAAATGAGACAGTAAAAGAATAGAGATCTAAAACTGTGTGAGATGACTACTAGGTTCTTTTGCCTCACTACAGTAGCTTTTTATTACCTATGCATGTCTCCAAATACGTTTCAGGCTTCGGATATGAACTGAAGCTGTGTTTGTTTATGAAAGACTGTGATTTTCACCTACCCACTTGCTTCTCACAGGCCCAGGACTGTCCTAGATGAGGCTGCAGCTGGATTTCCGTGGGGCACTTTTTGATTGTTGCATCCATTGAGAGTAGTAGCATCCTCTGACTGGTCGGATTAGGAATGCCAGTGTCCTGCAGTGTATCAACCATCCCGCACCATAAAGGGTTGTCTCTAGACCCACATGTGTTCCCACGGGGCGACAATAATTGCATTTACAAATAAGTGTCCCTTTAATACATGATAGCGATATAAACATTTATAATCCATATGCATAGAAGGCAGGGGAGATGGCTCCGTGGATAAAGACCTTGTCGTGTAAGTGTGAGGTCCTAAGTTTGAATCCCTATAGCTCCTGTAAAGCCAGGCACAGTGGTGTGCCTCTGTAATCAGAGTGTGTGTGTGTGTGTGTGTGTGTGTGTGTGTGTGTGTGTTAGGCCAGCCAGGGCGGAGGGATGATGACGTCAGGCCGGCGTAGAGTCTGCCCATCTGCCTAACTAACACCCTTCCCAGGAATGTGGCAATATGGCTGTGGGAGAGGAGAGAGAAGACTCAAAGCCATTGCCTTCCTATTTTTTCTTTCAAGTACAGTTTTGTGCCAATCAGTAGTCTTCATGAATGAACACCACCTTCAGGGACAGTGTTGATACACAACATGCAGGACAAATTACTGTCCCCCAACGGTAGAGTCAGATCACATAGGTTTCTGAGTCCCAACGGTGTGGCTTTCATCTGCCTTGCCGAGTTAGAGCTTTTGCTAATGGTCACATGTCTTCCCTGCTGCGTCGTTCACATTTATTTAATGGTTAACTCGATCTTTGCAAGATTCATTTTTCACGTTTCTTTCTGTACTTGCTCTACTATCCAGAGGAACTTGCAGAAGGTAAGTATTCATTTTTATCTCCTGCGTGTACCACGTAGTGCTACGCTCAAGGTCTTTTGCCGCCGCAAGGTGGCAGCATAACTTTCAAGAAGAGATGACTTTTTTAAAGGTCAGATCAATAACTAGTTGGTTTCATAGAAACCATTTTAAATGAGTGATGAAGGCGATGAAGCTTTGTGAATCCACACGTTAGTGAGATCTTCCTTGTGAACGTGTCTACATAATGTAGAAAAATGTGACTAGTCACTAGGAGATGGAATTGATAGTGTTGTTTTCTTTTTTTTTTCTTTCACATTTGTTTTCATGTTTATTTATGTGTATGGGCTTGTGTGAGTGTATGCCATGTATACATGGGTGCTTGTGGAGGCCGGAGGAGGGCAATCAAATCTCTTGGAGCTGGAGTTACAGGTGGTTGTGAGCTACCCACATAGGTGCTGGGAACAGAAGTCCTCTGGAAGAGCAGCGGGCTCTCTTCACCCACAGAGCCATTTCTCCAGCCCTTGGTGTTTTCTTTCTATTTTAAAATGCATTCTTAAGGCCAGGGACAGTAGCATATGCGTATAATTTCAGCACTTGGGGTGGTGGCGGCAGGAGGATCACGAGTTCAAGTTTGCTCAGCTACGTAGCAAATTTGATGCCAGCCTAGACTACCTGAGGCCTTGTCATAACAAACAAAACAATTCTTAAAAAGAAGGTTAAAGAAAGAAGGTTGTCTATGTGAGTTCATCCTATGAACAAATGCTTGATGTTCATTATATCAGTAATCAAAACAGATCTGTTTAAACTGAAAGGGGTTTAAATAAAAATAACTCGAAACTGGCTTTTTATAAGATTTCCTAGAGTTTATAGCCAAATTTCAGAGTTCCAAGGAGAAGCAGAAACAGGAGCCCGAACCAGCCCTGGAGGCTGTGGGGGCTGGGCATCTTCCCTTCTTTGTCTCTGGCGTTCCTGGCCACCCCAGAGCAAGTGCTGCTTTTTAGAAAATGAGCAAACCACTTTTTACGGGAGGAAATGAAGACCCAGTAACACCTCTGCCCTAGCTGCGGTCCCTATTTCTGTGAGAAAATATTTTGACAGAAGCAGCTTCAGGGAGAAAGGGGCTCTTTAGCTTACAGTTCTACACTGCAATGTGTCACTGTGGGGAAGTTGAGGCAGGAACTTTCAAGCAGCTAGTCACAGCCACCGTCGAGGGCAGAGAGAAAATACATGCGTGTGCTCAGATCACGTTCTCCATCCTTATGTAGTCTGAGACCCAAACCAGGGGGGGACTGTTGCCCCAAATGGGTGGGTTTCCTCACCTCAGTTAATGTAACGAAGATAGTCCCCACATATGTGCCCACAGGCCTGGATGATCTTGACAGGTCCCGACTGAGTTGTTCTTCCCGGGCGACTCTATGTCTCATATTGACAATTTAAACTGCTGTCACAGCTGTCTTAGTCAGGGTGTCTGTTGTTGTGAAGGGACACTATGACCACAGTAATTCTTATAAAGGAAAACACTTAACTGGGTCTGGCTCACAGTTCAGAGGTTCAGTCCATGATCATCATGGTGGGAAGCATGACAGCAGGCAGGCAGACATGGTGCTGGAGAGGTAGCTGAGAGTTCTACATCTGCATCAGCAGCAGCAGGAAAAGAGAGACACTAGGCCTAACTCAAACATCTGAAGCCTCAAAACCCACCCCCAGTGACACACCTCCTCCAATAAGGCCACACCTTCCAATAGTGCCACTCCCTATGGGCCTATACTAGTCATTTTCACCGAAACCACCACCACAACATTACTACAGGGCCCGCAAGACCACCGTCTTCAGGTAAAAGCTAAAGTCAGCTTGTTTCCTTTTTGTAACATCAGATTTTGTAGGATGTGTTATGTTTTTACTATAACTCAGTATCTCGGTTTTTTGTTTTTTTTTTTAAGACAAGTTCTTAATATAAAGCTCAAGCTTGACACAAAATGGTGGTCCTCCTGTTCTAGCCTCGTGAGTGTTGGGATTATCGGTGTGTACCATGTCCAGCTTCTTTCTCACAACTTTAATCAAGCCTAAAATAGTTGTCTAGTCTCAGTCATTCTAGACAAATCCTAAAATGGTAAACAGAGTGCATAAGAGCAGTGTGTGGGGGGGGGGGGGAGTTCAGAGAACATTCTAGAATGCTGCCCAAGGGTAATGCCACCCCCAGAGAGCGTCACCTGAACCCAGAAGACGAGGCCATGCCTCTGCTGGTTGTATTACTGTCTGGTCCTCATGTGTTCTCCATTCTCTGTGTTCCAGCTAAAGAGGAGTTTGTTGGCAATGGCCAGAAGTTCTTTATCGGTAGGTGTCGGCTGGTAAGAGGTGTGCGTCTGTTGCTTTTAAGTGCTATTCCCACTATCCGGACGTCTTTGTGGAAAGCTGCCATTTGAGGAGTCTCTCCAAGCTGTTTGTTCTGACTTCCCTCTGTCTGCTTTTCCTCATCCATAATCTGTTCTATTGGTTACTCATTGTTATTATCTAATTTCACTGGATATCTTTTTAATTAGTTGTCAGACATACATCTGCTCATTTTTCCCCCCAGACTGTTCTATAGCCTATCTGTCTTACTCTAAAGAGACAGTTTCATGGCTACTAAAGCCAGCTTTTATGTCCAAATTTCTAGAATCTGTCACCTGAGCAGAGCTCTCTAAAGGAGCAGGCCTCCCTGATTAAAACCACCCTGGACCCCCTTTTTCACCAGGCAGGGGAGAGGCACAGAGCTGCAGTCTGAAATCTAGAACGTTGGTCCCAAGCCTGGGCGCACTTTGGGATTGTTGGAGCAGAGTAAGACATAAGCACCTGCCTTTGCGCCTTGCTTCCGGAATTATCAATCTCAATGCTGTTAAGTAAGGCTGAGCAGAGTAAGCAGCTGCACAAAGGTTGTGGATAAGGAGCCTGAGCAGGGCCAGGAGGGAATCCTTGGACAGCGGTGGCCTGGCACAGTGCTCATGCCAGAGGAGACAGAGGCAGCAGCTGCTGTCTACAGGCTCTGATACCCCACAACCTCCGCCGAGGTGACCCCGGGGGCTGTTGTGGATATAGGTGAGTGTGTTGAGAACAGTAAGAGCCAGGGCTGAGAAGGGAGCTGCCAATGAGAAGAAAGTCTACAGTGAGAACTGTAGTGTAGCATTTATATTGTAGGGGCTGCTGGGGGCCCGGAGTTTTCAATAGAGATTGATACAAAATATAAATGTGTTCGTGTATCTAGAAATGCACAAATAGTTTCTAGCTTTACCTTCAGAGAGGACCTGCAAACAGCTGTGGAAATTCCAAAAAGGCGCTTGATTCTGTGGCAGGACAAGGATTCTAAGAAGTCAGTCAGGAATAATGATTAGGGGGTCTTGTTCGGCTGGAATCTCCAGCTCACTCCTGCTTGGCCTGGAGGGCCCCATTTTTTTCCTCTCTCCAAACCCTGCCCTCTCAGAGAATCTCTAACGGAGAAGAGCTGTCAAAAAGCCCAGTTCCGTATTCTTGGCGACTGAGGGCGGTTCCAACCCTGAGGTCGCCAGCTGCCCAAGTCCCTGCCTGAGGTGTCCCATACTTGGGCACAAGCCCAGCTTATGGAGGACACGTCATCACCCCTGGCCTACAGGGTATTTAAGCTCCCTGCTTTGGTTTGGGTCGTGACTTCCCCCGCCTCGATCTCTGGGGGCTGGAGAACTCACCTGGGAGTGGCTTTGCTCAGAATAAACCTGTTCTTTTGCTGTTCCAATTCCACTCGATCTGGTTTATTGTGTCTGCTGGGAAACCTACTATCGAGGTACAGAAAACCTGCTGGTCCTCACTTTGCAGACTATCCTACCATCCTACCTAACCACCTAAGCTGTCTGCGTCTTGGTGTGTCCAGCTGAAAAAGGGGAATGAGGAGCCTACCTAGTGTTTCCACCCTGGCCTCAGAGCTACTGCGGGAAGCTCCTAACTGCTCTCCCTGAGGCTGCTGGTCTCCTCTTACAGTTTGCATCCTCTCTACAGCAACCGAAGGAATCTGCTAGAAACATAGTCCAGGCTTCTCTTTACACACCGGCCACCACCCAGCACAGCATTAAGGCCCTGTGTGGTCTGGCCTTGGCTCCTTCCTCAGCACCGGCTTTCCCCGCCTGCCTGTTGCTCGCTGCCGTGTAGTTATTCAGAGCTCTCTGCCCTCCTGAGCCCCCTCTCTGTCTCCTGTCATTTGTTCTGTCCTGCAGACGCCGCCTTGGCTCACCCCTGACGCACCCAGCCCACTGCTCCTTCCTGGCTCACTTCCTTTTTTCTTTTCTTTTAACTGAACTGCCCTTCCCAAGGAACTACCCATCACTCTCGGACTTCTCACCATTTTTTTTTCCTGAGGGTTTACTTTTATTCTTCTTGTTTTGTGTTTCCTCCTCCAAGAATTGTAAATTTCACGAGAATATGGCCTGGTTTAGTTGATCACTGTATGCCTATCACCTAATGGTGGATGCTAGATGCCACTTACGGATACCTCGTGGAACATCACTATCTGCTTCTTCTATTTTGTTTAGGTTTTTTTGTTTTGCTTTGTTTTTTTGAGACAAGGTCTCATTATGTGGCTGTCCTGGATCTCGCTCTGTAGACCAGGCTGGTCTCGCACTTGCAGAGATGTGCCTGCCTCTGCCTCTCAAGTGCTGGGATTACAGGTGTGCACCGCCGTACCGGCTCACTGTCTGCTTCTCAAGGCCGGTAACCGTCCTGTCCTGCCTCTGACGTTTTGTGCATTGCCTCCCCCTTCAGCTGGCTTCCGCCGCAGCATGCGCCTCTGCCGCAGGAAGTCGCACTTCAGCCAGCTGCACGCCAACATGGGATGCTCCTGCAGCTGCTACAGTGCCGCGGGTGCCCCTTACGAGGAGGTGGCGAGGTACCAGCGGCAGCCGGCAGACAAGCACCGCCTCGTCGTGCTCGTGGGTACGGCCCTCAGGCTCTCTACCCAGCCCCGGGCAGTTGTCCCTGGAGAGTGAATGTTTGGTGTTGGCAGTAACAGTAAAAGCAACGCTCTTCGTGGACCTCCGTGTAGATCCGTTTGGAGAGCCGGTTTGTGTGCATAAGAAAGCTTTCAGAGGCAAGCTTTCTTTGCCTTCTCTGCCTCCTCTTTGACCTACAGTTGAACATGGAAGGCCATGATGTGTAGGAACCCGTGTATTAACAAGCCTTCATATGATGAGGCTCTACCTGATCTGTACTTTTTAAAAATCTGTTTAGAATTCGGTCTAGAAGCATGGGTGGTCTACCTTAGACGGCATCACGACTCCATATCAGAAAAACACCCTTCAATTCCTTTCTCTAAGAAGTGTTTATCCCCCTCCCCTTTTTTTTTAAAAAAAAAAAAAGAAAGTGTCTAAGCCAGCAGTAGTGGCGCACGCCTTTAATCCCAGCACTCGGGAGGCAGAACCAGTTGGATCTCTGTGAGTTTGAGGCCAGCCTGGTCTACAGAGTGAGACCCAAGACAGGCACCAAAGCTACCATGGAGAAACCCTGTCTCAAAAAAAACAAACAAAAAAAGTATCTAAATCTTCTGGATGTAGTTTTGACCTGGAAGGGCTTGGGTGATCTGGTTTTGTGACCAAGACTTCTGCGAAGCTGGCCCCCTGAAGCCGTAGAAAATGATAATTCACTGCCATTGTGGCTTGTTGAGTTATGAGCGAGCAGTGGGGTCCTTGCAGAACAAAACAGGCCTGGCAGCCACCCCAGCTACATCACTTGTGGTACAGACTCTGAAATGAAGTTATAAGACCCTTTGTATTTGCAGATGGAGCAGCAGGGCATTACTCCAAGTGTGGGCTCTGTGTAACTGTGCGGGTTCTCGGCCCCGGGCAGTCAGTCCCACCTCCAGGAGAACACGAGACTGCTCACTCAAGCTCCTGTTAGAAATGCTACAGCATCCATGGGGGACAGCGCTGCATTCTGATTGTGACTTTATTTAAAGAAGGGCCCAGTGAGGTCTCAGAACAGAACATCAACAGTAGTGGACTTTTGGGGGTGACAGATCCCTGTGATTTCACACCCCATCTCTGAATGTCGGAGTGGTATATTATTTCACGGGTCACCAGGAAAATCCTCAGGAGTTTTCTGCTTTGTTCCAACTCATAAGAAGGGTTACGACAGACTTTCCCTGAACAGCATTGGCTCTCGAGGTCCTGCACCAGGGTGACTGAGGGATGGTTGTAGAATCCAACCCTGTGTCTCCACCTCTAATTATCTCTGCTGTGACTGTCTGTGTTCAGGACCTTCTGGCGTTGGCGTCAACGAACTGAGAAGACAGCTCATCGGGCTGAATCCCAGCCGTTTTCAAAGCGCTGTCCCACGTATGTTGAGTTTTCTTTCTGGTGGCTCATGTTTTGGTAAAACTTTGTCTCTGGATGTACGGATGTCACTTTCCAGTGCCATATCACCTTTGTGGTAAAAGTGTAAGGACCAGGCCTCACATAGTTTTACCTATGTTTGTTTTGATAACTATGTGGATTTACTAGTGTGTAGTGTCCAAGGCTGGGCTTTCGAAAGATGAGTTTTCTTTCCCTTTTTAAGTGGGAGTCGGTTCTTTCCTTCCGCCAAGATGACTTCTGAGAATCCAACCTGGTCAGGCTTAGTGGCAAGCATCTCCACCCACTGACCCATCCATCCCCATGGCCTCTTTTCTTCCTTTTCTTAGTAGTCATATAGACGACTATTCAGATTAGGAAATATTATTTGTAATAATGGCCAACACTCATTTAATATTTAGTATCTTTCTGGCATTATGCTTGGCCTTTATGCTGTTTATTTTTATCTAAAGCTTTTAACATTTCCATATTATTTTATATAAATTTATAAGCACTATTATTACATACCTATGGCTTTTTCAAATCATATTTTTCTTATTTCCTTTTACTCATGGCCCCCAGTCTGCCAGCACCCTAACTTCAAAGAACTAGTCTCCCAGACTTTTCTCTATTGCCTTTGGAGAGCTTTGTGTGTGTGTATGTGTGTGTTTAAGCTTTAAGACATTGGAAGACTGCAATTCTAATACATTATTATATATTTTTAAATGATTTATTTATTTTTATTTCATGTGCATTGGTGTTTTCCTTTGTGTATGTCTGTGTGAGGGTGTCAGATCCCCTAGAACTAGAGTTACAAACAGCTGGGAGCCACCATGTGGTTGCTGGGAATTGAACTCAGGACCTCTGGAAGAGCAGTCAGTGCAGTTAACCACTGAGCCACCTCTCCAGCCCCATTATTGTGTATTTCTACTAGGGTTTAGTTTTTAGTAAGTCATTTTTAAAACTCACACCAGAGAACTTCCTTTGCCGTAAACTAGAGAAGCTCTGGCTTAAAATCCCTCATTTCAGGCAGATGGAAGGTTCATAATGACGTGTAAACCGTGGGACAAAGGAGGATGAGGTTGGAGGCATCCAGATGAAAGTCTTTAAAAGAGGAATGTGAAAAACCTGTCAAACACCTCGCACACATCAGTGTGTGAAAGGCTCTGGGGGAGGGGTTAGTAAGGGTCTTCATGGAGCCTTTTATCAGAAAGCCTCTCTGGAGGATGGCTTCCAAGACTGTGGTGCTTCAAGGAAGACAGAGGAGCCTGGGGAGACAGCAGAACTTCTTCTGTGTCCCCTGCATGCTGGGGATGCGCAAGTCTGCTGTCAGAACTAGAATTGAAATCCTGGATGTGGCCGATGACGGCTCGAGTTTGGAAAGGCTGCCCTTGTAGACTTTGTCACAGTAAAAGTCTTGAGATTCTTTGCAAGGGTCATAGCTGGGTAGATAATGTGGGGAAAAGTCAGCCTGGGTTTATCACAGCACTGTTCAAGAGAAAGTTCCAGTAGAAGCAGCCAGAAGTCGACCTCCAGATTCCTGAGGTACGGAAGGGATGACAAAGACCTGTCTCGTGTAGAGACCGGGTTTGAAATGGCCAGTTGTTGTTGGTAGCTCGGCAGGCTCTACAGCACAATCTAACAGTCGTTTGGTGAGAAAGAGCCTGGTTTAAATGTCTGTCAAAGGAAGTAACTGATGGCCTTGGGATCAGCCAAGTCGGAACACCTTCCTTCCTGTTTGCTTCTCTCTCCTTAGAGAGATAAAAACTGATGGAGGAAAGGTAGAAATGAACGAAAGGAAGTCATGGGAGTTGTTAGATTTTCACGGGGAGGAAAGTGGAAGGGTCTTGTCTCAAGGAAGCAAGACCAGCCTTCTTGCCTGCGATCCCTTCTGATAGGCTGTGCTTCTCAAGTATGACTTACACACACAAAAGTGAACATTAATCTCATAGAGAAATTTGAATGGAATCACCACTTTCAATAGTCTAGTTAAAAGTGAAATACCCACGGAATGCAGACATTTAAGTGCACAGGTAGCCGTCATTAAAAGCAGAAAGAATTGCTTGTATTCTGTTTTTTATTAAATCAATTGAACAGTTCTAAAAATGGACACCTCGTGTTATGTACAGTCCGTAGACTTCAGACGAAAAGACAACCCAACAGGAATAACGGAGGAGTCATCCTGGCACGCTAACACAGTTCACTACCTCTTGGGAGCTTTAACTCTTGCTGGTTCTGCTTGTCCTCGGTAGGAAGCCGCAGGAGGAGCAGCATAGGTGTAGAACCCGAAGGGTACAAAGAGGGGTTGAGCAGAGAGAAAGCAAAAATGACCCCAAGGTGATCCCTCCTTCTGGAGCCCCTTGGAGGGTGACCACTGGGGGGCTGGTTCAAGCTCCTTACATGTCATTTTTATTGTTCCAGTTTATCCTTAAACTTTGTCGAATGCAAGAACAGATTTTTTAATTCTCAAGGGGAATTCGTTGCAACAGAGACTATGGAACAGTAAGCATTACTGCATGTAGGATACAGAATTAGAATGGTGCATTGTTCTTGAGTTCTAGAACCCAAACTAATGCCTGGAATGTAATAGGCACATAGTATGTGTTAGTTGAATAAATAGACAATAAATAAATCCCTCTTCCGTATTTGGGGGAACTTGTATATTCTGTACCAGATGCCATTGAAAGATAAAAGTGAAGAGTCTAAATTAAAGAGGCCACATCAAAGAATGAAATTGAACCTAGACTTGGCCAATTTTCCCCTTTCTTTATCTCTAAAAACCTCTTTCTTTGATATGAAAGGATTACCAAGACTGCAGAATGCCGTGGGTTTTCTCTATCTTTCAAATCTGAGACAATCTGGTGTAATAAAAAGCAGTCTGGGAGGAAGCATTAGTCTTACGAATGTGAGCAAAGTGCTCACTCTCCAAAAGTTGCAGTTACTTATCAGTAAAATAATAATGTACGTGGAGAGCGTGTGAGAGATAAAATGAGATCATCAGAAGTGTATTATCTAAACAAAAGATGCTATTGATATTGCCATGAGGGAGCATGTTTGCATTTTAGGCCTCACATTTAGTTCAGCATTGCCTGTTTTGAAGTAACAACAGGTGGTTCCTTGTCTGATATTTATGATACAGTCTTTCCCACACTATGAGCAATAAATAAATGTTTGTAATTGGTGGAACTTGACATGGGAACTCTCACTTTATCACCAATTCTTATCACGTTGGTTCCAGCATCTTGTCTGTTTATGCCTTCACTTATTTGTTTTACTTGGGAATCTCTATCCAAGTGTACATTTGGTAACAAATCAAAATATTTAGAAGATTCTGAAATTTTCATTCTCTTCTGTTGTAGATACCACCCGTTCCCCAAAGAGTTATGAAATGGATGGACGTGAGTATCACTACGTGTCAAAGGAAACATTTGAAAGCCTCATGTATGGACACAGGTAAGGTCTGAAAGCCAATTCTTCCTTTTGGAAGTAGTCCTTATTTGACAGTAGTCTATTTTTATGCATTAGCCAAAGCTGTTGGCAGTAACCCCCCAGTTCTGAAGAGCTGAGAAAGGAATATGCATTTATGTACTAGATCCAAGTGTTCAGGTTTGGGAAAGGGGCAGACTTGAGGTGCAAGCTTCAGAGAGTTTGAAGAAGTAGGTAAGTGCTTGGTTTTCTACTGTTTTTCCCCCTCCTGTTGAATACCCACTCATTCTTCTTGTGCCGGCAAGAGCCACGCATTCCATCCTGCTGGAGTTCACATTTGTGTCCCAGTTAGCTTTCTGTTGCTATGGAAACACCATGACCAAAGGAGCTTGGAGAGGAAAGGGTTTATTTGGATCCCTTAGCCATGTCACAGGCAGTCACTGAGGAGAGTCTGGACAGGAAATCAAGACATGAACGTGGAGGCAGAAGCTAACGGAGAAGCCATGGAAGAATGCTGCTCACTGGCTTGCTCCTCCTGGCTTTCTCGGCTCCTATTCTTACACAACCCAAGACCACCTGCTCAGGGTGACACCACCTGTAGTGGGCTGGGCCCTCCTGTATCAATCATTGATTTAGAAAACACCCTCACAGACTCGCCTAAAGGTAACCTGATGGAAGCCATCCCTCAGCTGAGAGTCTCTCTTCCCACATGATGCTAGCTTAGTCAGGTTGACAAAAAAACAAAACTAACGAACACAATTCATATTCCTGCTGCTCATATTTTACTCGTGGGGAACTGTTTCCTGTCTTACTCTTATAGGATGCTGGAGTATGGTGAGTACAAAGGCCACCTGTATGGAACTAGTGTGAATGCTGTACATGCAGTCCTTGATGAAGGAAAGATCTGTGTCATAGATTTGGAGCCTCAGGTGGGTCTGCGGTAGAATATTTCCTATCACCCTGAAGTCACAAATGCATGTAATGTAATCTATGTTGTGCACATGCCCCAGGCTCTAATTGAGACGTTTTATTCAGCTAGACTTTTCAGAGTAAGACCACCTCTCGTATCTCAGGGCCAGGTTGTTCCTTGAAATGCAAATTGGCAACATTTTGCTTTTAGTTGGAGAGGAAGTCTTATTTCTCACACCGAGAACCAGAGCTTGAGTGGATAGCCATTAAAAACAAAAAAAACCTTCCCGGCTTTGACACTGATCACAAACTTGTCAAGGAAACTTCTTGTGAAGATATTCCTTTATACAAAAGGTAATGCTCACTGTTGGCATACATGTATGACATGCCTGGACCACATCTGAAAAGAGCAGCGATGCACTAGCTGAGATAGAATCCGTATGTATCCAGGCCCAGTTTTCTGATCCTTGCATTTTTCCTTATTCATTTAAGAATATACTTTGTGTGCTAAAGAAAATTAGAGGAAAAGCCATTTGTTCTTTCCTGAGTCAGAGTTGGGGGTCATGAAGATGGAAGTGGTGTCCGATGCGAGGTGCTAGCTAGAGGAAAGGGAGGTGAGGTAAATAGACCTTTCCTGAATTTTTCTTTGTTTTTGTCGTATGAGGTCATAGACAGGAGTCTATTCTCGGTAATCAGCATTTTGTCTTATATAAGATTTATTTCAATAATTCAATAGCTAGTCATAGCTAGAAAGAGGAAGGGCTAGGATTTTAACTTGGAGTCTAGAGCCATATTTATTATTCAGTTGTTTCGATTTTATAATTGAGAACTTGAGGACACATGAGAGTATGATCACATTAACTACAGGAAGCTAGGACTTCTATTTTTAATTTTAAAAAATGTATGAGGTGTATTTGAATGTGCCTGTGTGGAAGCCAGAGGACAGTTTTTACAGGTCGGCTCGATCTTCTACGGTGGGTTCCAGGGATGGGACTGGGCTCTGCAGGCTTGCACGGCAGGTGCTTCTGCCAGCTGAGCTATCCTGCTGGCCCACGTCTGACTTTAACTGCGCACTTAATTTTTCTGTGTAGGATATTCAGTTGGCTCGAACCCATGAACTGAAGCCCTATGTCATATTTATTAAGCCACCTAACATGAGTTTCATGAAACAGTCTCGGAAAAATGCTAAGATTATTACTGACTACTTTGTGGACATGAAATTCAAGGTAAATCGAGTACAAATCCTGGAATCACTTTCGGTTATGGCTGAGTGGGAAGATGTTCAGGCTGGACTGGGTTGAGGACCATTCATTATTTTTGTCTTTATTTAACCCTCTCCTCAGGAGCACATCAATAAAATGGTTAAAAAAAAAAAACCCAACCAAACCACTATCATTTCCACAGAATCCTTTAAAGGTTTTAATGAGTAATGTCTTTACAAGCCATCCTTTTAACCAGATGGTGGTGGCACACGCCTTTAATCCTACCAGCACTTGAGAGCAGAGGCAGGTGAATCCCTGAGTTCGAGGCCAGCCTGATTTACAGATCAAGTTCCAGGACAGCCAGGGCTACACAGAGAAACCCTGTCTCAAAAAACAAAAGTAAAACAAAAAAATCAAACCAAAACAACCCTCAAAACAAAAACAAACCAAAAAAACCCCCAATAATTATTAGTTATTGTTTACAGATATTAAAATAAGGTTTAATAAATTGTGATGCTATTTTTTCTTAGCTTAACAAAAGGTGTGTATAAGCCTATATGTATTTTTGAATTATTTTTACTTATTTTTAAAATGCTGTACTGAGTATAACACACACACAGAATAGATAGATGTATAAATTTTAGAAATAAACTATTATATTAAGTATACAATTCAGTAGTATTGAATATATATACAATTATATATATATATATATATATATATATATATATATATTTTTTTTTTTTTTTTTCTCTCCCCAACACAGGGCTTCTTTGTGTAGCCCTGGCTGTCCTGGAACTCCCTCTACAGACCAGGCTGGCCTGAAACCCACAGAGATCTGCCTGCTCCTGCCTCCCAGTGCTGGGATCAAAGGTGTGCGCCACCACCACCTGGCTGGGTTGACTATATTTATATTGTTGTGAAATGTACTTTTTGCCTTGAAAACTAAGATAAAAATATGATTGCTTCACAACTCTGCATGTCCTTTGCACAGGGGCCATTGCTAATCTCCATATTGTTCCAATGTTAGGATGTCCTGTCAAAGCAAGCCTAAAGTATCGTCATAGTATCCCTTATCTCTTAGTATTTTTATCTCCATATTTTTCCAGTGGCTATGAAACTATGATTCTCCTGTTTGACTTTTTGACAGTTGATGGATATGACAGTATTTTCTAAGTCTTTGGGGCTTTTAAAACTCTGTTCTTGTTGGGCATGTTGGCACGCACCTGAAACCTCAGCACTTGAGAAGCAGGAGGATCACAAGTTTAAAGCCAGCCTGGGCTACATAGCAAGACTCTGCCTCACAAATCCAAAATAAGAAAAAAAAAAAAAAGGCAAAAAGAATCTAGAGGAGAGATATTTGATATAGTGTTTATAAATAGCCTCACAACTTTGTATAACAACCTGATGTGTCGTCTCCCCCCTCCCCCCCCCCCCCCCCCCCACACAGGGTTTCTCTGTGTAGCCCTGGCTCCCCTGGAACTCATTCTGTAGACCAGGCTGGCCTCAAACTCACAGAGACCCGCCTGGCTCTGCCTCCCGAGTGCTGGGATTAAAGGCGTGTGCCTCCCCAGCCTGGCTAAGAAGCTGGTGTCTTATTGCCTGTCTTACTCGTGTTTCTCAATCTCTCCGGAAGGATGAAGACCTACAAGAGATGGAGGATTTAGCTCAAAAAATGGAGAGTCAGTTTGGCCAGTTTTTCGATCACGTGATTGTGAATGACAACTTGCAGGATGCATGCGCCGAGCTGTTGTCTGCCATACAGAAGGCTCAGGAGGAACCGCAGTGGGTACCGGAAGCGTGGATGTCTCCTGGCACTGAGTCTTAATCAAGTCTCCTCTTTAAAACTGGAGGCTTGGGGTTGGGGATTTAGCTCAGTGGTAGAGCGCTTGCCCAGCAAGGCCCTAGGTTCGGTCCTCAGCTCTGAAAATAAATAAACTGGAGGCTTAATATTGTGTCCTAAGGATCCAGCCTAACAGCTGCACTAGAAAACAGCAGCATTTGACCCATTAGAACTGCAGCTGTGAAGTGCTGCAGCTTATTGTATGGCTGTAACTAGCACTTTGTAATGATATGGAGCTACTTACTCGGCTCCGTCGGCTCCCCATATGAACTAATGGTAGGCATGTGAATAATGCTAAGTCTCTAAATGTGACAATATTCATGTGAGAATTACAGATTTCATATGGTGTTTGTAAGATTTAGTTTTTTTAAGTTTCTTTTAAATAAATCGGACAATAAATAGTTAATGGCTGAAACTATTTTACTTTGTAAAATATTTTGTCTTCTGTTTTATTTTTACAAAAGTGCCTAGTTGACAAATTCAACAAGAATGGTTGTTAACACACATATCTAGTAAGGAAACCTATGGCAGTGTCATTTCCAAATCAGTGCCCAAATTAGTAGAGCGCAATGGACTCGTCCTGGAGGCCTGTATATGAGCAAACTCCAAGATGAGGAATCGTGGTCTCCCTAGATCCGTCAATTCGAGCGGCATTCCCTGCACCCATGGCTGCTCATCGTCATATCTACACTTCCCTCCATTCGACACACTATTTTAAATAATGAAAGGATTCAAAAAGCTTATTCTTTCTTAAGTGAATATATTATCTAAAACAAACGCGGGGAAAATTAAGTCGTTTTACATGATGCAAAGGTGAGATGGGCTTTGGCCACAGGTTGTGGCTGTGAACATCTTCCTGAGAACCTGATTTTATAGCCGTTCCCACTGAATAAACTATTAGAACGGCATATATATATATATATATATATATATATATATATATATATATATATATATATATATATATATATATATATATATATATATATATATAAATGACACTCTAGGCCGGCTGGGGATCTGGAAATCTGGGCCTGGCCAGTGAAAGATTCCCCCGTACCCAGCCAGCTCTAAGGATCTCCCCTCTAGCAGGGCCCTGGCAAGGCTGGAACCAGGCCTGGGGGCGGCTGCCTCTCCAGGCTCCGCTAAGCCGCCGCCTCCCGCACGTCCCGGGAGGGAGGCGTCGCGGGGAGCTGGCCTCGGGCTCCGGCGGTTGCCCTTAGGGAGCCCCGCGGGGAAAGCATCATGAAGGCCGAGTCGGAGCCTCCGCTGGAGGAGGGCCATGCGGTGAGAGACGAGGGGCGCAGGACCCGGAGCGTGGCGATCTGGGGGTGCCCTAGCCAGCAGGGACCCCGGCCGAGCCGGGAACGGGGGGCACAGCCCTGTAACCGGGCCGGATCGGGGCGGTACTGCTGGGCGGGGCCCCCAAACGGGAGAGGAGTCCGACGGAACTTCTCCACGCTGCAGTCCGCGTTGCCATGACGACGCCTCCAGGCGGCTCTCGGCTGTTTCCGGTGGGGAGTTTGGATCCGGGTCTGGTCACGCCGTGCCCGTTCCCGCGCAAACCAGGACGACCTCCCGGGAAACCGTGGGTGAACCCGCTCCGCTCCTGGGAACGTCGGCCGGTGCCCAGGCTCTCCCTTCAAGCTTAGTCTGAAGGGGTCAGAGCGGGTTCGGACCCGGGAACCCCTAAACCTCCCGCGGGAACGGTGGGGCCCGCTTTGGCCCGGCAGCCTGAGGGGCGCAGCCCGATGACGTTTTGCGCCTGCGCCTGGGTGGGCGGGGCGAGCGGGGCGGGGCGGGGCGGGCGGGTGCTGGGCCCCGGGCTCCGCCGCGGCCCCTGGAGACGCGATGGGGAGGAAGCAGGTGGTTAACGAGCCTCAGGTACAGTCGAGCTGCTGGACTTTATTTAGCCTTCCGTTGAGCCGTCCTGGTTTTGAGGGGCGTAGGGTTGCGGTTTCTAGATGGGCGAGATGGGTCCTTTTTGCGGGACTTTTGAAATGTGGACTGGGTCCCACTTCATAGCGTCTGGAGAATAGGAGCGCTTTCGTGGGACCATCTATTCCTTCCCAGTTGTCATTTTGACTGCTGAGTAGCATTAGGGCATCCTCCAGTGTCCTAATCTTGTAGCATTTTCATGAATCTGTTTGGATGACTACAACAGTGGATTGCTAAAATGTATGCAAGCCTTTGGAATCAGTGCCCTCTGTAAGCAGCATGAGATACTTGAGATATTCAGTTGACTTCTAGACACTTCCGTTAGTATTCAGTTCTTTCAGAGATTTATTTGCTTTCTGAGTATTTTGCCCGCATCTATCTGTGTGCACCACTTGTGTGCCTGGTGCTCAAAGAAGCCAGAAGAGGCTGCCCATTTTCCTGGAACTGGAATTATTGATGCCGGGAGCTCCTTTGTGTGTGCTGGGAACTGAGCTGAAACTCTGCAAGAGCAGCAGTGCTCTGAACGTCCGAGGCATCTCTCCGGTGCTTGGTATTCTATCATGAAAAGTTTCAGAATGCTCTCAACTAGTGCTCTCTGAACTCGCAAACGTGATTTTTCTTACACAGGTAGAGCGGTGTAAATTGTATTCCACCACCAATACTTTCTGTTCTAGAATATGTTTTCTATTTCTATTTAAGATATCTTTTTAAAAAGTGTGTTACTTTGTGGCATAAAACCCTCAGTTGGCTTCCTACTTAATAAAACAAAATCCATATTCCTTTTCTTGGTCTGCAAGGCCCTACTTAATCTAGCTTTTCCGCTGCTGTTCTTGGTAACTGTGCTCCAGCCTTGGTGCTTTTCTTATCTGGAGCACTCGGAGCCCAGGCTTTCATGAAAAGCCATTTACTCCCCATTGCCTGCAATGTTGGCTCCTTTATCATGCAGGTCCCAGCTCACATAACCTCAGAGAGGCTTTCCCTAAGTAAAGTAGCACTTCATTCCTTCTATATAGTTACTTATATCTAAACACACACACACACACACACACACACACACACACACACACACACACACACACACACACACGGTATGTTCTAGTTTTATATGCATATGTAACTTTATCTTCCAATACTTAGCCACTAATGGAAGTCCTGTAAAGGTTGGTGAGCTCCATTTGGATCCTGTTCTGAATGCTCACAATAGGCCAGACTGGTTGGTTGAAATGTAAGAAGAAGAGAATTTTACATGGGATGTAGAAATAGCATATCTAAACTCAGCAGTCTAGTTTACGTTATCACCTTCCAAGTTTCACTGATAAACAGCTTCCAAAAGATTTCTGATCCATTTTATTCGTCTTACATCTGAACATCAGGTTTTTGGATGTGTAGCTTTGTGGTACTTGAGATGAATGAAGGTAAGATGCACCAGCTTTAATTTATGAGTTTTTTTTTGTTTTTGCTTTTGTCTTTCCCTTACTCCTACAGCATCCTCCACGGGCCCTTCCACCTGTGCCAAGGTAAAAATAATTTACAGTCATTTCATGATTGAACTTTAAAAATGGAAAAATAGGTAGAATAAAAGGAATAGTGTGATTGAAAGCTACAATGCTTCAGGAAAACAACAACAACAATAACAAAAAAAAAAACCTTCTTTGAAGACTTTTCCTAAAAATTTAGAGGCAAAAATTAGAGTCATGAGAATAATTGCTGTAAGTAATAGAAAAGTCTTAATCCAGCCCAGTAGAATAATGGTCTGTTCTGAATGTCCTGGTGTCCTGTTTACCAGAATTCTCCCGACGCCCTGGTGTTTTCGGTGATAGTTCCATCAGAGCCTAAGCTGATTATAACCAACAAAGGAGAGTTCTTAATCCGATTAGTCCCTCTAATTAATAGATAGTAGGGAATATGTATTTGTGCTTTCAAAGTGTTTTTAACAGTGCTGTTAAAACAGTATACTACTCACAGATAATAAGCTAGTTTATAAACTAGCTGACTGTGTGTGAAAACTTGTTGTATTTTTAAGGTTGTAATGATGTAAGTCAATTTTCAGTCAGATAATAATTAAGTTGGTTTGTTTGTTTCTTTTTTTTTCTTTTTTGTCCTGCTGATTACATTTGGTTGGGGTCATGAAGTGCTATTCAAGGTGAGTTGGTTTACTATTAGTGTGAAAAATCCTGCTGCAGTGTTTGGTGTTCTGAGGTAAGCATGAGTAGAGTGACACTCCTAGTTCTGGGAAGGCCAAGGCAGGGAGGCTGTGAGTTTGAGGCCTGCATGGACCACATAGTGAGATCCTGTCTGTAGGGGATTCAAAAGTGGAATCTGGGGGCAATGGCATACACCTATAGTGCCAGCCACTTAGTGGAGTCTGGGGACAGGGGCTTACACCTATAGTGCCAGCCACTTAGTGGAGTCTGGGGACAGGGGCTTACATCTATAGTGCCAGCCACTTACAGGCTGAGGGAGGAGAGCTGCTTGAGCTCAGGAGTTGAAGGCCAGCCTGGGTGACAGTCAAACCTTGCCTCAAAATGATGATGATGATGATGATGATAATTTTGATTCCTTACTTTGTTCTACTTAGAATTCAATCTGAATATAGTCTATAAAATTACAGTATCCATTTGCTATCACAGTCTCCTGTGACTGCCATTTTAAAATCGTGTATGGTATACAGTACTAGATTGCTCTTTGCAGCCCCCGAAGTCTATCCATCCCTTGACTTGCTGATAGCTCTGTATTAGACTGTACTTTTCCTCTTCCCCTTTAGGCAGGGTAGCACCTCCAAAATGTTTATTCGCTTAATATCTTAATGCAAAGTGGGACCACCAGGATGGCTTAGTGGGTGAAGGCACCCGCTGCCAAGCCTGATGACCCGAGTTTGATCCCCAGGACCCACATGGTGGAAGGAAAGAATTGATTCCTGCAAGTCGTCCTCTGACAGCTACATGCAAGCTGTGGTGTGCACATCTCCACCCACGCACGCACGCACACACACACACACACACACACACACACACACACACACACACACGCATACATATATACACAAAATAAATGGTTTTTTTCCTTTGAATAAAAAACCCTACTAGGTTAATTGCAAAGTCACCGGGCAACAGTCCGGAGCAATTGTCTTTGTTGGCGATGTGGTGAGATCCAGACCGCTTTTGTCACGTGGTTTAGTCTTCCTAGTATGAAGCTTCTTCCCCCGACATGCAGCTGGCCCTTTCAGAGTCTTGGCTCACAAATGACACGTATCACTCCCATCCAAGTACTGACCAAGCTTCACCCTGCTTAGCCTCTGAGGTCGACAAGATCAGGCACTTTCAGTGCTACAGACAGACACATACCACTTCTATTCAAGCCCCTGGCCAGAACCAATCTAGACCATTACCTCAGCGCAAGGGGCCGGAGACTGTCTGGGACCAGGTGGACGTTCCTTGAGCCTACTTTCTAAGTCACAGTTGTCAACATCACTGAGCAACAGTATACTACTGGCACCACGCTGTGGGTGGTGCCAATTGGCCTTGCCAGTTTCTTACCTTTCATTCCCCACGTATGTGAATGTTGGTTGGCTCCAGAGAAGAGAGGGAAAGTCTTCCTTACTAGAAGTTCTGTTCAGCTGATTCTCTGCCATTTTTCTTGTTGTTCTTTCTGTTTTTTAGATGATATTCCACTTAGCCATCCTAAGAAAAAGAAATCCAGAACGAAAAGCACACTAGGTAAGAAGTTCTGTGTTACGGGGGAATCACAAGTTTTTCCAGAACCTTACCCATGATCAGCACAACATACAGTCAAGGTTCCGGGGTACCAAATCATTGATATGTTGAGGACAGGGAGGCAAGGCCATGGGCGGCCTGGAGAATAACTAGGTGCGTTCACAGAATGAAGTATTGTGACACCCATGTTTAATGTTTACACTATTGTTGTGCTCTTCAGGTCTTTTGTCCCTAGATAACGTGAGTGTTTTTAACCTCTACTTGGTTCTAGACCTTTGAACACAATAATGGACTTAGACCTGGGATTCTTAGCTCTCCTAATCTGTGTCTTCAGGCCTTAATAACAGACCAGGAACCCCTTTTGCCACAGTTGCCTAGCTGGTAATCCTGGATGGGCTGGTGATCCTGTTGGGCTGGTAATCCTGGATGGGCTGGTAATCCTGATGGGCTGGTAATCCTGGATGGGCTGGTAATCCTGATGGGCTGGTGATCCTGATGGGCTGGTAATCCAGGATGGGCTGGTGATCCTGATGGGCTGGTAATCCTGATGGGCTGGTAATCCAGGATGGGCTGGTGATCCTGATGGGCTGGTAATCCTGGATGGGCTGGTAATCCTGGATGGGCTGGTAATCCTGGATGGGCTGGTGATCCTGATGGGCTGGTAATCCTGGATGGGCTGTTCATAACTCAGACTCAACACACTGGGAATTTATTACCCTCAATAGTCAGTTTCGGTTTTCACTATTTTCCTAGTGGCCTTGGGATCTCAAAGTCACTATTAGTTGATCTCTTCACTCTTTACTTAACCCCTCTCACTAGCCTAAAAGTCTGTGTAGTGATGATTGTTTTCTTGTTTAAAAGGAATCCTATTCTATGGGTACTGTCTTGGCTCTTTATAGAGTATTCTGGGTGTTCCTAAGCAGTGACTTTGTAGTAATATTTAATCTTTAACGTAATGTCATTTAATTTACTTTGAACCTTTGTTCCAAACTGTAGTACAGTTCCACGTACAGTAGTGGCTCGTGGGGCAAGGGTGTTTCTAAAGTGGCTAGCGGTGGCAGGGTGTGTGCTGTTGATGCCGAGGGTTCTGCTAGCTTGTCTTCAGGGAAGGTTCTGTTACTTTCTACCATCATAAAGCCTGGGAGTGTCACTTTCTCTCTAAATCCCTGATGAAACCGCCCCATGCCAGTCTTTACTGTTCATTAATTCAGTGACTGAAAAGTAACTTGGCCTCCATTTGTGTAACTCCGCCGTGTGTTCCCAGTGCTAGGGGAGCCCAGGCCCCCACGTGGTGTGCAAATGATCTTCCACTCACCGACATCTCGAGCCACAGGTGGCCTTCCTCTAGATGCCAGTGAGGCCAAGAACACTCGCCCTTGTTCTCAGTATATTTTTATTCTTATTTTGTAAGGAATAGCAGTAGGCGAGAGAAGGTAGTCAAGAATGATTCAAATTTCCCAAATTATATTGAAATTCTGTTAGAAGGTTTCATTAGGGGAAAAGTTGGAACTTCTAGATGACCTGTTACCTCCAGTTACTAATTCATCACGATGCCGGGCGGTGGTGGTGCACGCCTGTAATCCCAGCACTCGGGAGGCAGAGGCAGGTGGATCTCTGTGAGTTCGAGGCCAGCTTGGTCTACAGAGCTAGTCCAGGACAGGCTCCAAAGCTACAGAGAAACCCTGTCTCGAAACCCCCCTGCCAAAAAAAAATAATTCATCACGCACTGACTTACTACTGAAGGAGGGAACTGTGGAGGCGGTGGAGTTCTTAGGGCAGGGGACAAGAGTTGTCTATTATGTCACGTTGAATTTGTACCTTTTTGAATGCTTTGAATGTTCTGAAGCGATGTCTCCTCCTCTTCATTCTGCCGGCCTTCTTTTTGGCCCTCTCCTCCTCCTCAGCCTTCCTAATCCCACATTTATTTATTTCCCACACAAAGCCCAAAGTTAGAGAGGGGAGGCATGAAGTCTCCAGGGCACAGTTCTGAGAAGAGAAAGTGTTGTATACAGAGAACACCGTAGGTACCCTTGTCCGTCTTTCTGACTCATGGTCTCTGCCCAGGCTGACGCGTTTTCCTCCTGTCTTCCTGTAGCTTCTGCTTCTTCGGAAGGCCTCGCTGAGCCCGTTGTTGACAGGCACTCTGAGAGCAGTGAGCCGCCAGCTGCAGGGCTCAAGGAGTCCCCAGAGGCTCCTGTCCAGAGGAGGCAGAAGAAGACAAGGCCACCTCCTGGTATGTGAGGAGACCAAGGTTAGACAGTGACCGAAGGTGTGATTTTGAACCTTGTTCCCATAGCTGTGTTCTTGCTTGCTTTCTTAAAACACCCACCACTTCAGCTCCAGTGACCTCAGGCCTCTTTTCAGGTTCTTTGATCACATATATGTAGTGTATGAGAGAAGAAGTTAAAAAATTCAGGCCTAAAACAGAAAGCTCAGATCTCAGTGCATGCAAGAATTTAGTAAATAAAGTGGATTTCAGATTAGTAAGATGAATTCTGGATTAACAATAATCGAATTAAACAACAGTGTAGTATGCTTTCTTGTTGGGACCGCCAGCTCACAAATAATGACACGGAGTCTTATGAATTATGAAAGCTTGGCCACTAGCTTAGGCTCATTCCGATGGCTCTTATAACATAAGTTAATTCATAATTTTATTAATCTACATTCTGCCACATGGTTTTTTTTCACCTCTGTCCCATTCTGTGTGTCCAACTCATTCCATCTCTCAATGGCGTCTCCCCTTCCTCTCTCTGCCAGGAAGTCCCACCTATCTCTCCTGCCTAGCTGTTGACTGTTGAGCTTCTTATTACACCAATCACAACAACACATCTTCACACAGTGTATAAATATTCCACAACACGACAGTTACCATTTATTGAGTATCTGTGACTCAGGCAGTGCTCTCTCAATGTAAACAAAAATACTGTGTGCGTGTGCGTGTGTGCGTGCGCGCATCAAGTTAGCAATGCTATTTGCTTTTTAAATTAGAAGATCTAGTGTTGATCTGAGCATAGTACATACCTGTAATACCGACACTCATAAGGCTGAGTGAGACAGGAGGATTGCAAGGTGTAGGCCAGCTACATAATGAGTTCCAGGCTAACCAAAGCTACAAGGCAAGATCTTGTTTCAAAAAAGACCACAATACAAAAATAAAATCAAAGCTAGAGTTAATGGGAACAGGTACAGTAATACAGTAATAGAAGCATAAATTGCATCAGTCTGTCCAGATGTCTAAGAGTAAGAAACAGCTGTAATAATTGATACAATGAAAGGATATTAGCTTTATAGTAAAAATGGGTAACCCCGAGAACACTGTGGTTAAATAATCACAATTTATCTAAGTAAGTGTAAAACAAGCACAGGTTAGAAGGATTGTTCAAGTGAAGTAGTGTCCTGGGAAACCATCTGCAAAGTATTGTTGAGTCAACAACAAAGGTTATAAAACAGTATGTACTGAGGGGGTGTCTCACTTCCACAAAAATATACTAAGATTGTTATTACTTATTATGAATTTCCTGTGGTTGCTATAACAAGTTACCATAAACTGGGAGACTTCAACAAACAGCATTTATTTCTTCATAGTTCTAAAAGATAGAAGTTCAAAATCGAGGTGTCCACAAGGCCGTGCTACTTGCAGGGGCTCTAGGGATGGTGCCTTCCTTGCCACTTGGAGCAGCCAGTGTTGTGGGATGATCTTTTTGTATATTGTGAAGATGTGTCTTTGCCAAGGTACCTTCTGATTGGTTTAATAAAGAGCTGAATGGCCAATGGCTAGGCAGGAGAGCATAGGCGGGATTTCCGGGCGAGAGAGGAAGAAGAGAGGCAGAGATGCCAGCGAGACACAGAAGACGTCATACATATGGTACTAAGGAGAGGCAATTGGGCCACATGGCAGAACACAGATTAATATAAACAGATTAAATTATAAGAGCTAGTTGAATTAAGTCTAAACTAAAGGCCAAGCTTTCATAATTAATAATAAGTCTTTGTGTAGTTATTTGTGAGGTGGTGGTTCAAAGAAAAGTCCGATTACATTCTAGTAATTGTTGACGATCATCAGCATCCCTTGGCTGTGGAAGCATAATGCCAATCTCTGTCCCATCTCACACTATTTCATTTTGCCTGTTTCCCTGATTCTCTTTATGTAAGAAACCTGTCATTGGATTTAGGGTCCATCCTCACCCAGCATGACATCATCTTAACTTGTTTATATCTGCAAATACTCTATTTACAAATAAAGTTATGTTAGCAGGTTCTGGGAGTTAGGACTTGCATGTGTGTTTCTGGAACATAATTCAATCCAGAACATAGGTCTAAGCACACATAGACACAGTGAAAACTGGGGATGTTAGCAGTGCTAACAGAGATTAGGTTAAAAAAAACAAGCAAGAACAAAGCATGTTATCATTTTTTTTTCCATTTGAGAATACTTATTACTTTTATAGTAGTTGGAATAGGACAGTAGACTGACTTTGTCAACATAAAACAAAGTGAAGGAGTAACTATGAGGCTAGTGTGCACTGTTAACACAAGTCAGTGTTTCGTTTGAGACAAGGTCTCACTGTGTAGCCCTGGCCAGCCTGGAGTTTACTGTGTAGACCAGGCTGGTCTCAAATTCACAGAGATCTGCCTGTCTCTGCCTTCTGAGCGCTAGGATCAAAAGCGTGCACTACCACACCTGGCTAAGTTTTTCATTAAAAAAATTTTACACTTCTGTACTATAATTTCAAGTTTTAATATCAACCAATATGGAAAAAAATTTAAGAAACCTAATCCTAGCTGAGTATGTTGTGACGTGCATTTAGCAGGCAGTTCTCTGAATTTAAATTAGCCTGGTCTACACAGCAAGTTCCTGGGCAGCTGAGGGTACAGAGTGAGACCTTGTCTCAAACACCAGCACTGCCCTTAATAGACAAGAATTGGTCCAACTCAAAATCTTCAAGTTCTCTGGTCTCCCAAAAGTCAGGAGACGGTGTTGTTTTTGTTTTTACCTTGTAATCATGTGTCACATCTCATTTTCAGAGTTGGAGACTTCCTTCGCTGGGAAGCCATCCAGTCCATCTTTACTACGAAATGAAAATGGCATTGATGTGGGGCCGCCTGCGGAGCCGGTGATTCCAAAACCACGAAGGAAGGCAAAGTAATAGTTACCCATCCTTCCAGCTCTCCCCAGGAGGTGGTGCTGGTGTTTCATTTAGAGATCTGGAATAGTAGCTCCTCACTGGGTCTTGGAAAACACTGTATTTGTATATGTCAGGATAAGTGGTATTATAGGAATACAAGCTAAACCAATGTATGAGAAATTTGAAAAGTATAGAACACCAAAAAAAAGAAAAGAATAGTATATGGAAATAGCCTAAGGAGTCATCTCTAAAAAAGCATAAAATGAAGAAGATACTTTTATATGAGTTTCAAAAAGTGAGATAAAGATTAATGATTAAAGATAAGCTACTGTGATTTGTTTCTTTATGTTAATGGAATTTGAACTATTTTGCAATAAGCATAACTATTGTGTTTTAATATAGGTCATATAATATACAAGAGCATACTTTGTGACAAATACCCTGGAAGTTACATAACATTGATGTTTGTACTTAAAAATGACTCTATAAACAATAATCAGTTATATTTAGAATTTTATAATTTTAAGTCAGGAGCAATTCTAGTCCAGTCAATGACCGTTTTCTAGATGACAAAACTGAGATCCACAAAAATGTGGGCAGTTTGAGACCTGTACTAGTTCATAACAAATCTGTTTGAGTAAACAGCATATTTCTACATTCCAAGTTCAGGACTCTTTCCATTACATTCATGGGTAATTTCTTATGTGGGTCTTTAAAAATTCAGGCATGATCTGTTTTTTCAAAGATTGTCCCTGATTTCAGGAAAACCCAGCCAGCCGAACTACAGTATGCTAATGAGCTGGGAGTCGAAGATGAAGACATAATTACGGACGAGCAACGCACTCTGGATCAGCACTCGAGGTTCACAGCGCCCACTGGAATTAGCCAGCCTGTCGGCAAAGTGTTTGTGGAGAAAAGCCGTAAGTAATTTCATGTTTTGGAGTACAATTGCTCTAAATATGGTAGAAGGAAATCTTTAACCTGGAAATTATAGTTCTGATGACCTGACTGAAGGAAATGATAAAAAATATGAATGACAATTGACACACAAAACTGTTATTATAGTATTTTTCCCCCAGCTGGATTTTATTTATTTACTTTTTGTTGAAAATGGATTTTTTTCTATGCAATATGTTTTGATTACAGTTTCCCCTCCCCCGGGTCAGGTGTTGCCCTTAAGTAGCACTGTCTACCTCCTGTGAGACAGGGTCTCTCATTGGGCTGGAGCCCACTAGACCAGCCCAGCTGACCGTCAAGCCTTAGCAATCATCGTCTTGTCTCTGCTCCTGAATGCCGGGATTCCAAGCACGGCAGCGGCTGTCAGGACAGGCATTTCACCAGCCGGGCCATCCCCTCAGCCCCTCTTCTTCTAGCCGTGTTACCCAGTCATTCTTATTCCAGTCTCCTTTAGTGTAAAAACTTCCTGTTGAAGAATTGATCATAAAAGGCACAGGTAGTTCTGTTGGCTATCCAGTAAATTTTTTTTTGGAGAAAATTCGTTATTCTTTCATCCTTCAAAACATCTGAGCAACAGGTTTTGTGAGGGTAATTGAGATGGAATCTTGCCTGCTTCCTGAGGTCAGTTCTGGAAGAAGAACCCTCCTAACCAGTGTAAGTGTGAAGTCTCACTCCCGAATCTCAGGAGAACTTTATGAAATACACTACTTCTTTCCTGCCGATACAGAAGGCTGTGTACACCCTCCAACATCCTTCCTGTCGATACAGAAGGCTGTGTGCACACACTCCAACATCCTTCCTGCTGATACAGAAGGCTGTGTGCACCCTCCAACATCCTTCCTGCTGATACAGAAGGCTGTGTGCACCCTCCAACATCCTTCCTGCCGATACAGAAGGCTGTGTGCACCCTCCAACATCCTTCCTGCCGATACAGAAGGCTGTGTGCACCCTCCAACATCTTTTCCCAAGAATTTTAAAGAATTTTTTAAATAATAGCTTGCCCTGATACTGTAAACATTTTATGTTTTTAAAAATTATTTCTTTTTAGAAACCTATTTTTTTTTAAATTTTATGTTTTGCCTATGTGTACCACATGTGCTTGCAAAGGTCAGAAGAGAATATCTAATAATAATAATAACTGAGCCATCTCTCTAGTTCCTAACATTTTAATTTTAATATTCCTAAAGTCTCTAAGTTACCTCTATAGACTGTCATGCTAAAGGGTTTTAAATTTAATTATGAGTTGAAAGTTTATTGCTGGATTTCATTAAATACCGTTGACTCTTAAAATTGTCATTTAAACATCAGCTTTGGGTTGAGAAGAAAGCTTATTGGCATTGTATTATTTTTTTTTTTTTTAAGATGAGGAAATTGTACGTCTAAGCTGCGGAAAGTGAAAGAAGAGAAAAAAAACTTACAGTCAAGGAGAATTTTTAGATTTAAAAAAAAAAACAGGAAGCCGGGCGGTGGTGGCGCACGCCTTTAATCCCAGCACTCGGGAGGCAGAGCCAGGCGGATCTCTGTGAGTTCGAGGCCAGCCTGGGCTACAAAGTGAGTCCCAGGAAAGGCGCAAAGCTACAGAGAAACCTTGCCTCGAAAAACCAAAAAAAAAAAAAAAAAAAAACAAACAGGAAAAGTTCAATCTTAGTTTCAGCCCTCCTTTTAACTTTTTTAAGCATCTGTGCTTGTGTGGTTTAGATGAAAGACATGCGTGTGAGGTCAGAGGACACGTTTGTGGAGTCAGTTCTGTCCCTCTACCTTTGTGTGGGTCGAGGGACCAAGCCTAGGCCATCAGGCTAGATCTGAGCAGCACCTTTACCTCAGGAGCCTTCTTGCAGGACCCGCCCCCCATTTTTTTTTCTGCTTTAAGATTTTATTTTGCTTCAGTTAATTCTCTTGTGTTTGTGTATGACTCTGTGTGGGGGTATGTGGATGTGTGTGCGAAGACCCGTGGAGGCCAGAGGTGCCGGAACCCTTGGAACTGGAGCTGCCGTTGGAGCCTGAACAGAGGTGCCTGGAAGAACACTCTTAACTGCCAAGCCATCTCTCCAGCCCCTTGGTTGTTCTTGAGACAGATTCTCTTGTAGCCCTGGAACCCCTGAACCCGCTGCCAGGGTGACAGGCATGCACTGGTATGCCGGGCCGAGGCTCTCACATGGGTTCTTTCTTGCTAGTCAGTGGTAATTGTGTTTGCTCTGCTCTGCTCTCCAGGGAGATTTCAGGCGGCAGATCGTTCGGAGTTGATAAAGACCACAGAAAACATAGATGTGTCGATGGACGTGAAGCTGTCCTGGACCACCCGGGATGTGGCCCTTTCGGTGCACCGGGCTTTCAGGTGGCCGCTTTTGTTGATATTCATTAAGCATATGTTAATTAGATTTCACCGTTTAAAACCAAAGGAAAAAGCCATGCCTGTTCCATACTTTAAACAAAATCGACAATTTACAATGGTATACAGATCTATTATTATAGACATTCCACTTGTTCTTTTCATAATATATTGAATTTTATTTTATGTGAAGAGATTTTAAAAATACTATAGCTTTCTATTTTAGTGATTGGTGTGTAATTAAACCCTTTTCCGTGCAGGATGATCGGTCTGTTTTCGCATGGCTTCTTGGCTGGCTGTGCTGTGTGGAACATTGTCGTGATCTACGTTCTCGCCGGAGATCAGCTGTCTGACCTCTCCAACCTTCTGCAGCAGTACAAGCCCTTGGCATACCCCTTCCAGAGCCTTCTCTACCTGCTCTTGGCTCTGAGTACTGTTTCAGCATTTGACAGGTGAGGCTCTTGTGACAGGGGATCATCCTTCTAACTTTGCTTCAGGGAGAATGGTGAGCAAACCATGTCACTAACTGTGAGTTTTCAAAATAAGTGATAGGATATCGACGTCATCATTGTTAAACCAGTCTTTGGGTTAGCATGGCCGTGTGTTTTCACTGTATCTTCAGAGATGCTGTTTCCACACGATGTCACCTTCATGAGTACTAGGCTTAGACATTCATCACTTATTTTGGGGAACACAGGTCAACCCATGTTTTAACCATCAGCAGGGCTGGAGAGATGGCCCAGTGGGTCCAGATGCCTTCTGTCAAGCCTAATGTCCTGCATTTGCTACCCAGGAACCACATGGTGGAAGGAGACAGCCAACTCCTGAGAGCTGTCCTCTACCTCCACATGTACACCATAGCTTGAGGGGTGTGTGTGTGTGTGTGTGTGTGTGTGTGTGTGTGTGTGTGTGTGTGTGTGTACACATGCATAGCTGTCCACACAAACCAAAAAAAATTCCTGCCTACTTACTGTCATCATAGTTTGCCTTTCTGTTTCTGTGATAAAACACTGACCAAAACAACTTGGGGAGGAAAGGGTCTGTTTTATCACACACTTTACTGTTCCCCCATCAGGGGAACCCACAGCAGGAACTCAACAGGGCAGGAACCTGGAGTCATGAACTGAAGCAGAGACCATGGAGGAGTGCTGCTCACTGGCTGGTTCAGCCTGCTTTTTCATACAACCCAGTACCACCTATCCCAGGATGCCATCGCCCACAGTGAGCGGGGCCCTCCCACATCAATTCTTAATCAAGGAAATGTCCCCATAGACTTGCCTACAGGCCAGTCCTGTGGAGGTTATTTTCTCAGTTGAGGCTCCCTCTTCCCACGTGACTCTAGTTTGTGTAGGTTGACAGAACCAACCAGCACTGTGGCTTGATGGTCTACAGGAAGAGGAGGAAGCTAGTGAATTTTGTAATAATACTAAATTCTTCTTGTTGGATATTTGATGTGGCCTTTGCAACAAGGTAGATGCTCTTTCCTGTTAAGTTTAATCTTTAGCTACTTAGAGACCCATGGGCGACGATAGACTCGAGAAGGGAAAAGCTTGAAGGAGGAAGTACCAGCCGGACGGTGACAGAGACTTTCGCATTTCGTTCTAGGACGGACTTTGCTAAAACATCAGTAGCCATCCGGAACTTTCTGGCCCTGGAGCCAACAGCTTTAGCCTCCTTCCGTAAGTAATAGTTTACCTCAATAACTGTTAGGATTGAGGAGTGAGTTATACTGTTGTGTTGAACCAAGAAAAATACTTTTCAGAGGTTTTTAATATTATTTCTTTATATGAATCATTACTTTTTTAAGCCTGTGAAATTGTAATTTAAAACATGGTAGGAGTAATTTTGATAGAGTGTTTTTTTTGAGGCAGGATCTCTTACATAGCTCAGGCTGGCCTTGGACTTCCTGTGTAGTTGAGGATAGCTTTGAACTCCTCCTCATCCTCTTTGCTCTCCCTTGAGTACTGGGACTTGCAAGCATGCCCCGCCATGCCTGGCTTACAAGTGTTTTTCAATAGACGATCATCTAAAGCACTTTCAGAAGTTGAGTTTGTGTGTGAGGTCCTGGGGTTAATGCCCTGCACCAAAAATAACAAAGTTAAATGTGTTGCCCTTCATTACTTATTTGGCTGCTGTCTTTTCCACTTGTCATTAGGCGGACACAGCTGGCCTGGCCTTTTAGTAATAAGTACCACTTATGTATTTCTGGCACTCTACAATACATTTTGTTCTGGGTTACAATAATTTTATTAAAGCTAGTTTGAGGAGCCTGAGCAAGTCATCCATATTCTTAAAAGATCATCTAGGTTCCTTCTTGCCAGTTCTGATGATAAGGTAGTGCTCATCTGTTACACTCTGTGCCGTATCCATGCCAAGTAATGAAAAGCTGCCAATTGAAGTTAAGTGAATTTCTTTTGTGTAGTCATTCGCCAAAGTGTGGATTATTTTCACCTTAAAGAACCTATAAATCCAACATAAACAGAAGGTGATATTGTTAGTAATTTGACCTTTTTTTCTTCTCAGTGTACTTTGCTGCTCTAATACTGTCTCTGAGTCAGCAAATGACAAGTGACAGAATCCACCTTTACACACCTTCTGTGAATGGAAGCCTCTGGTAAGAATTCACAGTAATGTTAGCAGTTGTTATGGTAGCAGCAGCTACAGAGGAGTAATGATACGTCTCCACATTTTCATCCATAGAGCACAACCAGCCTACATTTCTGTTTATAATAAACCACAAGAAGAAAATACCTATTCTGTTGGTTAATGGATAATGACCTTTTTATAGCTTATCAAATAGCCCAGGCTAGCTTCAAACTCCTTATTTAGCTGAGGCTGTCTTTGAACTCCTGATCATATTGCCTGTACCTCCTAAGTGCTGTGGTATCCAGCTTATACCTGGATTTTTAAAGGAACTGTCTTCTTTTCAAAAATATGTTTTAACTCTTCAAGTCATCATACAGTGGATTGGAGGTGCCCTGTGTCTTTACCCCAGGCGGAACCCTAAGACCACAGAGCAGTGGTATGCAGGTGCCTGGAATAGAGGCCAAGAACTGAGTGGTGCTAGAAGAGACTATGGGGGAACCGGCATTTTCAGACGCGTGGCCAGCTGCTGCTGGGGTTATAGGATGCTGAAATTCCAGTTTGTTTTGAGAGAGTGAATAGGGGTGGCTAAGAGAGAAAGAGAAGATGGGCAATTGAGGAATATTGCCATGGTGTTGTAAGGGAAACTGTCAGGACTCTTGAGGGGAATACCAACTTTTCATTTATACTGATCTACAGAGATCTGTTTAGAGTTCAAGTTGGCTTTGAACTGCAGGTGTGTGCAGAGGCTTCTTCCGTAGTTGTTTGTTTTGGAAGACTCTTACTTTATTTCATACTTCGTATTGCTCTAGGAGAGGACTTCTTTTTAAAAGTTTATGAAATAGTTACATTTGGACCTGTGAACAAGAATGAAGGCATTTCTACTGAGCGCTTGCTTCTCTTCTCCAGGGCAGCGGAAGTCGAGGAACAGATTCTTGGGCCATGGATCATCGTGAATTTGGTGGTGGCTCTTCTGGTTGGGTTGTCCTGGCTCTTTCTGTCTTATAGGCCAGCCATGGATCTTAGTGAAGGTATTAAAATAAAAAGATATGAGTATTCTGATAAGTATTTGCTCCTGATTTTATAAAGTTTTCCAGTAATAATTTAATAACCAATACATTTAAAATAAGCTATCAGAAGGACAATGAAAACAGCTAGGTCTCAGAATGGGGGAGGAAACAGGGTGGGGGCCTGGAGAGTTGGAGCCTGGAAACACTTCTGCACATCCGCACCGTGTGCCTTCTTGGAATGTTTGGGTATTGCTAAAGCTCTGCTCTCCTTATCCTCAGTCTTCACTTGATGACGTCACACTTCATCAGTATAACCTCTGTCACACAGAAGTGAGTCTCGCTGGCACAGACCCTGTCCATTCTTAGTTTACCTTCAGTGTGCCCAGTGCCCAGTGAAGTCACTGATCTCTAGACCCCAGGCCCTTTTCAGAACACTCAAAGGGAAATTCCCGTTAGCAAACAGCTAGCTCATCAGGAAGAGCTCTGGGAACACTTGGTATTTTATTACACACTGTACCTCCTTGACAGGGCTTCCCCATTTTCATCCATTCACACATGAGCACTGTAGTTACATCATTTCTGCCCACCCCCAACTCCTCCCGTGTCCCTCCTTCCACGTTCATGACCTTTTCTTCTATAATTATTTTTGTTACAGATGTAAATGTGTATAAATTATATGCATATAAATATACAGTCTATTAAGCCCAGTTATCGTTGCCCATATGTGCATGTGAACAGATTACACCAAACCAGGATGTGGTTTCCGTGTGTATTTCATGTGTGAATGCACCATTTTGCGTGATAATCCTCTTGTTGTCCCTCTAAATGTCCTGCTGCTTTACCCACTTTGCTGTCTTGGGCTTTGGGACTGAGTAGCTGGTGAGTCATCAAAGCGCTTGTTATGCAGACATGAGGCGCTCCAAGCACCTGTGGAAACCCAGGCACAGCGTTATGCACCTGCAGTCCCAGCACGGTGAGGGAAGAGGCGGGTGGATCCCTGAGCTCATGGCCAGCCAGCCTCGCCAAACTGATGAGCTCCGGTGAGAGACCCTGCCTCAAAAATAATGTGGAAAGCAATAGAGGAAGACAGCTGACATCAGCCTCCAGCTTCTACATGTATGTGCACACATGCACACACTCATATGAACATGTATGCACCACACACATTCATACACAAAAACATTGCACATTATATTATTTTGCTGGTTTTTTTTTTTTTCTCACAAGGTATGTTTTTTGTCCATTCAAAGATTTTTTTTATTTACTGGTTTATGTCAGAGGACTTTTATTTTCTGTATTCTCAAGGTTTAATTTTTTTTTTATTTCTTGACATTTTAATAATAAGTAATGTTTCTATGTGGAACAATAGTTTAATTATGAAAATGTCAACTAACAGCACTCTGGAGTGTTGCTGGGACTGATGCTGCATCTGGCTGGTGTGTGCAGGTTCCATATTAATTATAATGAGTATGATGCAGAGCAGGAGTTTTAGAAACCTGCTGACTTTTAAGGATGGCAAATTTAAAAAGTGAAAACAAAATGAGTGTAATAACTAGTTCATTGGTCTTTTGAAGATGAAATGGGATAGCATATTAAGGTATTTTAGTAGACACCTAATGTTAGTTGAGAATCCTTCTACTTCTCCCCTGCATTTTATTACCTGATAGAATTAGACCTCTGAGCTCTTTAATGATTCTAGACTTCCTAGGAGACTTAATTTTCTTGGTAAGATGTGTTGCATTGTCTTTATTATGGGTATTTTATTTTAAGAGGTTTATAATGAACTTAAAACTTGAACTTTTAAAAATATAAAACATGTACACTTGCTACTAGCTTAGCATTTAGATAAAAGACTCCCTGAATAAGTTACACTCGTACTTGAGGACTTTGTATTACCATGCATACATGAGTATTTATTAAGCCAGAAAAGTCTTTTTTGAGGAGCTGAGGAAATGTTTAAAGTGTGACATGTTCATTTTCTTCTCCAGAGCTAATGTTCTTCTCTGATGTGGAAGAGTACCCTGAGAAAGGAGTCCAGCCGACTGCATAGTGCCCACCCTCCACTGCAGTAAAGACCCGCACAGTGCCCACCTTCCACCACAGTAAAGACCCGCACAGTGCCCACCTTCCACCGCAGTAAAGACCCGCACAGTGCCCACCTTCCACCGCAGTAAAGACCCGCACAGTGCCCACCCTCCACTGTAGTAAAGACCCGCATTTCCCCACTTTGTTTTTAAGCATATTTTTATAAGATATTTATATATGTATTTATAATTGAGCTTTTGTTATATAATGCTGAAATGCGTCTGAAGATTATGAAAAATGTTTCAATTGTATCTGGTCTTTATACCCAACATTAATTTCTATAGTATTGTCACCTAAGTGATACAGGAGATAATGGGCTAAAAAAGCAGGCAAAAGTGTTTGTTTCCTGTTCTCTCAAATTTGATATATGCATAATCATAATCATAATAAAAAGCACCAATCTAAAAAAGCCATAACCTCAGTGTTATAGAATAGATATCACGTTTAAATGTAAATTTAGAGAATAGGGTAGAAGGGAAATGCCTTCATTTTGTATTTTTGATGTCTCCTTATTGAACACACTACAGTATAAAATTTGTGTTTTCTGAATCTGGTAAATGTTTGTGTATCATGTAAGAATTACATTGTAATTTAAATTGAAAGATGCTTTACTTCATGGCTAATAAAACAGACATATTTTTTTGAGAGTTTTATAAGTTTTATTTTTCCCTTTTAAAATCTGTGCTGGTTCTCTTATCTGGTTGCACATCAGGATCTGTGGGGAGCTTTAGAAAAACAGCTGTAACAGCTAGGCGTCGTGGTGTGTGCCTGTAATCCGGCACCTGGGAAGTGGAGGCAGGAGAGTCAGGAGATCAGTGCCAGCCTCAGCTACTTAGCAGGCGTGAGTCCAGCCTGAGCTACACGAGAAACCATTTCAAAAACTAAAAGCAGCAACAACAAACACAAACCATGAGCCATGAACCGGCTCAGGCCTGTGATTTGGGGCTAACCTCTGTAGAGTCTCCACGCTGCCTTTTTACAGTTGATGGATATCAAACCCAGGGTCTCATTCTGGCAGGCAGGTGCTCTACCATTGGGCCGCATCCTGTGTTTCTGTTTGTCTGATGAGAAAGGGTCTCGATGAGTGTCTCAGGCTGACCTCAGACTCCTGATCTTCCTTCCTAACCTCTTGAATGCTGAGGTTGCAGGGCCTGCTTCTTCTTGTGAGTCACAAGAAATGTGAGTGGATGTTCACCATCCTCATTCTCAAACTCTGTCAGGTATCTTTAGGTTTCTGGGAAATTTTACTCTTGGAGTGGGTTCTGCCTGGAAAAAAGCTGTCTGCACACACTTGAAATGCTTCTTCAGCTGGTGGCGTGTCTGTGAGCCCTACAGTGTCCATCAATGAGAAGACCTGCTGGAACAGAAAGTGACTCAAAGGCTGTTGGATGCGTCCCTGGAACTAACTATTGGGCCCCCCTGATTAGCACACAACCGAACGTTGTATAGAAGATGACTGACGAACTGAACACTGGGGTGGCTGTCCTGAGGGTTGGTCTGTATTTGGTGCAAGCACCATACTAGAAACATCTTTTGCTGTCCGTAAGGCCAGGGTTGCTGAGCAGGTGTCATAGAATCGTGACTCTACAGGCAATGCTGACTATCCTGTCCGTTGTCACTGTGATTGGCAATGACTCTCACGTTGGCAGCGGCAGCTGGGAGCGTAGGCGTCTGCTTCGCAGCTACTGCAGGGAAGTTGAGCTGAGATCGGTCACGTCTGAACTGTGTCATCAAGGAGAAATAGGGAAAGCTGCTATTACTGTGGGGGATGTAGGAGGCTGAGTAATGGCCCCTAAGGGCCATTCATGGTCTAATGCCTGGAGTCCAGGAGTATACTACTTCTCACAGCAAAAGTGGTTATATAGATGGTATTGGGGCTAAGAATCTTGAAACAGGGAGAGTTTCTTCCGTGATACGAGTCGCACAGTGTAGCCTGATGATGTTTCCTAAAGGACTAAACCTTCCCATATCTCATCCAAGAGCTGTTGGTCAGTTGTGATGCTTCTGCTTATAAAGATGGAAGGGCCATCAGTGACCCCAAGAGTCAACAGAGACACAGATATTCCAGCCCCATGAATTCTATCAAGGATGAGCGGCAGGTCCTCCTAGAGAGCCTTCAGAAAGCAATGCAGTGCTGTGGTACTAGACTTGAAACACAGACCTAAGAGATAGCAGCTCTGTGTTAGCTAAGCTGCTAGGTATGTTCCCGAGAGCACAGAGAATGGGGAGCCTTGTACTACAGATGGAGAATAATGTCATAATTGACTGTGGTGTTATTGTGTCCCCCAAAATATTGTGCATGCTAATAAACTTATCTGGGGTCAGAGAACAGAACAGCCACAATATTAAACATAGAGGATAGGCAGTGGTAGCACACGCCTTTAATCCTAGCATTCCAAAGGCAGAGATCTACCTGGATCTTGGTGTGTTCAAGGATACAGCCAAGCATGGTGACTCACGCCTTTAATCCCAGAAAGTGAGCCTTTAATCCCAGGGAGTGATGGTAGAAAGCAGAAAGGTATATAAGGCATGCAGACCAGAAACTAGAAGCTTTTGACTGTGTAAGCATTCAGGCTTTCGAGAAGCAGTTCAGCTGAGATTCATTTGGATAAGGACTCAGAGGCATCCAGTCTGAGGAAACAGGATCAGCTGAGGAACTGGCAAGGTGAGGTAGCTGTGGCGTGTTCTGCTTCTCTGATCTTTCAGCATTCACCCCAATAACTGGCTGCAGGTTTGTTTTTATTAGACCATTTAAGATTCATGCTACAATTGACACTGGAAGGGTGGTCTTTGAATATGACTTGGATTTCAAATCTCCTGATGTACCCCAGCAAGCACACAGTCCCTGAGCAGCTGATGGGACAAATCCTTTAGCAATGCACACCAAAGATTCCTTTGATCATGATGATTAGAAAAGTTCATTGCAGATGAATGTCTCAGTGATTAACTCAAGGCAAACGGCTAAAGCCATAGATGAGAATATCAGACCTGTCAAATCTGAATATTTGAGGATGAAGCCTGGGTTTATGCTGGGTCCCGCCCAACTACCCAACAGTCCTTGGAGGGAGGAGTGAGGATTAAGAAATAATAGATATGAAAAACTGAGATGTACGACTTAAAAAAAAAGTCAGAGACACAGAATAGTATTGGGAGGGCTCTGGGTCAATACCACAGTTGCCCCGAGTTTGTTCCTCATGAGCTTTTTATACACCAGCAAGGGGAGAGGTGAAAGACCTCCCCCTCTCAAGGACACAATGGTTCAAGGTACAAAGTACAGACAAGTGTAAACACTTTCTTAATTCTCAAAACATCTAGTAGCCATGAGGCAAAACATCCTGTAATTTGACCTTGAAGTATAAGACCATTCCTTAGGTAACCACTCCTTAGGCCAAAGCATTCTATTATGCAGCCTTGAGGGACAAAACAAGCTTGGACTCTCTGACCTTGAGTCACTGTGGAATAAGGCCACACTATGGAATCTCTGTGGCCCCCACAGGTTTATGGGAGCAGAGGATAGGGAGGCTGAATACATGGTAAACATACTGTCTGCCTTCTAGAGGCTCTTAATCTACTTAGAGAGAGAGATAAGAATGGAAGCATCTAGGAAAGGTTTGTGGGTGAGGTCTGATGTGAGTGGGGCTTTGTAAAATGGACAAGATTTCTACTGGTAGAGATGGGGCCACACACACACAAAAGGTCAGGCAGGTGAGTAAGCTTAGCACTTTAGAAAATCTTTCTTCTTCTTCTTCTTCTTCTTCTTCTTCTTCTTCTTCTTCTTCTTCTTCTTCTTCTTCTTCTTCTTCTTCTTCTTCTCCTTCTCCTCCTCCTCCTCCTTCTTCTTCCTCTTCCTCTTCTTCCTCTTCTTCTCCTCCTGCTCCTCCTCCCCCTCTTCTCCGTCATCATCATATGTGTGTATAAATGATGGGAGAGGGGCTTTCCACTACAGTAAACGTGGAGGTTAAAGGGCAACTTTGCACAGTTGGTTCACCTTCCTCCGTTACATGGGTGGGTTCTGGGGCCCAAATTCAGGTTACCAGTCTTGTGCAAGGATCTTTACTGGCTGAACCAGCTCACCAGCTCAGCTCAGCATTTAAAAAGTAAAAAGGTTTTATTTTTTATGTGTGTGAACATGTGTGGGCACCTGTGCAGGCTAGAAAAAGTATCAGATTCTTTGGAACTACAGCTACAAGTAGCTGTAAACCATCCAATGTAAGTGCTGGGAACTGAACTCGGGTCCATCTGAAAGAGCAGCAGGTGCTTTTAACTGCCGAGCCATCTCTCCAGGCCTTCAGGGTAGCATCTTCTGGAGATTTGAAAACACAGTGTTGTGGGATATCAGCCTAGGTTTGATGTTAAACTTTTATCTCATTTGCTTTTTCTTTGTACACCCCCTTTTTTTCTTTCAAAATCTTTTGAAGGGATGTTTATTCTAAGAATTAAGGACTTTTGTCTATGAATGCACAGTATCATTAAAGCAACCAGAAAAACATAACACCATCATATCTAACATCTCATCCATTTTCAAATTTTCCTAGTTGTCCCTCAAATGAAATTATATTTCATTGATTTTTATCTCTCAATGTAAAATTATATACTTAGATTTTAAATTTAAATTTCCTTAACATTTATTTGTGTTTTGTTTGTGTGTGTGGATGTGCACAGCAAGGTCAGAAGAGAACCTGTGGGAGTCAGCTCTCCTGTGGAGGCCCACAAAGCTTCCTAGTGAGATCTGAGCTTGCTTTACCCAGCAGAGCTGCATTAGAGGATGCCTTGACCATGTGTGTGGTCACCAGGTGTCTGGGATGGTCTGCACTTGGCTGTGCTGGGGAAGGGAGGTCTTTTGCCCCACCCCTTGGCATTTCTTTAAAAAGCCCTTTAGTAGAGACAGAAGGGGCTGATGAGTTTTGATCCAGGCCCTCCCGAGGCTATCCTGTGTTTCTATCTGTCTCTCTCCCCTCTATATTTCTATCTAATCTAATTTTATTATCTAATAGAGATATTAAAAAACTTCTATATTTCTCACTTCTCCCCACTCAAAAGTACCCTGGGGAAAAGGTGGGAGCTGGTCTCTCACATTCTCCTTCTACCATTTGGGGAGCACACTGTCACATTCTGAGCTTCTTGTCCTGACCAAACCTCAGACCTAGACAGGTAAAATTCTTGCAGGACATGCCAAAACTTCAATAGTTTTACCCTGTCATGTGAACACAGATATCCCGAGGACACTGCTCAAGGGACTATTTAGGAAGCATAGACTGGACTCCCAGCAGAACTGTGAGAAACACATTTCTGTTCTTCTTAAATTGTGTAGCACTAGTGGACTGAAATACCTAAAGATATAAATTGGTTCACAAGACTTAATTTCTGTCCCATTCAAAAACAATTGCTTGCTGCCTCCATCAGTTAGGTTCAAGTACATTTTCAGACTTGGTGACAATTCTGAAGAACCAGGCTTTTGTGGACCCTGAAGGGCCTCCTCCCTCCTTTGTAGTTCATGGTTCACAGTAAATCAATAATGCCACTCTTCTCCGGCACGTGTCTCCGGAAACCAATGCACAGAGCTTCTACATTTAACCAGAGATCTCTAATAGTGATAAACTTGTTCTTACAGCTCAGGCCCTGGCCAGAAAACATTACAAAGTCTGGAAAATGCATAGAACTAATTGCTAAGCTGACCTGGAGAATTGAACTCTCCTTAAGGAGCCAATAAATGAAGCATGGGAATAGTTTTTGTTTTGTTTTGTTTTGTTTTGTTTTGTTTTGTTTTTGTTTGATTCAGTTTGTTTCCTCTCCCCTGCTACCCCCAGACGGGGGTTCTCTGTGTATCCCTAGCTGTCCTGGAACTTGCGCTGCAGACCAGGCTGGCCTTGAACTCACTGTAGATCCACCTGCCTCTGCCTCCTGAGTGCTGGAATTAAAGGTGTGCGCCACCACTGCCCAGCAGGAATAGTTTTACAGTACAAATACAATCATCTCTCATTGAGAAACCAAACAAAAAGCAAGATTGCTTCATCTATGGTGTTTCATGCTACATTACATGAACCCTCCGGAAGTCACAATGAGCTGGGAAGCCAAGTCTCATTGGGGTGGAGATTAGGTACAGTGCAGCACAGACCCACACTGACAACACACAGGAATTAAGGGGCTTGGGATATTGTGCCATGCAACTTGAAAGGGAAAGGCAAGGACCGAGTTCTTGTTCTTACAGAATCCTGCCTTTAGAGATTAGCAGCTACTAGTGTGAGCCCACACAAAGGGATATGCCAAGCAGTAGGTTGGAGGCAGCAGTTCATTGTGTCTTTGGGGCACATGCGAGAGCACATGGCAAACATACTGTCTGCCTTCTGGAGGGATCTTGGTCTACTTAGGGAGAGATGGGAGTGGAGAATCTAGGAAAGGTCTGTAGGTGAGGTTAGATGTGAGCAGGGGCTGTGTGAAATGGAGTTTCTGGTGGTAGAGATTAACTAAATGTTGTACCCAGAGTCCCCCAAAGACCTTCAGGAGACCAAATCCGATGCAAAAGCAAAGAGTCTTTTTATTTCGAGTTAACTCGGGACTCTCTGTCCGTCTGACGCTACAACAGAGGAGAGACTCTGAGTAGCAATGGGGCAGGGTTTTTAAAGTAAAGGGGGCTTGGGGTCTACAGACTACATAGGAACAGACTCAGGATTGGTTTATTCGAGTGGCAATCATGTTAGCAACTTTTAATTGGCTAGGGTTAGTTGGGGGTTACAGTTATCCATTTTTAGGCAGGCCTGGACAAGTCCCAGGCTTTGTCCTTGAGCTGCCATGGAGGCACGTACTGACTGTGGGGGCTGGCTCAGTGGCCCAGGCTTGTCTCCCTGTCCCTGCTGCCAGGGGCATCAGTGATTGTCCTTTGTCCATGGCCCTCTCAGAAACTGCTTGCTCAAGTCTCAGGAAACTGAAATTGAGGCCTGATCTCTGAGAGAAGACTGAGCAGCCTGTTATGGCGTCTGCTTGGTCCTTTCACTAAAGGCGACTTTTGAGCTCACTCTTGCCTAAAAGAAGACTACATTTCAAATATTATAACAGTAAATAATGGCTCTGAGGAAGGGAAACATATTTAAAATGTTTTATATTTTTGAAAGCCTAACATGCAGCTGGGCAATGGTGGCACACGCCTTTAATCCCAGCACTCAGGAGGCAGAGGCAGGCGGATCTCTGCGAGTTCGAGGCCAGCCTGGTTCTGGCCAGATGACTTCTCTTATGCATGAGTGAATGAGAGTTCAGAGTATACATCCTAACATTATCATGAAAATGGACTTGACTCTTGAAGATGTGACACTATAGTCTGAAAATGTCCTATCAAATTGAGCTTGATTAGTAAGAGTGGTAATTGTATAGATCGAGTTCCAGGACAGCCAGGGCTACACAGAGAAACCCTGTCTCGAAAAACAAAACAAAACCAAACAAACAAAACTCCCAAAAGTCCAATGTGCTACCCACTTTGCCTTAGAACCACCTTAAAAAATATTTTTAAGTGTTAAATGGCCAATAAAGTTCTGGAAGCTTCTGGGTTTGCTTCGTGTATAATGGGAAATTATTCTAATACTGAGACAGCGGAAGAAATTGATGAGTCATCCTGGGAAACCATAGAGTAAATCATTGTACATTTCTATACGAGAGATGTCCCAGAATAGGAACAGTGAAAAGAAGAAGGGTTCTTGTATCAAGGATACATTTTTTTTTTTTTAAAAAAAGGGTCAGAATTTTGTGCATGTGGAATTACTACATCAAATGAATTTGGAACACACTAGAGCTCCGGAGGTAAGATAAATATGTGACTGTGTCCTGTGTTGTGGAACAGTCAGATCAAGGTGTCCCACTAGGTTGCTGGAGATACACATTTGGCTCACGGGCGAGAGTGCACAGAAAGTATGCCTGAAATTATAAACCTACAAGAAACGGTGTGGAGAGAAGAGGGCTGCTGAGACTTAAGTAGAGTTTAGTAGAATGTGAAGGAGGCCGCCCACCCGCAGGCTCTGACTTCCGGAGGAAACAGAAACTGCCTGACAAGGAACCGGAGCCGATGGGCCCGCCTGCTAAACGCTCACCTCCAAAGCCCGGGCACTCTGCACGTGGTCCGGGGACGGGCGGGAAAGGCTGCAGCGTGCGCGCGTGCGCAGCGAACAGCGGTTGGGTTCAGTGGCAGATTGGGCCCCCAAAGAGAATGTAACAATGGAGCTGCCTCCTCCTCCGGGAATCCGGAGGGTTTCCATCAACCCTCTAGAGGCACCCCGCAGGTTTTCCATCTTCCCAGGCGTGATGCCCATCCGCTCATCTTTGGGCTCATTTTTGGCCACGGCTGGGACCTCGAAGCCCTCCATGCAGAGCAGCCTGAGGGCCCCGAGCCTGATACCGAGCCCCATTCCCCAGAAGAGCTCCCTCAGCCCCGCCGACGCCATGCGGCGCAGGGCGTCCAACGTCTCCTCCGTGCACTACGCCAACGAGCAAGGCAAGCCGCCACCCTTGGACGAAGACAAAGAGAAGGACAAGGGCAAGGGCAAGGGCAAGGGCAAGGGCACCGGGACGCGGCTGCTGAACGTGAGTGGCCCGGGAGGAGGGAGCGGGCAGGATGGCAGGCCCGGAGGTGCCCTAGGGACCGCAATCCCGAGACCTCCCTCGCGGGAAAGGGGGCCACACTAGACACCTTAGGCAGCTTAGCCTCCTGCAGCGTCATTTTGTCGACTAGGAGATGAAAGGCAGTGAAAATGTAGACGGTGACGCTCGTTGGGACAAAGAACAGTCACTACATGCTCACTTGTCATTTGTCAAGATGTCATTTGTCTGGATACCTGCCAAACCCCAGAAACTTTATTCATTCATTCTTCCTTCCTTCCTTCCTTCCTTCCTTCCTTCCTTCCTTCCTTCCTTCCTTCCTTCCTTCCTTCCTTCCTTCCTTCCTTCCTTCCTTCCTTCTCTCTCTCTCAATATCTCTCTCTCTCTCTCTCTCTCTCTCTCTCTCTCTCTCTCTCTCTCTCTCTCCTCCCTCCCTCCTTCCCTCCTTCCTTCCTATTTATTTATTTTGTTATGGAGGGTCTTTAATTTGTTTCATTTTGCCTTACTACATAAGGCCCGGCTGACCTGATAATTTGCTATGGAGCCCAGGTTGGTTTCAAACTCTTAGCAATCCCCCACCACCACCTCCGTCTTATATACTTAAGTGATGGGATGCTGGTGTGTGCCACTACACCCAGATATTACCAAGGCCCTTAAATTATGACTCTGGAGGACTAATTCTTCATCAAGTCTCCAGTATTTAGTGGTAACGAGGGGCTGGAGGCATACATGACAAAGGAGAACCAAACTGTAATTCATTCTATATAAAGGTCATTTTATCCAGCACTCAGAAGGCAGCAGCAGGCAGATCTCTTGAGTTCAAAGCCAGCCTGATCTATAGAGCGAGTTCCAGGACAGTCAGGGCTACACAGAGAAACCCTGTCTCAATAAACAACAACAAAATTCAGAAACAAATGGTACATAGAGAAGATGAGCTCTGTCTCTGTAAAATAATAATTTGATCTCCAAAGTTCCTGCTAATTCCAAGAGTTTAGCATGCTTTTAGAGCATTGTTAGGATGGATTGAGAGCAGATTAAAGGCTAACTAAAAGGTAAGTTTCTAAGATGTGCTAAGTTAAAAATCACAAAGGTTTATAAGAGAGATGTGCTTCAAAATCAGACCATGGGCTGAGCTTGTTGTGTATGACCTCAAGGAATTTGGGCTTTGTTTCCCAGAATAGTGATTTCTAATATTGTTTTGAACATGGCAGTTCCTTGTCAATGTAAAATTTTCCTTTTGCATAAAAATAACTGGTCTTTATTACTTGCTGATTGGGTGATTATATAACCACAAAAATGAACAAATAAGCCTGGTATTATTAATAGAGTTCTCTCCAGCTCATTGCTTGTTCATTTTTCAGTTTTTCGTTCATCTCTATTCAATTCTTCTGAGGTCCTTGGCAAAGCCTTGGTATGGGGATGCTGAGGAGATGGCTGAGTAGTCAGGAACGTGTACTGCTCTTGCACAGGAACCTGAGTTCAGTTCTGTACCCACGCTAGGCAGCTCACAACTGTCTGTAACTCGAGCTCTAGGAGATCTGGCCTTTGGGGTCACTTACACGCATGTGCACACACTTACAGACAGATATACAGACATACACATACATAAAGAATAAATCTCTAAAATCTGGATTTTTCAGCCTCCACCATAGTCCTCCTGGATTAGAGGGGTAAATGCGGGAATGTGCTCAAATTAAAACTATTTTTAACTGATTCCTAGACATGAGCTTGAGAATCACCTCAGAGGAAAAGGGGAACATCGGTGTGGTGACTAGGTTGACAGAGCAGCCAGAGGAACTGGATGAGCTGTGGTGGGGATGTCCCTTAGTTTGTAGAGAGCTTGTCTAACGTGCACAAGCCCTGAGCCCAATCCCCGCACTTCAGAAACAGTGGCACATGCCCGTACTCATATCAGGAGGTGTAGGCAGAAGGATCAGAAATTTAGGTCATATTTGCCCACATAGTGAGTTTTAGAAATGGGTAAACTGAGTAAAAGCAGACAGAGGGGGTAAGTGACTGGAAGTCTCAAATATTTTTTTAATTTAAAATTTAATTTAAAAATTTATTTATACCGGTGATGGTTTGTTGGTTTGTCTTTTCTTTGTCAACATGGTGTAAACTAGAGTCACCCAGGAAGAAGGCAGTTCAGCTAAGGAATTGCTTCTGTTGGATTGGGCTGTGCCTGTGTTTCTTGATTGGTGGTTGGTGTGAAAGGACTCAACCCACTGTGGGCCACGCCACCCCTGGGCTGGTGGTCCTGGGTTCTATAAGAAAGCAGGCTGAGCGAGACATGGGGAACAAGCCAGTGAGCAGCATTCTTCCGCGGTCTCTGCTTCAGTTCCTGCCTTCTGATTCTTGCCTTGAGTTCCTGCACTAACTTCCCTCCGTGATGGACGGAGTATGAGCTGTCACATGAAATAGACCCTTTCCTTCCCAAGTTGCCTGTGGTCCTATTGTCTTAATGACTTTTCTATTTCTGTGAGGAGACACCATGATCAAGTCAACGTATGAAAGAAGGCAGCACTTAATTTGGGGCTCACGGTCCCCGAGGGTGAGCCCATGACCACCATGACCGGAAGCACAGCAGCAGGCAGGCAGGCTTGGTGCTTGAGCAGTAGCTGAGAGCTTATATCTGATCCACAACATGAGGCAGAGAGGGGTTAAGTGGGAATGGTGGGGGATTTTGAAAACCTTCAAGCCACCCTCAGTGACACATCTCCTCTACCAAGGCCACACCTCCTAACCCTTCCCAAACACTTCTACTGACTGGGATCCAAGCAACCAAATATATGTGCCTATGGGGGCTGTTCTCTTTCAAACCACCACACATAGTATTTGTGATAGCAATAAAGTAAACTGGCATGCCTTTAATCCCAGCATTGGGGAGGCAGAGGCAGGCGGATCTCTGTGAGTTTGAGGCCAGTCTGGTCTACAGAGCGAGTTCCAGGACAGGCACCAAAACTACACAGAGAAACCCTGTCTCGAAAAAACCCCCCAAAAAGTTTTATTAAAATGTAGGTTTCTAAGAAAATTGGAAAGATTGGTTATGCATAGTACTTAGATTAAGATATAATAAAAATGTGTATTGTCATCCAGGTTTGATGCCATAGCCTCCTGCGTTCAGAGATTAAGATATCAGGATTGGGACCTTAGGACTAGCCTGGACTGCATAGTGAAAATCTGTATCAAAGACTTGTGCTGGCTCTTTTCAAGTCAACTTGACACAAGCTAGACTCGTTGGAGAGGAGGAAACCTCAGTTGATCTGGCTGCAGGGAAGCCTGTGAGGCATTTTCTTAATTAGTGATTTGTAGTTGGTTTTGTTTTGTTTGTTTATTTGAAACTCTTTTGGCTCTTTGGGGGGCCCACCACCAAGCTCATGCTATCTTGGGCACTTTGAAATTCTATTCATTTCTGAGATGTGTTTATCTTTTCCTTTTTTATTATTCTCTCATACATTATACCCTGACTGCAGTTTCCCCTCCGTCCACTCTTCCCATCCCCCTACCTCCCCTGAACCCCAGATCCACTCCCCCTCCTTTCCCTTTAAAAAAAGAGCAGGCCTCCTAGGGATATCCACTGAACATGTCGTAACAAGTTTCAATAAGAATAGGCCCAAACTCTCATATCAAAGCTGGACGAGGCTAGAAAAGGGTCCCAAGAACAGGCAAAAGAGTTAAAGACACTCCCTACTCCCACTGTTGGGGAATCCCACAAGAACACTCAGCTACACCACTATAATGTATATGCAGAGGTCCTAGTTCAGACCCATACAGGGCCCATGATTGTTGCTTCAGTCTCTGCAATCCCCTGTGAGCCCTGCTTAGTTGATTCTGGGGGCAGTGTTTTCATAGTGTGCTTGACCCCTCTGCCTCCTACAATCATTCCTTTCCCTCTTCTGTGGAGTTCCCCTGGCTCTCTCTGGTGTTTGGCTGTGGGTCTCTGCATCTGCTCCCATCTGTTGCTGGATGAAGTTTCTCTGATGACAATTGGGCTAGGCACCTATCTATGAGTATAGCAGAATATTGTTAGTAGTCATGTCATTTAATTTTTTTTTTCCAGTCATATCTGGGTCTCTGGGCTGTCTAGCCTCTGGTTCTTGGCCATCCAGGCAGTGTCAGGCATGGGTTCCCTCTCATGGCATGGGTCTCAAGTCAGATCATTGGTTGACCACTCCCACAAGTTCTGTGCCACCATCTTACAGACAGGACAGATTGTAGGTTGAAGAAGGTTTTGTGGCTTGGTTGGTGTCCTAGTCCCACTGCTGAAAGTCTTGCCTGGTTACAGAAGATGGCCAGGTCAGGCTCCATATCCCCTATTACTAGGAATCTTTGCTAGGGTCACTTTAGAAGATTCCAGGGAGTTTCCACTGCACTAGGTTCCACATCCCCCTGCCCAGCTGCCCCCTAATTCCAGCCATCTCTCCCAGTACTCTCTCCCTCCAACTCCCACCCCCAACCCGATCCCTCCTGTTTCCATCCTCACTAGCCCCCAGTCCAGGCAGAAATAAAGAAAGAAATTAAAGACTTCCTAGTCTTTAATCTCCTTGAAGGAGATCAAGGGGATACATTTTGAAAAGGAAGAAGTCAAAGTATCACTATTTGCAGATGATATTATAATATATATAAGTGACCCCCAAAATTCTACCAGGGGACTCCTACAGCTGAACACCTTTAGTACCATGGCAGGATACAAGATTAACTAAAAAAAAAAATCAGTAGCCCCCCTAAACACAAATGACAAATAGGCTGGGAAAAAACACTCTTTATAACAGCCACAAATAATATAAAATATCTTGGGGTCACTTTAACCAAGCTAGTGAAAGACTGGATGATAAGAACTTCAAGTCTTTGAAGAAAGAAATTGGAGAAGATATCAGAAGATGGAAAGATCTCCCATCTCATTGGATCAGCAGGATTAACATAGTAAAATGGCCATCTTACCAAAAGCAATCTACAGATTCAACTCAATCCCAATCAAGATTCCAACACAATTTTTCACAGACCTTGAAAGGACAATACTCAGCTTCATGTGGAAAAACCAAAACCCAGGCTAGCTAACACAATCCTGTACAATAAAAGACTTCCAGAGGCATCACCATTCCTGATTTCAAGTGCTACTACAGAGCTATAGTAATAAAAACTGAATGGTTTTGTCATAAAAACAGATAGGTGAATCAATGGAATCGAAGACCCAGATATAAATCCATGTACCTATGGACACCTGATTTTTGACAAGGAAGCCAGAAGGACACAACAGAAAAAACAAAGCATCTTCAACAAATGGTGTCTAACTGGATGTCAGCATGTAGGAAAATGCAAACAGATCTGTATCTATCATCCTGCACAAAACTCAAGTCCAAGTGGATCAAAGACTTCAACATAAAGCCAGACACACTGAACCTAATAGAAGAGAAAATGAGGAATAGTCTTGAGCACATTGGCACAGGAAACAACTTCCTGAAAAGGGTTTATCTTTGTGTGTGTGTGTGTGTGTGTGTGTGTGTGTGTGTGTGTGTCTTGAAACAACACTCATTTCATTGGTCTTTGTATCATTGTGGAATTTACTGTTGTAAATTCACCCTACTAAGTCCATTTAGTGTTGCTCATATGTGTGTGTGTGTGTGTGTGTGTGTGTGTGTGTGTGTGTGTGTGTGTGTGTGTGTATGTGTGTGTGTGTCCCCAGGTATGACCATTTGGAATTGAACAATCTTTATGGGACATCCTCACTGGAGAAAATGGACCCTCCGTCTCTCTGCAGCCATTGACTGCCTGTAGCTCTTCATCTAGCGGTGGACCTTGTGAAATTTCCCCATTCAGTCAGCATGTCAACTGCCGTTAACATCATGCAGGTCTTATTCAGGCAATCATATTGTTGAGATTTCATGGGTGCAATTTCCCTGTCGTGACTATAGGATAGTATTTAGTGGAATGTGTTGCCACAACCTGTGTGTCTTGGGTCCTGGAACCCTGGAAATCTGACTAGGGAATACAGGAAAGCTGGGGTCACCGCAGTGTATTTATTACATATAGCACAGGGGAAAGGAGTTAGTTAGTCAATCAGTCTTGGTAGGAGGTCTCTGTAGGTGAGCAGTCTCAGGCTGTAAATATCCAGGAGAAAGAAGCTACAGTTGCTAGTTTTTACACACACTGCTAACATTCACACTCACACCAGAGGAAGGCTTTGCCTCTCAGCCTTACCCATGGGTCTGAGGTGTTGGTCCCTGACAAGGCGGTGCCCATGTCAGCAATACGGATTCACTCAGGACCTCATCTGTTCTTTATTCATTTACTCAAGGTTTCCTCGGCTCCCCACAAGGTGTGCTGGTCCTCTGACTCTTACCGATTGTCTTCCCCTCCCATGATTTTCCCTTGGGTGCATGGTGGCATTGCAGGTGTATCAGTTGGGTTTGGGCACCCAATTTTGTGGATCTCTGTAATCGTCTCCATCTATTGCAAAAAGGAACTTCTTTGATGGGGTAAGAGGTACATTTATCTGTGGGTATAAGGATAAGTATTTAGAGTATAATTAGAAATTATATTAATTTAGGAAAACAGTAGTTGTAGATTTTCCTTTAGTGTCTGTGACTTCTCTAGTCATGGGTAGTTGGCTAGGTTTTCATTGATGGGCATGAATTCCCTCCCATCAAGCCAGCCTTGGGTTCAGTTAGACAGCTGTTGGTTACCTGCAAGATAAAAGTGTCACTCCTGTTTTATTGGGGATATCTTGCTGGGCTGGTTATTATTGTGGTTCCTTCACTTTACAGCTAGGTAGGACTCGTTGCTTCTCTCCCACGGCAGCATCCATAACACCTTCACATACCACAAGAGCAAGGCCTCATGGAGGAGGCTTCCAAAGGAGAAGGATGACCATCAATACAGAAAAAAAAAAACTCTCCCAATTTTCTTCCTGTAATAAGTTTGAATGCAGTTGATCTGATTTTTCTTATTCCCAGTGGCCTGTTACAGGATTCAAGCATGCTGTACTTCTAAGCGATGGGAGGTGAAGGATACTGTAAATGTGACTGGTGGTTCTTATTTGATGTTCTGATGTCCTTAATTCCCCCCATAACGTCTTTCTTTCTCCTTCCTGTCATGCATTCAGGGGACCCCGCTTCTTCTCAGATGTCTTCACCACGAAGCAGTACTCCTCTGAGGGTCCCACACTAGGTCCTCCAGGGCCCTTCTCTCGCCCAGTGCTGGACCACCTGTGTTGACTTTCTCCTCAACTCTGTCTCTTCTGTTGCCTCTGCTCCTCTCTCCTATTCTCCACAGTCACTTATGGATTTTCTTGTCTTGATCTCTGTCCCCATTGGTTTGTGCTGGGATTTTTACTTTATTTCTCTCCCTAAAGGAAATCTGGAAATTGTAAGGTCTTTCTCTAATGTGTCCTATGTTTGTTCATACACATGTGTGCTTTTCTCCTCTTTTCTGATTTCCTTGATAATTCCATATTTACTATGTATATTTTTATTTCTTTGTTTACCTATTGATGAACTTATTGAAGATAGAAATGAGTTTCATATTCATAGTTATATCCACTGCCTAGAGCACCAAATACTTACTACACACTCAGAAAATATTGAATTGGAATAATATTTTATCCAGTTATGTTCTACTTTTTCTTCTAAAGTGTTGAATTAATTTATTTTAATTATAGATGCTAAGAAAAACTCTTCAAGGGTCTGACAGTGAAGAAATGGTAATAGCACAGGAAACACCAAATTTGATACCATTTGGAGACGTGGTATGTATGAGTAACCTTCAATAAGCCTGTACAAATTATTTCTAATTTGATATGAAACATAGTTGATATTTGTTATCTGGTAATTGAAAAGTATGTGAAGAAAATAGTCCTTTATGATAAATATAATCATGAATTTTTTATTTACATGAGCCATAAAACCATTAAATATTCACCAAAATTATTGGAAAACATTCTGATTCACAGAAACAATGTTTTGTAGAATAAAGATTCCCCAGGGACTGGAGAGATGGCTCAGCGCTTAAGAGCACTGACTGCTCTTCCAGAGGACCCGGGTTCAATTCCCAGCACCCACATGGCAGCTAACAACTGCCTGTAACTTCAAGATTTGACACCCTCACACAGACATGCCTACAGGCAGGACACCAATGCACATAAAATAAAAATAAATTATTAAAAAAAAAGATTCCTGATCACCTGACATAACTGTAAGACATTGATTTGGGGCCCAACCTAAGATCTGCTAATGTCAAATGTCTGTCTGAAAGAGGAGTCTATGAACCAGTGTTTTTGTTGAGCTCAAGTGATTATACTTAGTCCAGATTGACCTGTGCTTTGAACATTGACCCCTTCACCGCTCTTCCATCCCCCTCTCCAAACATCAGAAGGAAGAGTTTCTGTGTGGCCACAAACATTGTTTGGGCTGCCAAGAGGCCTCAGTGGGTAAAGATACTTGCCACTGCCAAGCCTGAAGACCTTCCTTTGAACCCCAGGAAGCGCAAGGTGGAAGGAGGAACCAACTCCTGCAAGCTGTCCTCTGGCCACCATAATCATGCCATTATGCACATGTCGACAGACAGACAGACAGACACACACACACACACACAGAGGTGGGATGGTGAAAGGGAGAGAAAGGGGAGAAAGGAAAGAGTGAATGTAATAAAAAATTTAAAAGAAGAAAAGTATTTTAAAAAGCTTTTTCTATCCTTTTGTGTGTGTGTGTGTGTGTGTGTGTGTGTGTGTGTGTGTGTGTGTGTGTGTATCAGTACGTACTTGTATGTATGTGCCCGGTGCCCATGGAGGCCGGAAGAGGACATCAGATCCCTTGGAACTGGTGGTTTGATGTGGGTGCTGGGAACTGAACTTGAGTCCTGTGCAGAGTGCAATATGCTCTTAATCACTGAGATGACTTTCCAGCCCCAAGAAACCATACTTCTAGTAAGAACAAACAACAAAGAACTTCTAATGTGAAAAACCCAACACAAGTGTGTTTTAAAAATTTAAAAACGGCCGGGCGGTGGTGGCGCATGCCTTTAATCCCAGCACTCGGGAGGCAGAGCCAGGCGGATCTCTGTGAGTTCGAGGCCAGCCTGGGCTACCAAGTGAGTTCCAGGAAAGGCGCAAAACTACAGAGAAACCCTGTCTCGGAAAAAAAAAAATAAAAAAATAAAAATTTAAAAACGGTTCAATGTAAAGTGTAAGAAAGTTAAAAAATGTGCTTGCCTTTGTGTTCTTGTCTCGGTTGCTGTAGGTCGGCTGCCTGGCTGTTCACATAAAGACTTGTAGACAGTTTTCTCACAGGTGTATCCTTTTGGCTTGTAGATCACAGTGTCAGCATGCCCTGCTGTTCTGGTTACTGATTGCTGAGTCACTAACCACTGGAAAACATAGCAGCTTGAAACGCTAACCAGTTTATCACCAAACACTCCGCTCACCCACTAGGTGGAACTTCTTCGCAGTGTTAGCTTTGGCTACCATTGGGCAGTTCAAAGGGACTGGGATGCTCGGCCCTTCAGTGTGGGTGCCGGCAATGTCGGACTTGGCTGGGTGGGTGGTTAGAACGCTTGTTCTCTTCATGGGATCACTCACAGCCTCCTGCACTCATTTTCAGTTTACAAAGTGTCATACGCATTTCAAATGAAACCTGGATTACTGTAGTTTTTCATGTTCCCTCAAATCTTACTCTTCGGTGAATATTCCTGTCCTCCATCCTAAGGCCGTTTCAGTTGCAGTCATTGGATTTATGTTAAAATGACCATAAAAGCCTGCTCTGATTCAAGGACAGCAAAAATAAATCCCATTTTTCAGTGTAGAAAAAAAAAAAAGATTTTTGGCCATCTGTAATTTACCTCAATCTCCATGTAAACTAAAGGAAAAATAATGCTAATTTATTTATAAGCAATTAGTCTACTTCCCTTAAACATGTTAAAAAGAATTTACTTTAAATTTGTGCCTTGTTTTGGTTCTTTGAGCCTATGTCTTTCTATGTAGCCCAGGCTGGCCTTGAACTCTCAATCCTTTAGTCCCAGCCAACCAAGTGCTGAACTACCACACTCCTCTATTCTTATTTTTAAACCATTCTCATTATGGTATTTCTTTTTCCTTTTTTGTATAAAGGGAGTTTTTCAAAGAATTCTCTATAGAGATGTTTTAAGATACTTAAATCTTAAAGACACTTTTTTAAAATTCATAAAGTACTGGGAAAGCAACACCATACAGTGAAAATGAGGGCTATAGTGAAGTGAATTAGAGCAGAACACTTTGCTGTAAATTCTGTCTTAAGATTCAGTTATTCTTAATTTATATGCTTATTTATATATACATCCCTAACTCTTTGGCTGGCTCTTGGGACCCTATTCCTCATACTGGATTGTTGTACCCAGCCTTAATACCAAGGGAGTTTCTTAGTCTTACTGCAACTTGATATGCCATGCTTTGTTGATACCCATGGGAGGCCTGCCCCTTTCTGAACAGAAACAGAGGAGGAGTTGTAGCTGGATAAATTTTTCCCACTGGCTGATACCCAAATAACCAGTCTGAGGCTTAATATTAATCACAAACTGTTTGAGGTATGGATCAGGCTTCTTGCTTGCCAGCTCTTATACCTTAAATTAACTAATTTCTCTTAGTCTATGTTTTGTCACATGGCCATGGCATACTGGTCTGCTGGCATCTTGCTTTTTGGGTGGCTGGATGGCATCTGCCCAATCCACCTTCCTTCTCTCTGTATCTCTCTTCAATTTCCTGCCTGGCTATAACCTGTCTTGCCATAGGGCAGAGCAGCTTCTTTATTAACCAGTGGTAGCAACACATATTCACAGCATATAGAAAGATACAGCAAGGAGTGGATTTCCGGAGACGGGGGCGGGCAGAGGGGAGGTGGGAGGAGGGAATGATAAGAGAGAAGGAAGGGGAAACTGTGGTCAGGATGTAAAATTAATTAATTAATTAAAACGTCTCTACATAATAATTACATATAGAAAATAATGTCAATTATATATTATAAATACTTAGTCACCTTAAAATTAATATACAGAAAATTTGCAAAGGAATTATGCTAAGAGTGTGAGAATAAAGATATGGTAGGTATGTAGAGAAGAATGAACATTCCTGTATGTACTTGATTGCTTTTTATAATTTGGTCTGGATTGTTTAATAGATTTTACAATGTGGTATTTGATCAATTACAACAAAACTTGTTTCCTAAATATTTTATTTTCAGTCATTATACAACAGCATGTTAACATGTTCATTCGTGTCTCTATAAACCACATCATGAAATGCACAAAACTTCGGAACTTGAAAGCTGTTAACAATGAAAAGAACCTTGTCCTTAGGTTTGATGAAGTGAAGTATTTTTCTGTACAGGTAATGGTAAAATTCTCTTCTCAATGTGATGATGTGTCTTTATAGTTTCAAACATTCTAAGTACTTACATTTTTTGGAAAAAAAAAAAAGGCAGACAAGAACCAAGAGTCCCACTTTTTCACTCGGGGGATTCTGCAGTGTTTTTCTCCCGTGCGGTGGCCTGGGGCGTTCCTGAGGACACCGTGCTGTGAAGTGCCTGCTCCCTGCGTGCGTGCTTGACGCTTCTTCCCTGGCAGGCTCCTGGGTGACCCTCTAAGCCATCTAAGCGTTTACCTAAGGAAGCCGCCTCCCCCCCCCCCCCCCCCCCCCCCCCCCCCCCCCCCCGTCCCCTCTGCAGTGTGGTCCGCGGTTCTCCATTCTTTCCTCCCTCTCCTGTTCCGTCCTCTCCTCCAGTATCTTCTCCCCATATGGACTCCTCCTGCTGTTTTCACATAGATGACACAATCTTTGTAACAACCCCAAATACCTCTTTCCCTGCCCCCTTTCTCTTCACACACAGAGACAGACAGACAGACACACACACACACACACACACACAATCTTCACAGATATAGAAAGTGAGGCACTACAGGAGTTAAAGGACTTGTTGGGGCCATGATGCTGGGACGCAGTGGAGCTGGAACTGCATAAGTTCCGGCTTGAAATCATACTCCATAAAACTGCCTCTCAACCGGAACTTGTGCTTCTGTTTACAGTTAAGCTTCTTAAAGGCTTACATAGAAATAGTGAAAGCTTTCTTTAAAGCTTTCTTTAAAATAGTGGCCGATTGCCCAGGGGTCAAGAGTACCAGCTGCTCTTGAAGAGGTTCAGTTCCCAGCACCCACGTGAGGCTGTAACTCCAGTCTTAGGGTATCTGACGTCCCCTCTGGCCTCTGTGAGTACCTGCATGCATACAGTGTGCAGACATGCACTCAAGCCCACGAACATACACACATAAAATAAATAAATCTTTTTAGAAGAGTAGTACTATACTTTACAGTTACAGGGTTCATTAATTAGTCTAAGAATTTCTTAATTGTTTTATATTGCATTTTACTGAAATTCTAAAGCATTTCATCTATGCTCCATATGTCTTTGTAAACTTTATTTCAACTAAATGTTGAGTAGGAAAGATAATTTTTAGGCCTGAATTCTTAAAAAGTAACAAGAGGGTTCAGTGAGCAGAGGCATTGGTACCAAGCCCAGTGACTTGACTTTGATTTCTGGGTCCCGACTCCTACAAGCTGTCCTCTGACCTCTATCTACCTGTGCATAGGGTCACATGTGCTCCCCCTCACATACATACATACATATGTACACACATACATACATGAATAAATGAATGTAAAAGAACACCAAACAAGGCATAGTTTGAAATTAATCTAGTCTATTGGAATGTCGATTGTATAAAGCGATGGCTTTCCCTGACATTTTCATATGTGTGAAGAACATACTTAGATCCTATTAAGCTCTCCATCACCCTTCTTCTCCCACCCCTTACCCCTCCCAATCACTGATAGCCTCTTTCCTCTTATGTCCCCTGTCTTTTTCCCTAAATTCCAGTCAGGAGAGAGCACTAGTCTTTGTGAGTCTGGCATATTGTGTTCAACACGATCGTCTCCAGTCCCATATTTTTCCTGGAAATGACATAGTTCCACTTTTCTATGACTGACTGACACGTCACTGTGTGTGTGCTACATTTCTGACACCATTCAGTCCATTCCCGGACCCCTAGGCTGATGCACTGCCATCGGCATGGGTATGGAGGCCAACACTACCGTGTGCTGACTTGGATTCTCCTGTATCGGAAGGGATGTGACTGGTCCAGATGGTCATTCGGTCTTCATGTTTTTAAGGAGCTTCCTTATCACTCTCCATTCCCAAAACCAGTGATGCACAGCTCAGCCCCGAATCCTCCCAAGCCTGTCTTGTTTTCTTCTAGATGAGAGCTTTTCTGATTGGAGTAAGATGGAATCCACATTGTTTTGATTTGCAGTCTCCGATGGCTAAAAACGTTGAGCATTTCTTCATGCTCTTTTTGTTATTTGGGCTTATCATTTGAAATGTAACTATCCAGTTCATTTGCCCATTTGTTGATTGGGGGTTATTTATCCTTTCAGCATTTTGTCTTCTGAGTCCTTTACATATTCTGGATATTAATCCCCTGCCTGGTGAGCAGCTGGCAAGGAGAATTTGTTTTCCGGTGCAGAAGCTTTTCAGCTGCTGCAGGCGGGCTTGCCCGTTCTGGCTGTTGCTCCCCGAGCTGCTAGAGCTCTGTTCAGAAAGTCACTGCCTCCGAGAGTGTCTGAAGTGCTTTGATCTCGGTCTCTTAAAGTCTCAGGTCTTACACTAACCTCGTCCATCACCTCTGGATTTGTTTGTATACAAGGTGAAAGGTGGGGATCTAGATCTTTCTTCTGCATGTGGGTATTTGGTCTTTTCTAGCACTGTTTGCTGAACTGTCTTTTCTCCAATGTATACTTTTTGTGCCCGTGGAAAATCAAGTGGCTGTATGACCTTAGGTCTGGGCCCTGTAGTTGACTCCTTTGTCTGTGGCTGGCTTTACCCCAGTGCCAGGCTGGTTTTGTTGCTATGGCTCTGTTAGGATAATTTGAAATCAAGATAGCTCTAGCGTTGTCCTTTCTGCTTAAGATACCGGAATCACTTCATCTTTGTGTGTAATTTCAGTCGAGTGCTGAGTGCACCTTTTTATGTATAGTTAAAAAGACAAAGCAGGCAATAGATGATTCAAAGGATCATCATTAATATTAGACATAAACAGGTCCTGATTTTGTTGATATTAGAATATGTGGAATGGTGAACTTGAAAAGTCACAAAGCTAACATGTAAAAATTAATAGTTAGTGATGCCCATGGTATAGTATACCTTACGGATATATTTATTTGGAAATGATGTCTGAAATTCAGGCTTGAAATTTAATACTTCTTTTCATGCATTTTGGTATTGAGGTTCCCAGACGTCAGGATGATGAGCGGAATAATATTTTCTTGGAACTAATGCAAGATGGAGGAAACATAGAAAAACCTCCACTTTCCTTGGGCAGTGTTGAATCACACCTTTATGAAGTAATACAGGTATGTATAAAATATCCATTTTACCCCCAGCTACATGGGGACCCATACCTGTAATCTCAGTACTTGGGGAGTACAGAGAAGACAGTTATGAGTTCAAGGTCATCCTCAGCCACATAGTGATTTCAAGGACAACCTGGGCTATGTGAGACATAGTTTCAAAAAAAAAAAAAAAGTAAAAAAGAAACCTTTTATTTTTTTTTAAATCTTGGTACCATACTGTCTAGTTGGTATTTGTCACTGTGGTTTCTGATGTCTGATGGATTCTTTTTGTTTAGCACATGCATAGGAAACAACGTTCATTATAAACGTATGAAAACATATTAGGATTGCCAGATAGCTTGAGGCTTAAACTAAGAAAACTTGGAATTCCCAAGCAAGAGCATATCATTTGGAGCTATTGGGGGCAGCATGGAGGAGTCTGCCTTACTCTCTGACCTTGCCTGGTGTGGGCTTTGGAGAAGTGCCTGTGCTTCAGGGGTCCGTAGGAAACACAGTGCAGGGTGATGGCGAGCAGGAAAAAGGATGCTTACCAAAGTACTCAGCATGAAGTATGTAAGGTTCTCAGCCGTGAAGTTGGAAGCAGTAAAAATGCTCAGGAAGAAGAATAAACCACAGAAGTTGGATAGGGTAGCAGAGATATCCACAGATGGGGACCAAGGATGACGAAGACTTCAGAGCCTGTCCATGCCTTTGGGGTGTGAAAGGCCTCCCACCTATCCAGGAGCTTGTCATGGAGGTTTGCATTTAACCCTCAAAACCAGAATTGGGCTTGATTTCCAGAAAGGGAAGTCCACCCAGCAGAAACATTGCTGCCCCTGCACATTTATTTTTGTTGTTCACACCTGGATTTTCCTTCTCCTGAACATTCATTGTATTTGTATTTTAATTTAGTTAAAAGTCATGTTGTACTTGTATTTTAGCTACTGAGTTCATGTATATTTAAAAATGATTTCATTTTATAATACTCTTTAGATAACTTGCAAATACAACCATGAATAATTCTACATTTATTTTCTAGAAAGGCTGCTTTACCGAAGTATTGCAAATGATGCATAGACACACCGTAAGAGCTTTACAAACCTTCCTAAGATTTATGCATGTGTGATATTTTAACACTGTATAGAATTTACTCTGATAGTTCATAGCCTAGTTTTTAAAATTTTTTCATTACACTAACCATAGCCATGTGAATTAATAAAAATATGTGACATAGAAAAAAATCACAATATTTGCTCATAAATTCATTTTAATATAAAAATTTGGTATCATTTTCAGACTCAATTTAGCTTTTTTATATTTTTATAATAATTATAATATCGTTCCCTCTTCCATTTTCTCCCTCCAACCCCTCCCATGCACCCCTCTTGCTCGTTCTCAAATTCATGGTCTCTTTTTCTTTAACTGTTATGTATATACGTAATAAATATGTTTGATCTTATTAGTGAATTGTGGAAGAGAGGATTAGAAATCACCGGATGAGACAGGAAATGGCTCTGACTGCTTTCAGTGCACAGACCAAAGAGCCTCGCTGGAGAGTCCCTGGGGAGGTGTTTGCAGCTCCTAATTCCGAACCGACTTAGATGTTAGTAATTTGATTAACTGGGCAATCCGAGACACTCCTGCTGTCTCCTGGCCAGAACGGGGGTGAGGAACACATCAAGTCACTGAGTACGGGGTCCTTTTTCCCTTCACACATGGTCAACTTGGGTTCAGAGGTGAGGTTGCTTGTCTCGGTCTAAATTTGATCTGGGGTGCCATTGAAAGGCATGTGAATAAACCATCTGAAATACATACATATATGAAACATGATATAAAATATGTACATATCCGTCAATATCTTAGCATGATCCTACTGATTACTCTAGGTTAAAACTTTGTACATTAGCATTGTATTTTTTAAGATGAAATTTTAAGATGAAAGGCTCACCACATTCCGGGGACTGAACCAAACTCTCTTGGAGTTCTTCGTGTAAATGAGCTTTGGTCCTTTTAACCAGAAGATTGAGACATGGCCACTTCCTGTCTCTCCTCTAACAACATCATTCTGCTTTCAGTTTATCTGCAGGTTGGAGGTAGAGTTCATGTTTTCCTACGGAAACTTTGGTTATGGATTTTCACATCAGGTTAGTTCCCTTCTTTTAAAAAACATATTCTGTTTTAGCTCATCAATTAAACCGGCCTGTTCTAAGCCTCTGTTTTTTTCCAGCTGGGCAACTTTAAAAAATAAGCATTTTTAGGGCTAGCATACAGAGTCTGATGACCTGGGTTCATTCCCAAGAGCCCACAGGGTGGAAGGAGAGGGTCTTCTCCCACAAACTGTCCTCTGACCTCAGACATGCACTCCCCCTAAAAAAAAAATAAATAAATGTTTAAAAGTAATCATTTAAAAATAAATGCTGTTTCACATTCTGCTCCTGAGATAAAAGGGATTTTCTGCACACACACACACACACACACACACACACACACACACACACACACACGCACACACACACACCAAAAAAACCCACCCCAAAACAAACAAAATAAAACAAAACACTTTACCATGTGTTTGATCATATATTTCAAATGATGATATTTTATTCAAAATGAATTTGTTGTAAGACTTCCTTTTTATTGTTTCTACACATTTTTATTATTAAAACCAATGTTATCTTAGGCATTTAACTGAGTGTGGAATTTTACATCTAGAAATATTCATCAAAAATGGAGTCATTGGTCATACACATATACATGTAGTCTCAGCATTCAGATTGAAGAAAGAATTACTCTAGAAAAATCATATATATATATATATATATATATATATATATATATATATATATATATATATATATATATATACTGTCACCTAGTATTTGAAAGAACTCTCTTATTTTGTTTTGTTTTTTGAGACTGTTTCTCTGTGTAGTCCTGGCTGTCCTGGAACTCACTCTGTAGACCAGGTTGGCCTCAAACTCACAGAGATCCACCTGCCTCTGCCTCCTGAGTGCTGGGATTAAAGGCATGCACCACCACCACTCAGCAAAAGAACTCTTGATATCCCTGGATCATCAGAATTCCGGGCGTGTTAGCAAAGCCCCATTAATGCTGTTGATGTATAGTGTGTGTGTGTCGGGGGGGGTGACCTTTCATTTCAGATTTTTGTTTAATAGTCTCAGATGAGTTTTGATTAGTAATTGATAATAAGGAGATTAATCTTACTGAATAAGTCTACTGCAATGTTGATTAAAAAATCCCTATGATATGTTTAAATTTTTGTCCACAGTATATCATGATTGTTAATATATTTTGAAACAGAAGTGTACAGATAGGAGCCACAAAAACAAGCCTTTTTTCCTCATCTGCTTTTACTGTTGTTTCCATTTGTTTATTTATTGTGATGCTGGGTGCTAACCCAGAGCCTTGGGCACAGCAGGCAAATGCTCTGCCACTGAGTTACGTGCCCAGGACATGACTTCGAGGAATAGAGACTTTCTATCCAGCTCAGGATGGTCCTGAGTTGTCTGTGGGCCCAGGGTCACTTTATACTCCTGGTTCTTACCTCAGACTGAGTGCTGAGCTTACTACATTAGTGTACTGGTTATTTTATTTTCTGTGTGTGCATGTATGCACATTAGGGTGTGTGTGTGTGTGTGTGTGTGTGTGTGTGTGTGTGTGTGTGAGAGAGAGAGAGAGAGAGAGAGAGAGAGAGAGAGAGAGAGAGAGATCTGTGTGCACACGCGCACGCGCGTAGAGGCTAGAGATAACTTTCGTCATTCCTCAGGAGCCATTCACTTGGTTTTTTGAGAGAGTCTCTCACTGGGACCTGGGGCTCACCAATTAGAATAATCCAGAGATCCCCTGTCTCTCCCCAGCACTGGGATTACAATGCATGCCACCATGCCCGGCTTTTTAGGTGGGTGCTTGATGTTGAACTGAGGTCTGCATGCTTGCACAGAGAGCCCTCAGCTGACGGAGCCATCTCTCTAGCCCTTATAGGCTTTTCCTGTGATGAGCGTGCCTTGTTAGACTCCCCGCTGCCATTATTTCTGTAGGTTACATTTAGCAGTCATAGCTCATGAATATCAATTTTAGAGGGAGGTTTTGTGTCCAAACATAAGCATAACATGTAAGAGCGTTCTTAGAGAGAGGCTGTTTTCAGATTTGCAGTCCCAGCACTAGAGAGGTGGAGCTAGGAAGAGCTCTGGGCCTTGCTGGCCAGCCACCATAGCCTACTTAATGAGCTCCAGGCCAGTGACAGACCTGAGGTTGTCCTCTGGACTACACACACAGCACACACATGTAGCGCACACACCTTCAGATACAAATGAGCACATACATATGCACACAAACAAATGCACACAGAGAGAAAGCAACAGCCTATTTTCAGATTAAAACTAGGCAAGTATTGTTTTATGTACGTAGACCTTACTGAAATGTAGAACAAAGGTATTACATGGAAAAGAACTGGTCATCCAACACAGTGCAACTTGACCAAGAACCTCTCAGGGATATGCTCCCTGCTCACCTATTGTGATGATGTGAAAAGAGCTCCCCATACGAGGCAGAAACATCTACACTCATGCTCTGTGGCGTACACCACTTTGTAATATTGAATGAATCACTGCTCTTCAATGTGATTTATAAAATATTCCCACTTACCTCATATTTTTATCAAAAGGGTGAGAGATATGTAATACTTGGCAAATGTTTAGCAGCCAACAATTAAGTCCCTTTCTTCATCCCTCTTCCACTTACATGCATCACTTAAGAACTGTATTGGCCTTCAGGGGCTGGGGGCTGTTAGTCCTATTATGGTGAATTATACTGTAATATGCTTACATTTTTATTCAGTTAAAACCTCTTCAAAAAATCATCGAACCATCTATGTTTATGAAGATTGCACCTCCTCCAGAAAGGACAGATCCTGTCACGTAAGTGTTTTGATTTCATTTCATATATTAAGGTCAAGTTGCATTTTAAGGTGTGATGGAGTGTATTAGTTATCTTAAGAACCCTGAGAGCCTGGCGGTGGTGGCACATGCCTTTAATCCCAGCACTTGGGAGGCAGAGGCAGGCAGATCTCTGAGTTCGAGGTCAGCCTGGTCTACAGCACGAGATCCAGGACAGGCACCAAAACTACACAGAGAAATCCTGTCTGGAGGGGGGCGAGAACCCCTGAGAACGTGGCCAAGATGGGCTAGAGCCTAAGGTAAGGGAAACACTGAATTCCTTTGCTTAATAAGATAAGACAAAGAGCCGGGTGTGGTGGCTCATGCCTGTAACCTCAACACTTGGGAGGTAGAGGCAGGAGGATGGAGAGTTCAGGGGGTTACTTGAAGCCCTGTGAAAAACAAGCAGACAAACGAAAAGATGGGACAGGTACTGAGTTTCAAGGTGTCACCCTGGAGAAAGGAGCTGAGGTCTAGAGATGAGAGGAGATGGAGGAGATGGGTGACTCCTTCATGAACGAAGACTTGGCTCAATGGGGTACTTAGCCAGCAAGATCCTCCTTATGGAATAAAAAGGAAGGACTTCTAAGACCCATGTGCCCAGTGGTTGCCAGTTTCTGCTCTATAGGACAGTGTCAGCCCACCCCACAGCACCCCAACTGCTACTTCCAGATGGGCTGTACAACAAAACAAACAAGCAGACAACTTCTACAGTGATGGGAAGTTGTTGCAACTTTCCCTTTCTACAGCCAGCAGACCGGTTTCGACTTTGGAGGTAACCTGTTCTTCATGTGGGTGCATTGTTCTGGCCAGTTTACCCAGGGACCAAGACCAAAGTACTGAGTAGAGCTCAAAGTGAGAGGGACTTTGTAAGCAGGGGCAGGCTGCTGGGCCAGTATGACCCAACAGGTCTGACGGAGTCTTGCACATAAATGAAAGAGAGAGGTACTGTTGGGCTCCTTAAGGGAGGCCCCTGTGGGTGAATTATACAATAAGTCCTTGGGATGTTTGAATGAAACCCTGATGCCCCTACAAATTACAGCTCTGCTTTTGAGAAGGAACTTTGGACTACTGGTGAAGCTTAGTAGAGATTGAATGTGTAAGCAGAGGCCATGAGGTCACCATGGAACCTCAGCTGCCATCACACTGAGGGGTGTCTGACTCCTCAGCCATGAAGTTGGGGGTCCTGGTGATGCTATACCTTCTAATGGAAATGGTGCCTGTGATTACTTACTTACCCTGGATAAAGGTGCTTATTCTGGACACAGCCGGGCTTTCCCAATATGCGCTGCTTTTCTGTAGACTTAAAAATGTCCCTTCCACCATCTTGGTATTCCACACTGTGGTGTTCAGATTGGAGAACTCAATTCACAGCAAATGCAGTACAATAGTCTATCCATGATCCATGAAATCCATTTTTACTATGTTCCCTACCGCCCTGAAACAACCCCCTCAACTTAACAGTGGAATGGCCTCTCCCATAAGTCAGTCACAGCAGAAACACTCAGACCTGGGCAAGGTTCTCCAGAAGGTTTTGTATACTCTGAATCAGTTACCAGAACCTGATGTGTTTTCTCCCGTAGCCCGTATTCAGTGGTCCATGAATCAGAGAGTGGAAATGAGAACAGCTCCTCGTCACCACTCCTCGTGATTCATGAACCAAACCTCTCCTGTTCCGGTGGCCTTCTCTTCTGCTGCCCTGAACTAGAAGTTAAGGCAACCACATGGCCACAGGGTCCTCATGGCCCAGCATCAACAGGCAAAGGAGGAAGTCACTGCCCTGGTAAAGCTAAGGAAAGCCTGGAAAAGGGGAGGAATCTCTTAATATTACCATCCCCCACAATTAAAGGATTTTTGCATTAAAAACTGTGTGGGGGTCTAGAAAAATAGCTCAATGGTTAAGAGCACTGGCCATTCTTCCAGAGGACTGGGGTTCGGCTCCCAGCACAAGGTAGCTCACAACCGTCTGTATCTCCAGTTCCAGAGTCTGACCCCCTGCTTTGGCTTCCAATGGGCACTGCACACACATGGTGCTCAGGTACCCATGCAGGCAAAAGACCAATACACACAAATAAATGAAATCTAAAAAAAAAAAAAATTCAGAAAAATCATCTGGCATGGGGGCATGCCATGGCATGCGTGTGGAAGTCAGAGGACAGCTTGTGGAAGGTGGGTCTCTCCTTCCACGTGATGCCAGGGATGGAACGCAGGTTCAGTTTTGGCAGCAAGTACCTTTACCTGCTGAGCCATCTCACTGGCCCTGAATCAGAATTCAATAAGAAAACTACAACATGTAGTCTGCACAGGACTGTTCATGGCCCTGAGGAGTGAAAGTTTCAACCACACCACCAGGGAAGGACCCAGCTGAAGTGCTTGCTAGTGTAGAGAAAGGACAGAATGGGCAGTGATAGAAGGAAAAGGTATAGGCTGTGACATGGGGGTACCTCCAGAAACAAGGGGTGTGCCTCCCTCTTGTATTTCCTCACTGTGGTGATGTATTGTGTACCCTAATAAATTAGCCTGAAGATCAGAGAACAGAACAAGCCAGTAGATTAAACACAGAAGCCAGGCACTGGTGGCACACACGCCATTAATTCCAGTACTTGGGAGTCACACGCCTTTAATCCCAGCACTAGGAAAGCTGAGACAGGACATGATATGGGTGGGCGGAGAAAGGTATATGAGGCGTGAGGAGACAGGAACTAAAGTCTTTCAGCTGAGGAAAGCTTTTCAGGCTGAGGAGTCCTAGAGATAAGAGGTGGCTTGTTCTTTTGTCTCTCTCATCTTTTAGCATTCACCCCAATATCAGGCTCCAGGTTTTTTATAAAAAGACCATTTAGCAATTCGAGTTACACCTCACCAGTTAGTTATGAATATTTGTGTGTGTGTGTGTGTGTGTGTGTGTGTGTGTGTGTGTGTGTGTAAGTAGTTTTGTTTTTTTCTCTCTCTCTCATCCCTACATCATACAACATCACAAAACTGAAGTTTTGGAATGTTGAGAAGAAGAGTAAACATTACTCAAAACTTTATTTCCTCTTCTGGTCTGTTGGCAGAGGGAAGTTGTATGGCGTCAGGTGGAACTGTGATCACGTGATTGTCTTCATTTGGAGGTTCAGAATGATTGAAGAAAGGTTGGGCGGTGGTGAACATGCCTTTAAACCCAGCACTTGGGAGGCAGAGTCAGGCAGATCACTGTTGTGGAATATTCGTACACTGTGTGAAGACATATTGCTGTGATTGATGTAATAAAGAGCTGAATGGCCAATAGTTAGGCAGGAGGTATAAACAGGACTTCCTGGGCAGAGAGAGGAAGTAGGAGGAGATAATTGAGGCTCAGAGGAGACACCAATGGAGACATGGAATGAGTTGGACACACAGAATGGGAGAGAGGTAAAGGCCATGTGGTAGAATGTAGATTAATAAAAATGTGGGTTAATTTAAGTTATAAGAGCTAGTGGGACAAGCCTAAGCTAAGGCCAAGCTTTCATTATTAATAATAAGTCTCCGTGTCATTATTTGGGAGCTGGCTGACGGGACAAAGAAAGACTCATTACAAACCACTGGGTACCCATGTGGTGCTACTACTTCCTGAATTGGGGAATACTATGGAAAGAACCTAGTTAGAGAATGGAGAAGTTGTGCATTCTATTTTTGAACATGTTACACTTAAGGTGCTCATCTCTGTATATAGCAAGGACTAGTGTTTACAGAACTGCCAAGTGTTAACTGTGACACTCCCTAGCTGTTAGACGTGTAAGGAAATTGTTTAATCTCTTTACTGCTGGCTTTCTTGTGTGTCAGGTGGATTCAGTAATTCTTATCCTGTGGGTTTGATGGAATAAGACAGTCAATATAGACAGACACATGCGTACAGTGCCTGCATGAAACCTAGTCCATAGAATTAGTTGTTCGAGAGAATGAGGGACTCTGAAGGCAGATTTGGCTATAAATGGTGGTCGAAGGACCAGACTCAAATACTTTCTATTTCTCCTTCCTTTGCATCTCCTCTTTTGCCATCCCTCCTGCCCACAACCTTGATAGGACAAGTAACCAAGAGAGCACTTCTTCCTTAGCTCCGTCTTCTTGACGGCCCATGGTAGTGGGTGAGCTGGTACAAGAAAACAGTTCAAAACAGCAGCGACCACACTGATTTTAGGGATGTGCTTTTATATAACGTTGGCATTTAACTCTATTACCATTTTTCAGAAATGTCATTACTCCACAACGAGTAGAATACCCAGCATTCTTATCCCCAGAATTTAATGTTACCGTCGGGTCTGCTGAAGCCAGCCAGCCATCTGCGGCGGTGCGACTTGAAAAACTCCGTGAGAAACCCCGGGAAAGGTAACGAGCCACATTTCATTTATGTACATGTAGTCTGTGTCATTCTAAATTCCCCGTGTTGAGCCACGGGCTTCCCGCTGGCCCAGGAATGCTCATTGTGATGCTGTTTCATGTGTCCATTGACTATTTCTCAGCAAATTAGGACGTTATTATGGTAAGAAAAGAGGTGAAACCCCATTCATAAGAAAGAAAACAAGATGCTTCCTTCATGCATGTCTCTTCTCTGTCTCCTGTGCTCTTTTTCCTCAGCCTCCTCTCTGTCGGTTCCTTCTGGCTCACGCTCCATCTCACTGGCTCGTCCTTTCTTTTTAATCTGCTGATGAACTAATTCAAGCTTGGATTGTAGTTACTTTCTCCCTCAGTTATGGGATTTCAGCCTTGGCTTCTCATCCCTTGGTCATAGTAGTCTTTGTGCTAAATAGTCCAGACCTCTGTAAATTACCACAGACATTGTGGCTTAATCTGTAGACATTTATTTCTCCTACTTCTGGTGACAAGATCCAGCATCATGACACTGGCTGAATGCATTTCATGACCTATAATTTAAGATGTCTTTGTTAACCCTTTTCAGTCTTTAACCATTCAATTCTTAAGGTTTTGTTTTTTTTGAGAAAAGATATGGTCCTTGAAACATACCATTGTGTGTTTGGTACTTGGAGAATACATGACATACAGTAGATATTCAGTGAGTCTTGGCTAAACAGACAAGATGTCAGATTCGATGACAAAGGTGTGTCCTCTGGTCATCCAGCTCATGTTAATGAATTTATGAAGATGATAACTAATACGTGCACACACTCACTTTCTATGTAGGTCCTCCTAGGTTATTTCAGACTATCTCACTGTATAACATCGACAACAAAATCTGGATGAAATCGATTCTGAAATTTTGTTTGAAAGCAATGAGTTATAAAAGCAGTGAGTATTTGCTGATCCAAGATTCCAGGAAATACAGAGGTCCAGGGATGTTGAGTCTGTTGTTTGGTGCCATCATTTTCAAGGGACTTGGTGGCAGCCAAGATGATAAAAAGCTGAGCAGAGCTAAGGTAGACATGCAGCCCTGAAGCAACAAAAGCCAGAGGTCAGCGTATCCCAAAGACGATGAGCTCCATAATACCCAGACTTGTACTTGGGCCTCCAGTGAGCTATGACAGACTGTGTCTAAATGCCATGGCCTAGTTGCCTTAGTTGCCTACCACTGATCCATACCACTAGTCTCTACTCTGGAGGTAGAAGTAAGAGTGAGCCTGAAAAACACTGATCTTTCTGAGAATGGAAGCCAGGTTTGATCACTCTAATCTTAATCTCAGATGTTTTGAGGTGATCTGAGTTACCAGGGTTCTTAACCTAGTAGACTGCCAGAGGTAAATGCATGCCTTCTCCAGAGGAAAAAACACACAAGAGCCTCAAATTCATTCTATAAAGTTCCAAATACAGTGTCCTGCACTCAGGAAGACAGCTATATGCAAGAGAATATAGTATTTATTATACACACACACACACACACACACACACACACACACCCCCTAAGAGCAAACAGTGAAAACAAATACACTAAGCACAGACTTACAGGAGAGCCAGATGTCAGAGTTATCGGATCTAGGTTCCAAATAGCAATGGTTGCTACAGATAGAGTGCTTATGCTTCGCACTTTCATATGCTGAAGCCATAATCCCTTACTGATGATGTTTCAGGGCAGCACCTTGCATTTTGTTGACTACAGCCTTATATTGAGGTTTAATCTGTTCTGTCATTTGTGTGTCCCCAAACTGGACACACAATGCAAGAGTGAGCTCAATTTGGTATAATTTTTTTTTTTTTTTTTTTCTGAGACAGGGTTTCTCTGTGTAGCTTTGCGCCTTTCCTGGAACTCACTTGGTAGCCCAGGCTGGCCTCGAACTCACAGAGATCCGCCTGGCTCTGCCTCCCGAGTGCTGGGATTAAAGGCGTGCGCCACCACTGCCCGGCCTCAATTTGGTATAATTTTTTTGGTAAGACTGATATTGGGTTCTTTTATCATGCAGCACGTGATGCTTGCCTTTGTAATCTATTTATTTATTTATTTATTTTACACCTTTGCAATTTTTTTAATTTGTTAGTTTTTGTTAGAATCCATACTGCATTTCTGGAAATACACTATCAAAATGATGTTATTCTAATTCTACCACTTTGTTTCTATTTGTTAAATGGAATAATTTTATAAATCTCCTTCTTGGTTGCCCAGTGTTAACATTTCCTGTAGGGAAGGATGGGTGAATGCTGGATTGCCTTTTTCCTTCAGTCACACCTGGTTCTTAGGTTGGTTTCTGATCATCCTTCAAAAGCAATGCATTGGTTGTCTCTTGCTGCATTGAGAACCACCCTGAATGTAGGTCTATTGCTAGTTTCTGTAGACTACCCTTTTTATCTTTTCTTCTTGGCTGGGTTCATTTGTATAGTCAGATGACAGCAGAAATAGATGAAACACAAGAAAGCTTTGCTCACTCATCTGCCAGTTGGTTCCAGCTAAGAGCTGGGCCCTGAGTTTTCCTTGTGACTTCCCGGTTGGTTCCAGCTAAGAGCTGGGCCCTGAGTTTTCTTTATGGCTTCCCAGTTGGTTCCAGCTAAGATCTGGGCCCTGAGTTTTCCTTGTGGCTTCTGGTAGGCTGTCCTGGCTTCATTACAGAAGGGCATTCTGAAATCAGCATTTGTACCACTGTGCAAATGCTCCTCATACTTTTGTTTATGTCCCATTAATGGTGTCCCACTGGCCAAGGCACGTCTCATGGCCATCCTTGGGGATAAATACATGGGGAGTTCTATAATGAGATTTTTGAAGAGAAAAGTAGTTAGGAAATATTGTAGCCAAATACAGTGTTCCCTGAATTCTTATATATGGAAGTCCTCAATACTGACTTTGGTTTTAAAGGAAGTTTTAACTACTTTGCTATGAGGTTTGTTATAAATGCCACTCACGGGCTTTTGGTTGCTTCTTACATTCTATTACTTTCTGCAGGGATCTGAAAAGACTCAGGAATTGCGCTGCCTCTGCAGCCGCTGCCATCCCCAGACTTCCCACTTGCACATCCTCTCAGTGAGCTCCAGCAGCACATGGCAATTCGCCATATAATGTATATCATATCAGTTAAGAAGCAAGAATTTTTTTAAAGGGGAGAACATGCTTTGTTGAAAAAATATTATATATACATTCAGTGACAAAAAGCATGAACATATAGTGGTAGACCAGGTGTTTTCCCCCCCTCCCCGACCCCAGTTCTTACTGTTATTATTTGTGTTGCTGGGGGGGTTGAACAGAGGGCCTCAAGCATTCTAGGTAAATGCTCTCTATCATTGTGTTACACCACCATCCTTCTCAATTAATATGTTTTAATCTCTGACATAACAATATTTAAAGGTAGAACTTCAGGGAAATAACTGGGGCTAGATTAGGTTTGAGGATGAAGTCCTTGTAATGCAATCAATGTCCTTATAAAAGTTACAAAAAGAGGAGAAGACATGGCATCCATCCCTCCACTATGAGAATACAGGATGATGGCCACCTGAAGCCAGGAGACATTCACCAGCATCTGGGCAAGCTGGCACCTCGATATTAGACATCCTACCTAGCCTTGAGAATTGTGAGAAATAAATGTCTGTTGTTTAATCCACCCAATATATGGTATTCTGTTATTGCAGCCCAAACTGACCAAAATAAGGCAATTAAAACACCAAGAATACATAATACATAATTGAACAATTTTGAAATGTGTTTATAAAGCTTAAATAATGATAATAAAGTTATTACCTGCATAAGAACCACATCGTTATCCCTAATGGCAGACACGCCTTTATGAGAGGTACCTGTCTCCTTAATCATTCCCTATACCCACGACCTTGTTTTGTTGTAATCATTGCTTTTAACTGCATCCTTAGATATTACTTACGTTGTTAGTTTCTCACTTTTGGAACTTCTTATAAATGGAACATATTGTATTATTCTTCTGTGAATTTTACTATATGTAAAATATATATGCACACACCCCTCTGCCACTTGCTTTTTTCATCTATAGCTGATGGCTTTGTTTAGGTTTGAAAACATGAAAAAGGAGTACAGAAATCTGAACACATGGATGGAGAAAGCTGAGTACTTGAAAAACCTTATTACTCCAAAAGTGGCTCTCCAAGATTCTGAGGTAACTGACAAAGTGCTTCTCTCGTCTGTGGCATGTACTACATTGTTTAATAGAAACATGCTTTGATAATGTAAAATGTTTGATCAGATAATTGCTTATTACCATTAAATAAAATGCTATTCACAGTTCACATTCTTTTCTATATTAACAATGTACCACCTGGTGGTAAGCGTTTATTCATAATTTATAAGGTTGAATTAATTGGCCAATTTAAAGTCTACCTTTCAGTGGCATTCAGCCTGTCCACCAAGTTGCATATCCATTACCACAATCAATTTTAGAACATTTTTACTATTTCTAAACAGAAGTAGCCTAACACCGTGAGTCAATACTTTCTCAGTTCTCCAATTGCCCTCTGCAGCAGCCAATCTATTTTCTTAAATATACATTTGCCCATTCCAAACATTGCATAAAAGTGGAATTATATATAAATACGTGGTCCTTTGTAGCTTACTTTTTTCTCTCTTACCATAGTGTTTTCCGAGTGCTTTCTTGTTGGTAGCATATATCAGCATTCCATTTGTTTCCAGATACATTTTATTTATGCGTTCATCCACTGAACACATGTGTATACTATTGTGGATATATATACATGTGGATGTATATACTATTGTATATACTACTGAGCTATAGTGAAGGATACTGCTGTGGACTTTCATGTGCAGACTTCTTTGTTTTCTTGAGATGGGCTGAGTTTCCCAGGCGAACCTCAAACTTGGAGTTCTTCTGCCCTAGCCTCCCAAGTGCTCAGATCACAGATGTGGACCAGAATACTTAGCTTTCTTATAGATGTTTTTGTGTGAACAAATGTTTTTAATTTTCCTTCAGGAATGCCCAGGACCAGAGGCTGGGTCAAATGGCAATTCACAATTTAAAGTTTTGAAAAATTGCCAAATTATTTCTACAAGCAGCTTTGCTATCTTACATTCCAAAAAAATGTGGGATGGTTTTGAGTCTTGGGTACTGGTTGGTTTTTCACATAGTCATTATTGCTAGTCCAAATGTTACTGACGTTATCGTGAATTCAAAGTGCTGACTCACACATTTTTAGTTTTCTGATGATGGATGGTGTGAACACTTTTTTCAAACACTCACCGACCATTTGTATATCTTCTTTGGATAAATATTTATTCAAATCTTTCAACAAATTTTAAATGGGATCTTTTGCCTTATTGTTGAACTGCAATGGTTTTTAAAAATGTATTTGAAATTTAGATATTCAATCTAACTTATACATTTTGGTTAATAAATAAAGGATTCCTAGCTCAGATAAAACATTTACTGAGATCACAACCCTGAAATACTAGTCATACTGTGTTGATATTTTTATGTTTTATAATTTCTCTGTAATAGTTGGGCAGCGATATAATGTTATGGGTGTTAAAATAATTAGTGTGTGCTAATATAGAGTGAATATTTGGGGAAACTTAGAACAGTGGTTAAAGAGGGTGGATTTTTGCTCTTGTTTTTAAAGGTACTTGATACAAAAGTTCAATGTCATCATACATTACAAATATAGACATAATTTTAAAGACATAGGCCATAATGTAGTCCAATGAAAATGCATCCCCTGGCACTCTCCCTCTCTGCGTGAAGTCACACAGTTAACACTGCTGTTGGCCTCTCCGTCTCTTCTGCTTTCAGTCCCTGACTTAAGATTCTCGGGTTTCTTCTCTCAGGAGCAGCAACTGCTCTTGAAATCATGCTCCTTGGATTGACTTTCTCACCAACTTCTTCTTGTCCTCTGTAAATTTAGAAGAAAAGTGTGTGTACTAAACTTGTATTAACTTTGTGTTCTTACCTATGAGTTTTATGACAGAAACTAATAATATTCATTAAATAAAATTATGAAAGCAGAAACATTTTAGTTCTTTAAGTATTTTGCCCAACATGTTTTCTTTCTTTCTGTGTGTGTCTAGGAAGTTAGTTTGATTGAAGTATCTGAACACAATTATAGTCTATTGGAAGAAGAGCATGAAAATGTGTCACATGGTAAGAAAAAAATCATGTTTATTTTTATGTTTATTATTAAGATAATTAAAGCAAGGTGTTATAAAAGTTACTAATTTGTTTTAAATGGGTTTTATTTTTGTCATACATCAATATATATATTTTTATTATTGTATCAATTACATTTGTATTTTGTAAAAATTTCAAAGAAAAGTTTTAGACCCCATTAAGAGTTTTTTAACTTTTAAAATTATTTTATGTGTGTGGATGTTTTGTCTGCACACATGCCTGTGTACCAAGTTTATTCCTGGTACCCTTAGAGGCCATCAGAGAGCATCATTTCCCCTAGGACTAGAGTTACAGGTGGTTGTGAGCCATCACTGGGTGCTGGGAAACGAATCTGGTTCCTCTGCAGGAGCAGCCAGTGCTCTTACTGCTGAGTCGTTTCTCCAACCCCAGGAGTTGAAGACATTGTAATGGCCCTTTGCTTCCTTAAAGATAGAAAAAATTTAAATCTCAACTGTGATATTTATAAAGATATTTTGTTAAGCATTTTGAACTGTAGAACTATTAAGATAGGGTGTGTGTGTGTGTGTGTGTGTGTGTGTGTGTGTGTGTGTGAAATAGAGAGAGGGGGAGAGACAGAGACAAGAGAGACAAAGAGAAAGAGACAGGCAGAAAGAGAGAGAAATTATGGTGGAGGGAATTCAATTCATATCTAACTTGAGAACTTAACCATAAATTATCAGTAAGAGATTTAGTTAATGAAAAGTGGTGTTTACACGGTCACCTAAACATCTCTCTCAAACTTACTTAGAAAGCAAGTGGAGGTATACCACTGTCTTTAAACACATGGTTATCTATCTGTAAAGTCTTTAATTCGAGTGTGTAATATAATTTAATGTTGCAAGACTTTTGCTGCAACTTAATCACCTTTCCAAGCTATTTCCATTTCCTCCTGCTGTGTGAGCCTTATATACAGATGTGTGCGTGTTCACATCTCTGTCACTGTGCTAACCTGGTATCTTCAACCTACACTAGGTGATGATGCAAGCTTGTTTTTAGTGCTGTTTTTACTGTTTAATTGCAGCACTAAAGAGGAAGCCTAGGACCTCACACTCGCTAGGCAAGCACTGTGCCACCCACCTCCCTCCACAGTCCTGACGCTCATGCTTTAAGTGGAAGATAATCACAGACTCTCTCTTCAGTACTGCATACGGAGAAAACATAGTATCTCTCTCCCTCTTACTGTGGGGTTTTTGTATTCTGTGTTTCACTTATCGAGAGGTTTTTTTGTTTTTTGTTTTTCAAGACAGGGTTTCTCTGTGTAGTTTTGATTCCTATCCTGGATCTCGCGCTGTAGACCAGGCTGGCCTCGAACTCACAGAGATTCACCTGGCTCTGCCTCCCAAGTGCTGGGATTAAAGGCGTGCGCCACCACTGCCCCAGCTTTCCAGAAGGCTTTTGTATTCGATTTTTTCGTATCCAATGGATCATCTAATGACTTGATTCCTTTTGGTATTTCTGAAGCCTCCAGCATTACATTGTGTGCATGTGTGCGCACACACACACACACACACACACCATACATACACATATACACACACAGACACACACAACATACACACACACATATACACATACAAACACACACACCATATGCGTGCAGAATTAAAAGATCTACACTAAACGACTTAGTTTCATATCACTAAGAACTAGAACAGAAACCAACTTCAAAGTTAGAGGAAATAAAGATCATGTTAGAAAATGTTTTTTCAATTAGAGAATAGAAAACATCAATAAAGCTTAGATTTTAAAAAGGTAAATAATTTTGACAAATTGAACTAGACTAAGAAAAGAATAAAATGTGGCTGGAGAAATGGTTCAGAGGTTAAGAGTCTTTGCTGCTCTTGCAGAGGACCTGGGTTCAGTTCCCAGCACCCATATGGCAGCTCACAACCATCTGTAACTCCAGTTCCAGGGTATCCAACACCCTCTTCTGACCTTCCCAGGCAACAGGCACGCATATGATGTACAGACATACATGCAAGAAAATACTCATATACGTAAAATAAAATAAATCTAAGAAAGAAAGAAAAATAACTTACTAGGTTAGCTGGCCTTAAATTCAAACAATCCACCTGCCTTTGCCTCCCACATGCCACTATACCTGGCCCCTCCCCCAATTTTATAATGTATAGTTTTTCTCTAAACTCGGAACAAGGTAAGGATGTCGTTCCCTGAGACTTGTATTGAGCACAGTACTACAAGTCCTAATAGAGCAATTGGTCAAGAAAAAGAGATAAATGCCATCCACCTCAGAAAGGAAGATGGCAAAATTCTGTTTTTACAGGACATGACCTGACATTTGTAGAATCTTTATTTAGCCTTTGATAATTTCACTTACAATGTATATCGTGTATCTTGTCTATATCCAATCCAAATCTCCCCTTACTTCGTCTGGACCTCCCAAGACTTTGCTTCCCAACTTCATGTTATTGTCTCTTTTTTAATAACTTATGAGCCCCGTGAGTGCTGCCTGCATGCATATGTGTATGCATCCATTGGAACATAGGCAGCCTACCAGCAGCCACACACCCAAAGAAAAATGACTGTCCTTTCTCTAGCAGCCATCGATGTCAACAGCTCCCCAGCTAGGGGCAGAACCTATGAGAGCCTGCCCCATCCACACTGGAGTGTTGACTGGCTTGTTTTATACAGGTCTCATGTAAGTAACCATAGCTGCTATGAGTTTGTGAGTGCAATGCCCACGTTATATCCAGCATACAGCATTTCACAACACACACACACACACACACACACACACACACACACACACACACACACACACACACACCGCCCCTGTCTTCTGAAAGTCTCTCTACTCTTTGTTCCACACTCCTTGAGGGGGTTGATATAAACGTTGCACTCAGTGCTCACTTCTCAGCATGCTGACCAGCCCTGGGTTTCTGCACCCACTGCTGCCCACTGCAGAGACAAGCTTTTCCCACCAAGGCTGAGAGCAGGACTAATATGGGTCCAGACACATGTGTAGAGGCAGTTTGACAGCACAGGACATGATCTTGTATGTGCAACACCCAAAAGACTCCACAAGAAAAACACACTCGGACTAATCAATAAATCTGACAAAGCTGAAGTTATAAAATCATGTAAAAAGCAGTTTCATTCTGCCTATCAACCGTGAGCTATCTGAGAAAGAAAGTGAATGGAAGATAATTAGAGACTTAGATGAGACTTGAAACTGTAAGATTTTTCAGGTGATAGATGAGAAAAATTCAATGACATTGGTGCAAGTGAGAATTCCTTTAATGAGTCAGGAAAAGTGCACGTACCCAAAGCACAAACAGATGGCCAGGCTGTGTCCCGCTAAAGAGCTTTTGACAGGGAACAGTGAGTGAAGAGGTAATATACAGATCTGCAAAGCATGTGTCTGGTAAATGGTACTATCCAAACTACATAAGGAATTTTTTCAACTCACTAACCACAATAACAAATCAAATTTAAATAACCTGATTAAAATGGCTTAGGCACTTGTATATAAATCTCTACAAAGAGAAAGACAAATGTTCAGCATCACTAATCCTCAGTTCAGTATAAATCAAAGTCATGTTAAAATGTCATCTTAGACCTCATCCGATGGTTGATACCAAAGAGAGAACATGCATTGGTCAGGATGTGAGGGAATGGAAAGCCTTGAGCATTGTTGGTGGACGGTAAACTGACTCAGGGGCTTGGGGAACAGTATGAAGATTACACACCAGTTCATGCACACATGTTCATATGTACATACAGTTTCTTGTTTCTTATCTGCTCCCCTATCGTCCTAGAAACTTGTCAGCCTGTTTTCACTAAGGTACTTTTCATGTTTGAATAGCTGCTTTAATAACTCTTTACTTGAAGGGAGAAAAATTATAATCACAGCTTATCAGTGTAGATACATGTGAGTAATTCAATGTTATTTAAAACAGTATTCATTATTTTTTAAAACAGATATCCATTATAGAAAATCTGATACTATTTCAACTGAGGTAAGAGAATCTCTTTTTTTTTTTAAGATTGATTATATTTTGTGTCTTGCCTGCCTGTGCAACACATTCATGCCTAGTTCCTGCAGAGGCTAGAAGAGGGCTAAATCTCTCCTGGAACGGGAGTTACAGATGGTTGTGCGCCGCCAGGTGGGGGCTGGGAATCACACCTGGGTCCTCTGCCAAGGCAGCCAGTACCCTTAACCACTGAGCTTAACCATCTTAACCATCTCTCCAGCCCCCCGGAGAATTTCTGATGGTCACTATTCTGTGAAGGGATGGAATAGTCAGTAGTGGAAGACGGATGCAAATCAAGAAGCATCCCTAAGGTTATCCAGTAGCTTCTGTTGTGACAGTGTCTATACTCTTAGATATCTTTAAGTTAAAGCACTCTATGGAAGCAGACTCGGGGACAAAGCAGTAACCAGTTAGAGTGCAGAGCAAGGGAGAGGGGTGAGGATGTGAAGGGAGAAGAGGGGAACCCGTGGAGCTCTGCATAGGCTCGGAAAGCAGAAGGTCTAGCCACGATTTTACTTTCTCCAGAAGCACTTACCATGCTGTGAACGTGGTCCATGTAATAAAGTATCCATTTCAACATAGGAATCAGGAAAAAGTGGAATTAACTTCATAGAATGTTTCATTCTATTAAGGAATAAATCCTCATGTAAATCAGTAAAGAATAAAAACTTTGTCTCTGCTTTTTGATGCTACTTAATTGTTTCCAACAGGCTCAGTGACTCCGAAATGTCAGTTGAAGAATCAGCATGTATGATGTATGATTTTTTTCCAAGTAAAAGAAAGGAATTAGGGAAGCAAGATAGAGAGAGACTTTTGTATAACATTGAATCTATTTAGCTTAAGAAGCTAGCCTTCATGGTCCCTTTCTTGGTATTATTTTGCTGTTCCATTTTCCTTTATCTTATTATGTAATTGCGATATTGCCCTTTGTGTCATTTTGATACTAAAGTTTCCCTTGATTCTGGAAATTGGTGATGGTCTGACAATGTAACAACAGCCCCCAGATTTCCTTAACATGTCACCAATTTATGCAATCGAGACATATGCAAAGGGCTGCTCCGTAAACCGCTCCTTTGTCACATTGTGGATAACAGTCTCAGGCAAGTCTAAGATTTCTCAATGTCTTCTTGAGGATCGTACTAACTTACAAATGTCAGTGGTAGTATATAAAGGACAAACGTGCAATGGATTTTGATTCTTTAACTTTAAATGCTCATTCGTGAATAATGATTACATTTATTTTCTTAATCTTTTTGTAGTCTACGGACAAGAGTGATAAGGAAAACCTGGTAATACCAGCTTTGAAACTGTCGGACCAAGATTACTCAGAGCCCTTTCTTCGTAAAAACAGTGAATCAGTGCCGGAAGACAATCCTCTGTCCCCTATTCACAGCCTGCAGATAATAGAGGAGGATGAGGTGCAGCACTCACATGCCCCTTTTGTGTGGGAAGACAAGCCACAGGAAGAGAGAAGTGTGATGTTGCCATTGGATGAACAGCTGATCCCCAAACCTTCAAGCATTTTAAGAATAACCTCTTCTCTACAGGAGGTAAAGTCGAGATGTGTACCCGTAAACCCTGAGAGCGTGAGGAGGAGGAGGAGTTTAGGTTTCTTTCCAAATGAATGAGGTGTCAAAGCAGACATGTGAGCTGAAAGGAGAGGGGGCTAGTCTGGGTTCCCGAGATTTGAAATACAAAGGTGGCTTCCAAGGCAAGATCCAACAAAAGCTCAACTAAGTGTTTCCCCCACAGCAAAACTTCAGACAGGCAAACCCCAAATAATTATTTTTTAAATCGATTAAATACCAATAAATTTAAAATTCTTCAAACGTCTCTAAATACATTAAATGTTCTTACTCTGTATGTACTGATCAGTTAAGGGGGAAATTTTTGAAAGAACAGCAAACTGTCAATAGTTAATCCCCAGGGTAGTGTGTGACTCTGCTGAAAATGTAGTCACAGTTACAAACGTAAACTCCAAGGAGACCGAAGAGCCTAGGGAATTATTCTCGTAGAACTGTTTAAACTGTTGTAGCACACAATATAGCACGCGGGTCCCCTGGTTTCAGACTCTGACTGTAAAGGTAAGGTACACCAGGTAAGCCTCTCCACACAGCACTCCCTTTCTGGCAGGCTCCCCATCCCATCTGAAGCACTGTTGCTGGCAGCTATTTTAAAAGGCAGCACAGGACCAGAGTGAGGTCGAGACCTCAGTTAAGGTTCTGCTTCTGAATATCCCAGGGACTGTCTTTTGACACCTGAGTGTCTAACTCTAGTCCTCATCTCTTGATGGAATCAAAGGCATCGCTAAATTCCCTCTGAAATTTCAAAAGATAGACTTGTATTTAATAACTCTAGCTGGGAATTTAATTACTTAAGTCAGCAGCTTAAAGCAGTATAATTAGAATAATGTTCTTCTTTACTTGATGAAAGGTAATCCATGCTTATAAAAAAAAAGTTTTAAAAAGGCTGGGTGGTGGTAGCAGTGCACACCTTTAATCCCAGCACTGGGGAAGCAGAAGCAGGAGGATCTTTGTGAGTTCGAGGCCAGCCTGGTCTACAGAGTGAGTTCCAGGACAGCCAGGACTATTACACAGATAAACAAAAATGTTTGGAAAATGGAAAACTTGAAAGACAAACTAAATAAAAATAGTTATAATTCCCTTACCATATTAACAATTTTAGTTATTTCAATCTGTGTTATTCATATATATATATATATATATATATATATATATATATATATATCCTTTATTTTTCGTACTTGAATCAAATTTATATTTTTGTTTGTATTAGTGTAGATGAATTTCTAAACAGTCTTATTAAATAAGAAACATGGAGCCAAATATAGGGGTGAAAGCCTTAGAGATCAAAGAAATAGTGAGAGCCACCAACCTTACATCTCCAGCTCTGCAGCTACCCAAAAGGGGCTACTTCCTGTCTAACCTGTACCTTTATTGCCTTGCTGTTCTGCCTTCTCATTGGCTCTTAGCCCAGCTACATCGCTTCCTTGTCACTGCCTGTCTGTACAGACCTCCAGGTCTCTATGGTTGTTACTGGGATTAAAGACGCGTGTCACCACGCTTGGCTCTGTTCCCTAGTATGACCTTGAACACACAGAGACTGCCTGCCAAATGATCAGATTAAAGGTGTGTGCTACCACTGCCTGACTTCTGTTTATGGCTTGCTGTTACCTCTGATCTCCAGGCAAACTCTTTTTATTAACATACAAATAAAGTATCACCACATTTCAGCACAAATAAAATATCACCACATACTAATTCTTTGAGAATTTCATATAATGGATTTGATCATATTTACCCCTTCCCTAACTCCTCCTAGATCTATACCCCCTTCCCTACCCACCCAATGCTATGTACTCTTTTTTATTTTTTTTAAACCCATCAAGTATAATTTGCACTGTCAGTATACTCTTGGATTTGCAGCCCAGCAGGAGGAAAAGGATCCCAAGAACAGGCAAAAGAGTCTGAGACACCCCTGCTCCCACTGTTAGGAGTCCCACAAGAACACCAAGCTATACAACCATAACATATATGCAGAGGACCTGGCTCAGACCCGTACAGGGTCTGTGGTTGTCACTTCAGTCTCTGTGAGCCCCTATGAGCCCTGCTTAGGTGACTCTGTGGGCCATGTTCTTGGGGTGCCCTCAACCCTCTGGCTCCTACAGCCATTCCTCCCTCTCTTCCGTGGGGTTTCCTGGCTCTACCTAGTGTTTAGCTGTGGATCTCTGCATCTTCTCCAGTTGCTGGGATGATACCTCTCTGATGAGAATTGGGCTAGGCACTGACCCATGAGTATATCGGGATATTATTAGGAATCATTTCATTGACTTTGTTTTTTCCCAGTTGTGTTTAGTTCTATCCTGGGTCTCTGGGCTGTCCAGCCTCTGGTTCCTGGCCATCCAAGCAATGTCAGGCATGGTCTCCCTCTCATGGTGTGGGCCTCAAGTTGGACCAGTCATTGGGAGTGACTCTAGTGAAGTTCCCTAGTAATGGGGGGCACTATGGAGCTGGAATTGGACATCTTCTATAACCAGGCAAGGCTCCCAGCAGTGGGGCTGAGACATCAACCCAGCCACAAGACCCTGTTTGCAGGTTTTTAAATTGAGAATTTTTGCACCCATCTTCATCAAACATACTGGCCTACAGTTCTCTTTCTTGTTGTGTCCTTGTCTGGTTTTGGTATTAGCATAATAATGGCTTTTAAAAAAGACTTTGGAAATGTTCTTTCATTTTCTGTTTTATGGAATAAGGGAATTTTGGCATTTGTTTTTTGAAGGTCTAGTAGAATTGTGTTGAATCCATCTGGCCCTGGGTTTTTTCTTTTTCTTTTTTTTTTGGTTGGGAAATTTTTGATTAATGTTTCTATCTCATTGGATGTTCTGGGTCTATTATAAATGATTTGTGTCATCTTGATCTAGCTTTAGTAGGCAATATATATGTAGAAATTCATCCACTTCTTTTAGACTTTCCAGTTTGATGGAATATAGATTTTTAAAGTTTGTCCTTATGATTCTCTGAATTTCTTTGTTGTCTGTTATAATGTCTTATTTTTCATCTACAATTTTATTTATTTGGGTCCTCTCCTTATTTAATTTGGCTAAGGGTTAGTCAATCTTGTTAATCTTTTCAGGAATCAATTCTTTTTCATCAATTTTTTTGTGTTACATTTTTTGTTTGTTTCTATTTCATTTCAGTCCTGGTTTTGATTATCTCTTCCTATCTGCTTTTGGGAGGTGTTTCTTCCTCCTCCTCCTCCTCCTCCTCCTCCTCCTCCTCCTCCTCCTCCTTCTCCTCTTCCTTCCTCCTCCTCCTCCTCTTCCTTCTCCTCCTCTTCTTCTTTTTCTTCTACTACTACATCTCCTCCTCCTCTTCTTCCTCCTCTTCTTCTTCTACTACTACTATGTCTCCTCCTCCTCCTCCTCCTCCTCCTCCTCCTCCTCCTCCTCCTCCTCTTTCTCCTCCTCTTTATTTTATAAGGCCTTAGGGTGCATCATTAAGTTCAAGTTGAGTTCTCTCAAAATGATTGCTGTGGGCATTTGATGCTATACATCCTGTCTTTTATGACTGCCTTCAGTAGGTCCCATAGATTCTGGTATGTTGTGTTTTCATTCTCATTCAATTCTAAGAATTTAGTATTTTTCTTCTTGATTTTTCTTCATCAAATTAGCATTCCATAGTGTGTTGTTTAGTTTTTATGAGTTTGTGTACTTTCTGCAATTTCTACTGTTGGTATCTAGATTTCTTCCTTTGAAGTAAAAAAGAACATGCAGGATGTTCTTTTAATTTTCCTGTATTTGTTGAGATTTGATTTATGTGGTTAATTCAGAAGAAAGTTTCATGGATAGCTAATAAGAATGAATATGATTTAGTCTTTGGGTGGAATATTCTGTAGCTATGTTAGGTCCATCTAGTTTATGGTGTCATTTAACTCCAAACTTTCTCTGTTTATTTAATTTCCAGATGGCTATTGGTGAGAGTGGAGTATTGAAATCATCCAGTATCACTATGTCAATCTGTGATTTTAGATCTAAACATGTTTCTTTTATGAAATTGGATGCCCCTGTGCTTGGTGTGTGTATATCTTTAGGGTTGTAATGTCCTGTTGGTTGTTTTTTTCTCTAATGAATATATAGTTTCCTTTATAAGTTCCTCCAACTAGTTTCGGTGTGAAGACTATTTTGTCAGATATTAGAATGGCTTTGCCTGCTTGTTTCTTATTTCCGTTTCCTTGGAATACCATTTGGCATCCTTTTATCCAAAGGTGGTGTTTACCATTGATGGTGCCGTATGGTAATGTGAAGGCAGCAAAAAGGTGGATATTGCTTCCTTTTAAAAAATGTGTGTATATATATACATACATATATGTATGGATATACATATATATCATGTGTGTGTATGAGTGTTCTGCCTGCATGTATACATGCCTCATACCTGCAAAGTCCAGAAAAGGATTCCAGATCACTCCAGAAATGGAGTTAGACTGTTGGGAGTCACTGTATAGGTGCAGGGGACTGAACCTTGGCCCTCTGTAAGACAGCAGTGCTTGTATCTGCTGAGCCAACTCTCCAGGCCCGTTGGTCCTGTTTTCTAATCCAATCTATTAGTCTGTGGATTTTTATTTGGATAAATTGGATAATTGAGACCACTAATATTCAGAATTATTATTGAAAAGATGTGTACTAATTCCTGTCATTCTGTGGATTTTGTGCTGCTGTTTTGATTGTCTGTCCTGGCATGGCTTGTTTTCTCACTGCGACCTCTTGGCATGTGTTTATCTCTCTCCTAATTGATGTGTTCTTTCTAGTGTTTTCTGTTGAGCTGAATTTATAGTCATAAATTCCCTTATTCTGTTTCTTACAGTGGGAAGTTTTTATTTCAACTTTAGTTTTAATAGATACTTTTGCTGGGTATAATAGTTGGGGGCTCACAGTTGCCGTCTTTCAAGACTTGGAATCTTTCCAGGCCCTGCTGGCTTTCTAAGTTGCTGCTGCATAGTCAAACTTTCTTGTAGCTTTCAATACCCTTAC